TGAGGAGCTGTCCCCTATCAACCTGCGCATCTCGACGAGAGTCAACGTCTCGCGAGATAACAACCTCGTCGCGCTGCCGAGCACCCCCAGTGATCAGGCTTCCCTTGTCGCAGAGGCCATCGTCCGCGCCTTCAAGAGCAGCACCGTCATGGAGGGCGGCATTCCGATGATCGACCAGGACGGCCGCCCTCGACCTGTCAAGATTGAAGTCGACGCCGGCATGACGGTCGAGGGCTCTCACAATATTGTCGGCACAGAGTCTATTATTGCAGACGTTCTCAGAAACCGCCATGCAACCTACCTCAAGCAGCGCACTGGTAGCGTCAGCTCGACAGCCACAGCCGTAGACAGGTCGACGGGCTCAGGCGGTTGCTCGGAAGACTCTAGCAGGAGTGCAACGCCCTCGCGACGTCGAAGCGCGTCTGAGATGGATTGCGAGCCTCAGCTGCCTGCATCGAAGAGGGCACGTGGCCAGGGTCAGTCGGCGCTGTGAAGTCAAGTCAAGGAAAGAACTAAGACAGGAGCATATGACGATTAGTATCTCTACACGAAAGACATCGTATCAGCGTGTGCTTGGTACATGAGGAAAGGCATTCTTTGTACTTATGAGCAGCTTAAAAGAAAAGTGCCGGTTGCTGCTGCTGTTTCGTCATATTGTGACAGAAATGAGTCGATGGATGTGTTGAAGGGGGAACGAACGGATAACGGGCATTGGTCCGAGATTTGATTTCAGGGAGTGGTAGCAAGAGATCACAACATGACGATATCATGCATGGCATCATTGAGTTATCTATCATACCGTGATTCACTCTTCTCCATCTGCTCGCGAACCTGTGACGTTGGGTCCCGTTTTTCTGCGATGAGGGTTTCTGTGGGAAGGGGAAATTGAGTTGGACAATGGGGAACGGTACATATACAGTTAATTCTCGGCCGTTTCCCATCGACCGGCTCCTGACTCAGTTAGGAATTTGTTCTGAACGCGCCGTTGGTCTAGTGGTATGATTCTCGCTTAGGGTCACACCCTGAAGCACAGCTTGCGAGAGGTCCCGGGTTCAATCCCCGGATGGCGCCCAATCTTTTGGCCCTTCTTCAGGGGTTTCGTTCGTTTTTGCTCTGAGGCCTGTTATGTATGGTTGACGTCTATCTGTCTGTTCACTTGTGTTCCGATTCTCTTGGTACAGGAGGAGGCTTTGCTCCACGCACATCACAGCCAAGTCGTCCCCGCCCACGCCGTCGTAAAAGGCTGACGTACCACGAGTGGGTGCACTTGATTGAACTGGCAGAGGACGCAAGTGCGTGCTTGCTCTGCTAACAAGTGGCATGGGTTTCATCCAACAACTATTGGAAGCGAAGAGCTGGACCGCACCGGTCCTTGCGGGCCTCACGATGAGGGGGCCCGGCGGGGGGGTTCTTCAGCTCTTCCAGGGTCCCCGTTCCGATTCCCTCTTGTACACTGCCACGATCGACTCGATTAGGGTAGGCTCTACTGTGGCAGCTGAACGAAGGAGCAGAACACATCCCATTGGATTGCTACAGTCGCCATCCCAAATCAATCGCTAGGAGGCAAAATGCACACCACCCCGCGCCAGGGCCACGCCGGCGCCAACCCCCCAAGGCATCGTCTCTCATCCATCGCCATTGGAGAGCTCCACAAGCTCATGGACTGACGTACCTTAGCTTCATCAGCTTGCCGTCCCCAGGCCCCTCTGTCATCGATTGACTGCTCCCGGCCTGCCCGACGTCGCCCCAAGCCCGAGCTTGCTAGGATCTAGCTGCGAGACCAGAAGAATGCGGAGAGAGGGTCTTCGCAGAGAGGATTTTGTGAACCACCCAATTGCTGATCTCATATAATCTGCGCCGAAATCCCCTCACGAAGTTGACCGAGCTTCATACTTCAGCTGTGGACTTGCCCCTCCTTTGTTTTGACCTGTGCAACCCCTCCCCCTCCACCAGCACCTTACCGCCGCCACCACTACCACCATCACCACCTTTCGTGTCATTGACGGATCAGCGTTGCACTTAAGATGCCTAATATCACCATCCGCAACCTGACGGTGCAGGCTTTGACTCTCAAACGTGTTGAGCGTTTTGGGGCCAAGCAGGTCACAACGGGCAGCACCCTTGGCAACGCCATTGGCAACATCACGTCTCTCCTCAACGCCACAAGCTTCAATTCAACTGAAATTCACCCTGAAGGCGAGGCGCGCGAGAAGAAGGATGTCGACATCAAGATCAATGCTTTTTCTGCCCAGGGCACCGACTTCCCAGCTCCGCAGGAGGACAAGGAGGTTGTGCGTCTGCTGTTCGAGTGCGACGGCAAGTGGTACGAGGTCGACACACCCTCCAAGTCGGACAGGTCCGTCGTCATGACGCGCTTGACCAAGGAAGACAAGCGCGAATTCACGGCCGTGTACATCGAGCGCCATCAGTTCCTGGCCATCATGTCGTCCTCGAACCTCCACGCCTGGATGAAGGAGCTCAAGGACAGCTACCCTCTGCCCTTCCTCTCGATCCCCGGCACCCACAATGCGCCCACCTGCTACACAGCCCTCCCGTCTGTCCGCTGCCAGGCTGTCGGCATCACCGAGCAGCTCGAGAACGGCGTGCGTTTCTTCGATATTCGCGTCTCGGCCACCCCCGACAACGACAACCTCGCCCTCGTCCACTCGGTCTTCCCCATCTCTCTGACCGGCACCAAGTGGTTCGCCGACCTACTCACCGAGGTCTACGCCTTCCTCGAGCGCAACCCCTCCGAGACGCTCATCATGTCCGTCAAGCGCGAGGGCACCGGCAAGGGCTCGGACCACGACATGTCCCGCTACCTGCGCGACCGCTACATCAAGAAGAACTCCAACCGATGGTACACGAAGCCGCAGATCCCCGCCCTCGGCGACGCCCGCGGCAAGATCGTCCTCATGCGCCGCTTCCACTGCGACGACAGCGTCAACAAGTCGGAGAACGACGGCAAGGGCATCGGCATCGACGCCGCCCACTGGCCCGACAACTGCGAGGACGGCAAGACGGGCGGCGGCGGCTTCGTGCGCGTGCAGGACTTTTACGAAGTCGACCAGAGCACCAACATTGAGAAGAAGATCAGCTACAGCCACGCCCAGCTCGAGCGCGCCGCCGAGGCCCTGTTCCGCGCCCCCGGCGCCGAAGGCTACGACAAGGACGCCGTGTCGCCGCTGTTTGTCAATTTCTTGAGCGCCAGCAACTTCTTCAACGCCACGTGCTGGCCCGAGCGCATCGCTGCCAAGGTCAACCCAGCCGTCATCGAGTACCTCTGCATGCGCCACGGCGACGACGGCAAGGGCGTCAAGAAGCTCAAGGTAGGCGATGCGGCTACAGGTATTGTTGTCACGGACTGGGTCGGCGCGCATGATGACTGGGATCTCATCCGCTGCATTGTGGCCTGGAACGCGAGGTTGCAGCTGAAGAAGTAGAGTGTTCAACGTCTTGCTATACATCACGGCGAGGTTACATGTTTCACATGACATATTGGAAATGAAAACAGCGCGGTTCTTGGAAACATGAATTAAATTTTGGCATCATAAAAAGCTCTGGCCAATGTCCGCGAGATGTTGGCTTATCTGTGAGCACATGGTCAGTTGCGTCTCGATGAAGAGTATAATGACATGACGTGTTGTGCCCAGTATGATTCAGTTCTCCAAGGTGAACAGGAATTTTATCAATCATGGTGAACTCAGAAAGATAATAAAAGGATGTCATCCTCAAGTGGGCAAGGTTGGTTGGGGAAGGAAGCAGAACAGAGGAAGCCTACCAAAAAAAAAAAAAAAAAAAACCTCAGCTACGAGTTCCAGCGATGCATCGACAAGAATACCTGAGTCGTTGCGGTCAGCAAGGGCTCTCGGTCGCAAACATTTCGTACGGAAAAGGTCCAAAAAGCTAGGTCGATTGTCAGCACGCGGTCACGCTGGAGAGGGACAACATCAAATACCTCAAAGATCAGCAAGTGTTAACTTTGTTCATCTCGACGACGCCGAAGCAAAGTCGATCAAACAGTGTGAATACAATAAAAAAGACGTTTCATCATTGTAGAGAGCGTTGTCTAAAGACAGAACGAGGAGATACCAAGTATGTAATTTACCTGGTTGTCCAAGTCAGCCCTCCGTCTCAGTACGACATGTAAACCAGTATCAATGCGCGAAGCAGCATTACAATCAGCTGACGAGTTTTCAACAAGAAACCCCGCCAGACCGCCCACCACAAGGTTTGTAAGTCCTCGCTGCTGCTAATGGACGGCCGACGAGGGTTCATTTTGTCCGCCTGTCGTTCAAAGATTCCTCATATTGTGTAGCCATGGCCGGGAGCGCGCGTCAGAGAGAGTGGTGATTGACCATGTTTACCTAGGAATAATGAGTTAGCTTGAGATCAAGACAGAAAAAATGCTGCAGCGAAGAAAAGCTTTGGCTCATAGGTCAGACAAGGCTGAAACTATTGCACCGGAATCAACATAGTTTGTTCTGCATGAGGAATCCCTGTGGTGTCTGTCGTGTTCATCATGTAGAGCGTGGGGGTAGAAAGGAAGGAAAGAAAAACGCAAATCGGAGACAAACCTTTTGAACGAAATCCAGTTACACGGAGCTGAATGTAAGTAGAATTGACAGATCTAGTAAAGATCGTGACCCATTGCATGCGCCCTGGCAGCGCAATGGGCAAACGTCACAGGTCGCTGGACCTTGACGATTTTGCTGGTGATGGGCAAAGAAAGAAGTCGGAAGCTTGGGAATTTTTTCGGCCTCGCGTTTTCAAGGTCTTTCTGATTGGCGCTAGTCTTCCTTGGGACTAGCAAGAGACCCCGCAATGGCAGCGAGATGTGGCGGTGCATCCAGATCAACGGGTGGCGAATGATTATCTTATCGCCAGTCATATAACACCCCGAGGTCATCCGCCACTTCCTCGCCCGCTCCTCCTCCTTCCTCTGGCTGCTGTCACAAGCTGTCGAGCATCACGACTCGATCCCGAACTGAGACTTCATCATGGCTGCCTCGGGGGGTGTATGGGCTCCAGTAGCCATGCGCCTGCTCCGTTCGGCCGCCGCAAACGCCTCCAAGGCGATTCGGCACACGTTTCCCAATGCACCCAAGCTCCAACCCGCTCCCATACGATCCGCAATCTCTACGGGAAGACATCCCATCCACCCAGCTGCTCTGCTCCGCCAGCGACGTTCGGCACGGTGGTCATCGACCAAAGCCTACCAGCATATTCAAAGTGCCGCCCGCCGGTGGATGTCCTCTGGTAACACCGCATCCGCCAGTCCCCGTTTCGACCGGACCAAATTCCCCACATCGAATACATCCCGCCGCGTGGCCCAGGGTACCGGCCGCGCCCCTTTCGCCAGCACACTTCGCCCGAACCTGACCGGCGGCACACTCTGCCGTACGCAAGGCGGCTACAGCACCGGCGGTGGCGCACGCTACTTCTCGCACACGCCGGCCGCCCCGGCGCAAGTGGTCCAGAACGTCGGCGTCGCCATGCGCGCCTTCTTCCTCTCAGGACAGAAGGCACGGTTCGACGGCCTCAACGAGCGCGGCGACAAGCGGTACAGGGCCGTCTCGACGCTCGAGCACGAGGCCGGGTGCAGGATGGCCAAGGTCTCCCGCTTTGAGCCTGGCTCCTTTGTGGACTTCCAGCTGAGCCCCACCGTCACGGCTCTGAGCCCGCTCGCTGCTGCCTTCCCCTTCCGCGCCGGTACCAAGAACGACGGCGTCACGCTGAACCGCGACGGTTTCCTCGATGTCCTGTCCGAGGACTTTGGCCGCGCCCTCAAGGATTTGACAGCCGTTTTCGCCGATCTGAAACGGTTGGCTGTGTTAGGAGATCTGCCTGTAACGTTGGAGAAGTCGAACATTATCAGGGTTCGGTTCCCTGGCGTGGATGCCGCGACGGCAGAGCGACTTTGCGACGACGTTGGTTTACAGCGTGGCGCTGTCTATCAAGACCCAGAGTTTAACACAAACGGCGGCGTTCAGGTTGCGCTCAAGTTCCCCTTCGCGCCCGACAGCCAGGCATCAGAAAAGACCATGACGTCTCCAGGCGGCACTTTGCGCTCTCTTTCGGGTCTATCAGAGGCATTCGATGATGCCTTTGTGGATGCCGAGATGGCGGAGAACCCATGGCTTTCCGATCCCGAGGGATACGAGAGCATGTCGCCGCCTCCTTTGAGTTCGGGAACACACTGTTCCCAAGAGTTCGATGGTCTTGAGGGCATCTATCGTTTTATGGAAGAATGTGACAGGGCCAAGGGTCGGTACTAGGATGTGAATTGTTGTAAGCTATGCGATGGATTTGGATGGATCTGGATGGATGTCGAATCTGGGAACGGTGAGATTGGACATGGGATATGGACTCCACGCTCTTTGTATTGATACCAATGGGCTCATTGATGAGCTATTAGCCAGAGAAATGGCAGTTTTCTATGTTCTAAGAGTGATGCAATGCTGGACACAGTGATCACGACAACTGATTGCCACTGAACAGGGCCGACGCTTGAATCCGAGCTGATGAGCAGACGAAGGATGAGTGGATACGGATTCTGCCTGGTGGCTGGCTCTAGCTCAGGGGTCCAGGGCGTGATTCTGCCTGGGCTGGACAAAGCACCACACCATGAACGGCGATCATCCCAACCCACGATCATCGGCCACCATGGAGCACCGACGACCTGTCGAGACGCGTCGAGACGCGCATGGAGACCACTCGTAGGCTGCAACGCCCAAAAATATCGTACCAAGATGCTCAATTGATGCAGCTCGAACGACACGACAAGGCAGCAGTCGCCTGATCTTGTGACTTCGCGTCTCTGGACCCTGCACCGTTTAGGCAGCACACCCCCTGTAGCGCGACTGGCAGCCCCGCGTTGTCGACGCCTCCGCTAATCTACGCCAAATGCAGCGTCAGTTCGTTGAGCCACCGTTGACAGCTTCATGCACGACCTGGGGTGACTTTCGGCAGGTGGCTGCTTGGCAAGGGCAATCGGTGAGCTCCTGCCATCCGCCGATTCCAGATATAAAGCAACTGTCTCTTCTCCTTCAATGATGCCTCTCGTAGTAAACCCATCGCATCTCTCGCCATCATCACCATCCAGTCCAGTTTCTTCCTTTGTGCTTTCCCCTTATTACACGTCAAGACCTACCTGATTGATACCCCGCCATTGACTTCAGACCCCGCCACCTCCTTGCCCTGAGACTGCCAGCCTCTCCCACGAGTTGAACGACTGCACCATCACCAGCATGGCAACTCAAGAGCTCCAGGAGCTTCCGGCTCCTCATTCGGAGTTGGTCAACTACATCGCTGGCCACCCTGAGAAGTCTATGGTCGAGATTTTGGACCCCTATCGCCGCTATGAGGCTCAGCTACGGTCGGTCTTTGCCCAAGATCGCAACAGCACCCTTCTCAATGACCCTTATGTGAACCTCCTTCCCATGTTTAACGAGAACACGAAGAACATCAAGACGCGTGCTCGCAACCTCTCTGCCGAGTCCGAGGAGGAGAAGAGCCGCTATATCATGTCACTCCCTGATGACAAACGCCGCGAAGACGGATCTCCCGCTGTGGTTCAGTCGATCGCAGAATTTCGCAAGAACTTCAGCGTCTTCTCGGAGTCGTCTCTGGTCGACATGGACTGGAGCAACGTCGTGGCCGCAGGCTCCTCTGTTGTCAACACCCTACTCCCCGTACCGCCCGAGTTCAACACCAACAAGCGCAAGCTGCGCGAGTACTACCACGAAAAGTTTTGTCCTGCTTCCGACGTTGATCTGTTCCTGTACGGCCTGACCCATGATGAGGCCATTGAAAAGATCAAGCAGATTGAGCAAGCTATTCGTGATGCCATATTGACCGAAGTCACCGTTGTTCGGACCAAGTACGCCATTACGATTGCCTCTCAGTACCCGACGCGTCATGTTCAGGTTGGCCCATCCCCCTTGTCGAAATCTCAGTGTAGCTTTCCTGACCCTTTGTAGATTGTTCTTCGCGTGTACAAGTCTATCGGCGAAATTCTCACTGGCTTCGACATTGATGCTGCCGGCGGCGCCTACAATGGCAAGCAGGTCTATGTGACGCCGCGTGCTCTGGGCAGCTTCATCACCCAGATCAACCACATCGACCTTACCCGACGAAGCCCGTCCTATGAGAACCGTCTGTCCAAGTACAGCCATCGCAATTTCGAGATTTACTGGCCCGAGTTGGATCGCAGCCGCGTGGATCCCACCATCTTTGAACGGAGCTTTCAGAGAACCCTAGGCCTTGCTCGTCTCCTTGTCCTTGAACGTCTGCCAACCTCTTCCGTTCGCGATTCTTACCTTGACAAGCGTAGAGAAGAGCGTGGTCGACCCGCAATCAATCGCAACTTCCAGCACCGAGTCTGGGGCAATATCAAGGACGCACATGAGGACGAAATTGCCGATTGGGTTGACGAAACCGAGGTCTCTAACTATCACACCTTCAGCGTTCCATATGGTGAGAGGTTCAACGCAAAGAAGATTGAGAAGCTCTGCTATACCAAGGATCTTCTCTTGAATGCCGAGTGGAACCAGCACAAGGACCGTCAAGTCTACCTTCATCGCCATCCCGCCTTCTTTGGACGTGTTCAGGATGTCATTGAAGACTGCTGTGGGACTTGCCCAAATGCGGTGACCCCTGAGGAGATCGAGATTGCCGAGAAAGAGGCAGACGTCTACATTTCCGGCCCCGTTAGTTTCCTCATTGACGACCCTGGCCGGCAACAGATCGGCTCCTTCAACCCTCTGACTCAGGACGACTGGACTGATATGGCGTACGTCGGCAACACGGCTCGTCTTTGCCAAAGCATCGTCGATGGCAACGTCGATGAAGTTCTGGACTGGCTATCTCAGGAGGGCGCTGATCCAAACCAGCGTGATTATACTGGAAGAGCACCGCTGCATCTTGCTGTCATGAACTCTACGCCCGATGTTGCCCGCGCTCTTGTTGATCACGGCGCACGCTTAACCGCTCGTCTGGCTGACGGAAATACGGCCCTGCATTTGGCAGCTGAGCGTGGGAATGTCGAGATGGTGAGGATCCTCATGGAAAGGAGCATCACTAACGAAGCCGAGGAGGAGGAGAAGCAAGATCTTCGACGCAAGGCTCTCAAAGAAGCCGCCTCTGGGAAACCTTCAGAGGCTACAAATGTTACTGATCACGAAACGGACCCAGAGTCGGATGCCGATTCTGATTCCGATGGAGAATTGATCGATGGCGAGGGAACCGAGATTGATGCTCGCACGATGGCTACTGGGTCGTTCGTCGATGTCCAGAAGGCAAAAGAAGAGGAGACGGATGATGCCGCACTGAACGGTGCGCCCGACGAGCCTGACTTCTACAAGAGTGACGTTCTCGCTTGGGATATCCCTTGCTCCCCTCTTCACCTGGCCATCGCTCAAGGCCATGAGGATGTTGTGACAACGCTTTGCAACGTAAGTGCCACATTCATCCTTTTCACGAAGTCAATCTAACATGTTGCTTAGTATGGGAGCGATGCTCTTCTTCCAGTCAAATTCCTGGATGAGGAAAAGCAGCCAGAGGCGGCTCTCTTGACACTGGTTCTTGCACTTCGATTGCCGGAGGACAAGGCCAAATCCATGGCGAAGCTCCTTCTCAAGCTCGGCGCCACTTCATCTCAAGCAGACCTCGAAAGCTGTACCGTATTCCATCGATACGTGGCTGAAGGCAGCCATACTCTGGTAGAAACACTCTGGGACAACGACCAGTCTGGAACCAAGTCCGCAATCAACCATCTGGTCCCTGCCCACGGATACTACAGGAGCAAAGTTGTTGGCCCGCTTCATTCTGCAATCCAGAACGAAGACACCGACCTCGTCCTGAAGCTTCTCAACGCTGGAGCGAAACACTCGATTGATTTTGCGACCTGGCTCAAAGCGGCTAAGATGTCGAAGGGAGCCGATCAGCTCGGAGACTACCAGCAGAACCAAAACAAATTTGCCAGATCTGTGGAGCAGCCTCTCATCGTGGCTGTCAAATATTGTGTCGACCTGGAGGTAGCCATGAAGCTGGTGGAAATGGGCGCAGATCCTAACACACCCACCAGCCAAGGGCAGACGGTCATGCACGATGAATGGCAGCGCAAGTACAACCGGGGAGAGACTGTACTGGATGTTGTTCACGATCAGCTCAAGAATCTACGCAAGTACAAGGGTGAGCGTCACAATCTACGCAAGCCACAGTTGCATCAAGGTATGCAAGAGCGACTCGACAGCCTGAACAAAAACTCTTACGAGTACCTGGCCACGAAAAAGGATGTGAGGTCTCGTGAGAAGAAGTTCAAGGAAGAGACCAAGGCCTATGAGGAAGACCTGAAGAAGCATGAAGAGAAACAGAAGGGCCGCGACCTCAAGGAGACAGCCATCAAGGAGGTCATTGCCGATCTGGAGAAATTGGAGCAGATGTTGATCGAAAGGGGGGCCAAGACGTTCTATGAGGCCTACCCCCAAGTCCCTGAGCCAGAAGAACGCTCAGGCCGCTACCGCTACCACTACGACAGCGACACTGGTGACGAGAAGAAGAAGAAGGAGGAAAAGCAGCCGGTCTACGAGTGGCAGATCGCTTTTGTTGGCGCTAGTGATATCACAGAAGTTCGAAGGCTTGCCTACGTTGAACTGTATGGTTTTTTTTCCTGGTCCGTTTCAATTTACTAACCTTTCTTAGGCTTGAAGCTGCCTGGAACGCTGACCTTGAGAAGATTAAGTCACTCACCCTCCAGGCCTGGGGTGAGGATCAGGCCGAACCTCCTCTGAAGGCTTCCGTAACCACCTCCGACGGCAGCACTCCGTTCTCGCTCGCCTTCTTGCGTGGACATCGTGGTGTGGCCAAGGAGATTCTGGAGATCATTAAAGCTCAGTACTCTCCTGTTGAGAAGGACAAGTCGCGTTACACACTCGATACTGGCAACCCGGACGATGATGACTCGGACGAAGATGGTTCTGAAGAGGACTCTGACGAAGACAGCGCGACACAGGGAAACCCTGGCCACCCCAAGATCGTGGCATTGGCAGTGGACAAGAAGTTTACCATCGATAATATTGGCCAGGTGTCGATGCATGTGGATTCACACGACAAGCCCATCAAGAGCCTGACCAGTCGAGTCATGTGCTTCACAACTAAAGATGCGGATGAGGACGAAGAGAATGCTCAAGAAACCATCTTCGAGACTCTCTTCGGCCACGTTATGAGGCATGACGACCATTCAGGCCTGAAATTCTTGCTGGACCTCGCTGCTCACTACTCGGGTGAGAAGCTGGAAGGAGATACCGACGAGGAAGACAACGGAAGTTTCTTTTCCTTCCCAGAGGACGCTTTCGTGTGGGCTGTTGCGAATGGAAAGACAGGCGCCCTCGCCGAGATTATCAAGAGATTTGGCGCAGGAATGCCTCTTGACCATCTCGTCAAGAAGAGCGGTGTGGAGCTCAAGCAGAAGCCGAAGTACTACCAAGGCCTCTCAGTGTACGGCAAGAAGAGGTATGATCTAGCCGTGTGTGACAAGGCGGCCTTGAAACTAACTACTTCTACAGAAAGGATTGGGCTACTGCCGGTCGTAACCTCGTCGTGAGACAGACTGGGCTCAAGACTCCGCCTCTGCTTCACGCTGCTCTCGGAGGCAGTATCGAGTCGGTCGAGTGGTTCCTTAGTGACGCCCCGCTCCGTTGCTACGTAGAATTTGGCCAGTCGAAGACGGCGAGCGAGGATCCGAGACTGAAGCATCTCAGTAACGCTCCTGGTGGATTCGACCGAGCTGTTGGTAAATGGCTCGGCATTCAAAGTATGTTGTCCCCAGCAATCTTCATAAGTGTCTCTAGCTGACAAGCCCGCAGACGAAACTGTCCTCCACTGTGCTGTGATGGGCCCCTCCAACGAGAAGACCAACAAGGTCATCCAGTACTTGATCCAAGCCTGCCCAAGCTCTCTGGAGTACAAGACAACGTCGGGCGACACTCCTCTCTGGCTCGCCTTTCACCTTGGCCGCGTTGACTTTGCCAAGACTCTCATCGAAGCTGGAGCGAACCAATCTGTGCGCAACAAGCAAGGTCAAAACATTATCCACGCAGCGCTGCAATGGCTTCCAAAGGCTCATAACCTTAAGGATTTGTTGGAGCTCATGGACGACAAACTCAGGGCTCACCTTCTTCTGCAAAGAAGCAACCTACAGGACGAGGGAACAACTCCCCTCCACTCGTGGGTTAACAAGTTCCCGGATAGCTACGACCACACCAGGTGGACGAAGTACGCCAACAAAGAGGAAGCAACTGCAGTTCTAGATCTGCTCCTTGGTTACTCTGAGGGAGCTGAACTGGCCATGCTCAACGGTGCCGGCGACACACCTCTTCACTCAGCAGTCAATAAGAACAGCATGGTGCTTATCGAGGCCCTTTTGACCTACAGGCCAAGCTTGCTCTACCGCGAGAATGCCGTGGGCCGCACCCCCGCCGAGGTTGCGCATACCCGCGTCATCAGCAAGCGCTTCGATCAGCCACGCTCTCTGCCATCGCACTTTAATGACTGGAACGGGCCAAGCAATCTTCCCCAGCGCAATGCTGACAACTTTGTCAATCAGAAGCACGGCCGCGACATCAAGACCCAAAGCAAGGACAAGAATGAAGAGACATGGGACCTCCTTGCTGAGCATCTTGAACGCCATCCCGCCTCCCGCAGGCTCGTGTCGCTTTCCGAGGCCAACGACGTTGCGAAGCGTCTGGGCGAGGAGTACAAAGCATCGCGGTACTTCAGCATTCAAGCGCGTGGTGATGACGACGACGACGAGAAGGCAGAAGAAGACGACGAGACGAGTCTTGATTTTGCCTCGACGCAAAAGTCGAGCCTGGGCTGGCAGGCCTGGAAGCCGGACAATGCGGAGCAGGAGTCGGCCGATGTCTGCGTCGGATGCGGCGAGCGGCATGACTAGAGGGTATGCCAGTATGCCATCGAACAGAAGGAGTATGGAATGCAGAAGGCGATGGAGGAGCTCGCGGAATAGGAAGAACAATAACTGAGACTTTGCTCAATGGACCGAAAGGGGGATGGGAGAGGGGAGAGAGGGATAATGTGCAGCTAGCTACATGGCTGTCATTTGGGATTGTTTCTTTCCATTTCAAAGATTGAGCATCTGATGAGATACAGTATCTAATGAGATTTTTTTTTTTTTTTTTGCAGAGTCCAAAGTATTTTCATTGAATGGTCATCGATCCCTTCATCCAACTGGTGCCGGCATGGTCCGTCCCCTGAGGCTTCGTCGAGGCGGCAGATGTCTCCAGTAATTCCTTCCCGCGGGCGACGATGTGTGCATTCTCAATCATCGTCTCCTCGCCTTCGCCAGACGCAGCGACCTCAGCCATGTACGCCGCCAGCTCGTCGATCTTTACAACCCAATGGACGCTCAACAAGGCACCCATCACGCCGCCTCCCACCATGCCGTGCGTGATGATGCCGCCGGGTCGAAGGACCAGCGCCTGCCATTGCTCTGGGTACTTCCGCTCCACGTTCAACGAACTGGTCTCCGTCCTGCCCTGAACGTGGGAACACGCCGCGTCAGTGACTGATGGCGGATGCAAGTTTCTCGAGGAGCAAAAAGAAGGGGCCCGCATACCTTGATCTTGCGCGCCTCCTCCAGGAAGTACAAATGCTGCTCCTGGTCCTGGCGGACAAACTTGCCGCTCAGCAGGATGAACCTGAACCTGGGCCCCGCGGGCCTCTCCTCCCGCAGCACCTCGGCAAAGGCCTCCTGGAAGGCGACGGGGTAGTCGTGGTTCACCGTCACATTGCTGGCGTCGTACGTGCCCATTGCCCTGACCATGGCCGACTCGGTGGTGAGCGTTTTTTTTTTTTTGATCTTGTGATCTTGATGACGAAGAAAGGGACCGGGAGGGAGCGGCGGGAGGCCGTGTTGGTTGTGCGACTCACCAGATCATGGCCGCGGCGTCCTTGTGCGCCTGCAGCACCTCATCGGGCCAGGACGCGAAATCGCGCAGGATGACGGTTGTGATTTTGGGGTTCGACGCGAGGTCGGCTGGCAGGGCCCGTCGCTGGACGGCGACGATGGACGTGATGGCCGGGTGGGCGAGGCAGGCCCGGAGGGCGGCGCCGCCGACGGAGCCCGTTGCGCCGGTGAGGAGAACCTTCATGTTCGGGATAAGGGGGGGTTCTTATCGGGTGTACAAGTTCCCGAGAGACAATACGAAGTGAGTGCACGAGATCTCCTGTCACGAAATGGAGAGATCTTGCGCGTATCTGTGAAACACCGTGGACGGGAACATCTTTGGTAGGGGACAGCCGTGTGGGTGTTATACAAACAGGCAGCCAGCAAAATGCAGGGGACTGATCCTTCAGGCAGCGGGCACCGTGACGATCCTGCGTGCGTCACATCTCAGCGGCCTGTCTCGCCGCAGGCAGCCGCGAAAGAGACGAATCGATGGAAATGAATCATATCTCGAAGAGTCAGATCCGGGTCACTGTCATGCAGATCCATCGCTGTGACGAAGGAGTTTGGATGGTTTTGAGGCGTTGCGCCCAGTCAGAGACTTCGTCGGCGGACTTTGAAGCGAGAACGGCACGATGGCTTGCGGACTTGTCGACCTCGCGAGACAGGCACTGCGCCCGAGGGTGTGTAGTTTAAATGCTATGATTCAACAATGGAATCACATGGTGTCGTCTCATTTGTGTATGTTCGGCGGCAGCAAAAGCTATCGGCTGACGTTGAACTCCTGGGTATCTCTAATCCTGCTCCTAACCGTGATCCTAATCCTACCTAGTTATAACAAAACACCCGATGAACTCCACATTCAATCAGCACGCTCCACCTCAACGTGAAGTCGCCAAGAATGCAGTTACGCTCGGAGATGAACCTCCAATGAGTCCATGTCCTCAATGTCGGCGTCTTCGACATTCGTCTCGCCGTCCAGCGGCTCTCCGTCAAAATGAAGCTGAATCTCCGTGCCCGCAGGCACGTCCCTCATCTTGCGGTACACCTCTATGAGCTCGGCGACGGTGCTCGCCGGTCGCGCCGTCGTCTTGACGGGCTCGCCGGTGCGCGCCTTGAGGATGATCTTGATCTTCGTCTCCTTCGCTTCGGGGTCCGCCCCGACAGCGACGCCACCACCGTCGTCGTCGTCGTCGTCCGAGTAGTCGTCCAGCTCGCCGAGGTCGCGCAGGCGCCTGCGGTCCTCCTTGCGCTTGTGCTCGTCCCAGAGGGCCTCGGTCCACATCTCCATGTGCACCCTCGTCCAGCCGTCGGAGAAGCCGTCGGCGTCGTGCGGATTGCGGACGGCAGGGGACCGCAGCGTGCCGTTCTCGGCGGCGCGGATCTGGAGGCTGTTGAGCGTCGTCGAGTCGTACAGGCGGCGGCCGCGCCAGGTGATGAAGGTGACGGCGGCGTCGTCGAGGGGCGGCTCGACGTCGTAGCCCTCGGTGCTGTTCCAGACCTCGCGCAGCTTGCCGAGGGGCTTCCAGAGGGTGTAGAGGTACTTGACCGGCTTGGTGCCGGGGATGGGCGACGTCATGAGGATGGTGATGCGTGTCTGGTCGGCCTCGGTGGGGTTGGCCTGGGCTGCCTCGGCCTTCTTCTGGCGCTCGCGGGCGGCGCGGATGTACTCTTCCACGTCGTCGTCTCCTTCGTCTTCTTCTTCTTCTTCTTCGTCTTTGTCCTCGTCCGTCTTGCTGCCGGTGCCGTCGTCCGATGCTTTGACTTGTTCGCCTTCAGCAAAGGGGTCGTCGTCGTCGTCGTCGTCAAGGACAATGGCAGCGCCGTGGGAGGAGCGCGCACCTGGCACGTCGCGCACGGGGGTGGCGCCGTACAAGTCAGCGTCGCTCGCGTCGCTGTCGTCGAGGGACACGACGGCGTCTTGGCCCTTGGGCGACGAGCCTTCCTTCTTCGGCGTGCGCAGTGCGAGAGATCTGGTGGCGTGCCGTGATGGCGTGGACGGGTGGTCGTAGCTCGGTGAGCGTGTCGTCTTGGTCTTGCGCTCGATGTACTCGTCGCTCGTGCGTGATCGCTTGGAAGGCGGCGTTTCAATGTGATCCCTTTTGGCCAGGTTAGTGTGAACGACATGGCAACACGAAGGAAGCAAGAAAGCGGCGGGGAGCATGGGCACGCACTCGAGATCGCCATCGCTGTCGTCGATCGCCCTCTTCACAGGTCGCGACCGGCTGGGACTCGCATGTCTGTAGCTGTCGTTGGAGAGTCGTGCGCCGTGCCCAGGGTCGTCCGAGTCGTCTCGTGCGTCGGCAGCAGGCGTCGCGAGCTCCTTGCCCTTGTCGCGGTGGGCGTGCTTGCGTTGGCGACGGCGCGCCTCGGCGGCGATGACCTTGGGGAAGAACTCTTTGGAGCGCTTGAACAAGCTGAGCCCGTCGTCGTCGTCGTCGTCGTCGTCGTCGTTGTCGTCACCATGCTCGACCTTGCCTTTGGCTTCCGGCTTCGGGTTGGAGTTTTGACGTAGGGCGGTGGGCTTGAAAGGCAGCCACCTTTTCGGTGCAGTGGACTCGGCCATGATGATGATAGCAGGGATGTAGGGAGTGGGTGGCTGACTACTTAGTAGACAATGTCAAGACGTTCTTGCGTGTTGGGGGTCAGTTGGGCTGAGAGCAAGCAAGAAGAAAAAGTGCTAGGCACGAGTAGGACGATGTAAAGCAAAGAGGACTGTTTCGATAGCATGCATGCATGGTGGGCGACAAGGGCGGCCCTTGGGGAGAAGAGGTGCAGCAGATGAAGCCTCCAGATGCTTTTTGCTCGCGCCCAAGTCGCCATGTCGACACGATCACAGCCGCCCCACCAGGAGCTGTGGTGCAGGTGAGGAACGAGGTCAAGGTACCTCGAAGGTACATGTACTGGGTACCTAAGTACCTACCTTGCCATGCACAGACCAACTTCTGCCTCCTGCCTTCACAGCCTTTCCATCGCCCCGTCTCTGCGTCAGCCTCTCATCACGAGCCTCACCCATTCATCCCACTCGCCCGACACCCCATCACCTCACCCGCCATACACCAAGCCCCCCTGCCAACATGGAAAACGGAAACCCCAGTGGCCCCCAGGGCGAGGGCAAGGACCCCTCAAGCTTCCTCAGCGACATCATCGGCAACGCCGTCACCGTCAAGCTCAACTCGGGCGTCGTCTACAAGGGTGCGTTCTGCGAGGAACGGTGCAAGCAGAGGCCATGAGGCACTAACCCGCGTACCGCGCCAGGCGAGCTCCAGTCTGTCGACGGCTACATGAACATCGCTCTCGAGAAGACGGAGGAGTATGTCAACGGCACCAAGCGGAGGTCGTACGGCGACGCCTTTGTGAGGGGCAACAACGGTATGTCCCCCCTGGCCCTCTGCTGTACTGCTCCTACTGACGTGTGGCTGTGTGTGTCTGCCCTCTCAGTCATGTACATTTCCGCAGACTAAACGGGCTTTTTTTGTAATCCATGGTTATGATGGTTTTATGATCTCCAGTCAGGCTTCTTCCTGTGTTTGCCATGACCGCTACGTCACGAGCAGTCCGGTGTGCAGGCCTACACAAGAAGAGTTCAATGAATATACCCACGATTGTTCGAGTCCCCACGTCCGAGATGCCGTTTTCCGCGTGCTTCTTCTTCTTCTCTCTCTTCTCTCTCTTCTCTCTCCTGTTCTCTGTCTAACCTAGAGCCGCGAAGTCCATGCAAAAAACGTCTTGCCATGCAGTGCCACCTCGCCCTTGTCATTCCTCTCGACGCTCTCCTCCTTCAGCATCTCTGCCAGCCGCGCCCGAAACCGCGATAGGTCGTCCCCTTCGAGCACGGCCACCTGGCTCAGCGTCGACAGCCTCTTCCACAGCGCCTCCTCTGTCAGCCACACCGTGAAAGGCACGCTGGCCTCGCCGATCGGCACCGCGAACCAGGGCGCCTTGCCGTCGTCGGTGGTCGCGAGCCCCGGCAACCCGTACTCGGCCACCGTCTTGAGCGGGTTCGCCGCCTGCGAGTCAAAGCACGCCCGCCACGCATCGTTCCGGAACCGTGCCTGTCCGTCGCCGTCGAGCGAGTGGATGAGCTCGTTGAGGCGCTGCTCCCAGTGCGTCGACGCCGTCCAGGCCGCAGGCTTGTTATCTGGTGCCCCTCACCGTCAGCAATCTTTGTTCGCGACCGCGCCTTCCTTTCTCCTCCGGCTCTCGCCAGCAGCAGAACTCACAATCCTCAATGTTCCAGATCAACCCCAGCGACGACCGCGGCTTCAGCACCCGGTGCATCTCCCGCAACGCCCTCTCGTTCGCGAACCAGTGGAACGCCTGCGCGACGACGCACCCGTCCCCCCACCCGTCCCCGAGCGGGATCTCCTCGGCGAACCCGTCCCGGACCTCGACGCCCGCCAGGCCCTTGCGCGCCAGCTCGCCGCGCATCCCCGCGTGCGGCTCGACACCCACAATCTCGAACCCCTCGTCCCGCGCCGCGAGCACCTCGGTCAGCTTGCCCGTGCCGGCGGCGAGGTCGAGCACGCGCGCGCCCCGCTGGCCCGCGAGGCCCAGCTTCTCGAGGAACGCCGTCACCGTCGCCGCAGGGTAGGAGGGCCGGTGGGCGTCGTAGCTCGAGGCGTCGGCGAACCCCGATTGCGCGCCGGGGTGGAGGGTCTGTGTCATGACTGTGCGTGGTCCTTCGATTCGTGTCGTTTTGTTGGATGCCGATTGAGCGGCTTGTCAGGACGTGAACGTTGCAAGAACACAGGTGCACGCAACTCGAAGCATCACGGCGTACCCAGGCAGGCTTATCATTGTCAATTCCTGACCCTGGATTGGCCTCAATCAGCCGCCCGGGCGGGGTCAACGTCATCGCCATCGCTGGGCACGCGACGATCTGCCGACAACGGCGGCGTGGGGTTGGCTCGGTCGGTCCGCCCGGCACCCAGGCAAGCAAGCGAGGCGCGCCGAAAGCCGAGCGCGTGCGGGCGGAGATCCGAGCGCTTCGAGCACTTCTGGCCCGCGGGATCAACCAGCACCTCCCGCGGATGCACGTATTCTTGTATATGCCAGGCGTTTATGTCATTATGCCTCAATGGTGAATGGTGTGGTTGAATAGCGCTGTCATGACTGGTCGTGTTGACTTGGCCTCTCATCCTTTCCCTTTCAACCCAACCGTGGCATGCCTTCACCATCACAACAACCACAACCAATATCATCGGCGAATGGCTGTCTTCCAAGCACATACGACCATACCTACTGGAAAACTCGGGATCCCGTCCGCTCTCCCATTCGATAAACCAGTAAGGGCCGGACCAGTAGTCGGGTGGGTGACCACCGGCGAATCCCCGGTGTTGTATGTTTTTGTCCTTTGACGAAAGGCCACCCCCTTTTACGGTACCTAGATGCTTATATGCTTGTTGGATCGGTCATTGAAGGGGCCCGCGCAGTCTCCTGTCACCTATCAGCGGCTCGTGCTCGGCGGACTCTTCCGCAGTTTCGCCTTTCCTGCCTGAGACAGCCTCCTCGGACGCATATGCCGCCATGACTCCTCAGCGTCCGCATCATCGCCACTGCTGCTCTGTCCAGCTGTAAATGTACCGGCGGGAAGGACCTCGAATCCAGGATTCACAATGCGTCGTGATCGATTTGCGTGCACGTCGCCCGGTGCAAATGTGGGCGATGGTATCGTAGGCCGACTTCTTTGGTGCTGGTGTTCTGACTTAATACGATAACTGGCTCCCGGCTCAGGTGGTGTCCAGGGCTCCGGGACGACAACAGTACCGGTACCTTCAGGGTATGCTACGTGAGCGGCCGCCATATTCAATGAGCGCGGGATGTTCGAGCCATCGATGGGATGATGCGAGCTTGGCGTTAGCACGTCAACTGCAGGCAAGCGTCTTTCAGGATGGTGAGTCGGACGCCGGGGGCCAGCGGTCTGGTATTTGTTTGCAGGAATTGGTATCGCTTTATTGGCGTCGGGTGTTTCGTGGTCATAAGACGCAGCAGCGGAAACAGCGTCGCGCATCTGGCGAGAGCCGTCGAGTGCCCCGGCGATGGGTGCGGCAATCGGAACGTACGTTTGAGATACAGTCCTCGCCTGTGACTCGCTTTCCTTCGAGTGTCCCAGGGCGTATCGCTCAGTGGAGTTGGAGTTTTCCTTTTCGAAGCCTAGAGGGGCCGATGGTCGGTACGTCTTCAAAGCGTCTGGATGGAAATTCTGGAGAGAATTATGCAGGCCAAAGGTCAAGGGCTGCTCAATTCTGGAGTCATCTGCAAGGGTATTTGTATGCGGTGGAAGCAGTGCGAGTACCGGGGCCATCGTATCCAGTCCCTTTCCCTTTGCGTTGCTCTGCCCTGGGATCGAAATGTTCATCGATACGAGCATCGATTGGGTTTCTGTGGGCAACGAATGGCTGGAGATCCAGATGCCGTCGACTTGGATGCCGCTCTGAATGGCTCGGACGCCAAAGGGAATTTCAGTGACTTGGTTCATCGCTGGCAGGCCCGACTTGCGCATTTCCAAGTCGTGCGTTCGCCTCTCTTCGTCAACAGCCTCCTGTTTCTTGACATACTGATGAGTCCAGCAGAGCTTCCAATATCCGGCAGCAAAAACAAGACAAATGGCCGCACCGAGGCACTGCAGTCGTCAGTCTCGGGTCTCTTGCCGATTGTTGCCGGTCATTCAATCACTCACAAATGTCATCTGCTGCCACAGCTCCCAGGAGATGAAGAAGGAGGCCATTTGAGGTTTGGTACACCGGCGAGGCCTGGTGTGACTTATCGAAAGACAAGTGGTCAAGGGTTGGATTGACTGAGACGCTCTCGCTATCACTGAGTAGCTTACGAGGAAGGCGTAATGGGTCGCACTTGCCTCCCATGCACCACTCGAATAGAGCTTAGGGATAACCAAAATACAGATGATGGTTCAGGTTGATGAACGGAGCTTTCATGCGCATTTCATGGTATCAGAGATGCTTTGGCAGAGTGAATGGTTGGAATGGCTAAGCAAATTGGGGGCTTGGGCCAGGAGCGATCGAGTAAACAGAATATTCGAGGGAAGAACACCCTAGGGCAAGACCAGGGAAGCAGCAGGGAGACACCACCCGCGTGCTTTGTACAAATAGAAAACAAATTTTGGTCCTAGCAAGCCAGGATGTGCAGACGGGTGCTGGCATGTCACATTTGGAACAGGTCGCGGGTAGCGACAGAATCACCAAACTTGCCCTGACACTCGTCCAGTTTCCTGTCTATGGCTACGCTAGCAAGCATCCAAAATACCAACTCTTGGCTTCGACTGAGTGATGCTACACGATGAAGGACCAAGAAGATGAGAGTTACGCTTCGCTGGAGGTCATTTCCCGTGGCTCTGTACTGACGTGTATAGTGGAATAGGGGTCGATGGTCGCAATACATCCAGTCCTCTCACAATCTGTAGCACCCTTTGACTCGGAAGCACCAAACCACCTCGTCCTCAGGGCGGGAAATCCTTACAAGACGCTCAATGACTCCACGGGAGTGCCAAAGTTGCTGTGATGCAGTTCTCCTCGATGGTGTGTCTCAGCTTGTCGAGTATCTACAGGCCGTAGGAAAGGGTGCCCGGCCCTTCAAAGTTCCAAAATAAAGAATTTTTACGGCCAGGAGGAAGAAAGCATCTGCCTTTATGGTACATAAACCTCTTGAATTCCACCCATCCTGATCTCAACTTGAATTGACTTCCAGATATGTTCACAGTCAACGGAAATCTGCTCCAGCCCCGGCAGCACCGGCGTCGCGAAGGGCAGGCTAGCTTCTCATTGTTGTCAGCGACCCCTTCAAATTCCTCTCCCTTCTACCCTTAGAGAACTTGCCTATAATTACCTCAAATCCGATCCACGCTCATGCCGAATACCATCCAGGAATGTTCGAGGTCGATCACAAAAGCCTGGCGGCGGAGGAAAGTCACCCGCCGCAATCCCTCCCTGCAGAACCTTGACCAGGGAAACAGAACGACACCATCCTGCAGCCCCCCCTCGAGATGATACTACACATCACGACGTTCCTCGATGACAGCTAAATTACAGCCCTAGCACTCTGTTGCAGAGGCCTCTACAGAGCCCTGCCTCCCCTCCGTCTCCCACGCGGCACCCAGCGAGAGGACCTACAGCTCCGCTTCCAGCGCGACATGGGCGACCAGTGCCTTCATTGCACCGTCTGCAGCAAGATCCAGGATTTCTCATTTCTCGTGCGGTTGTAGAGCCGCAGAGAGCGCTATCCCTGCCTTGAGGGGCGGCTCCGCGTCGGCTCGGGCAGATACAACCTCCCGTACCACCACGGCCTCGCCATGATGAACCGCCACCTCTACGGCGCCCCGAAGGGAATCCCCATGATCATGCACGAAGTGGAGTTCGCCAATAGTGACAGCAGAGAACCTTGCTGGAGCATTTATACCACCATATATATCGTCAGAGTCGAGCTCGTGCTCGTCGTATACCACGAGATGAGGAGCAGCGACCTGGACACTCTACGGCAGGCCGTCGAAGAGAGAGAACACTGGATTTGCATCCACAGGAAGACGAACGCTTCATGCGGGGGTTACTTATCCTGGATGGAAAAAATATCATGAAGCAGAAAGGGTCCAGGACTTTCGGCAGGGACAGCTCTATTGCCCCCACTGCCTTACGGATTACGTGGTCACGCTGACCCTGGATCACGGCCTCAGACCGCAGCCTGCCCGCGAGAACGGCACACCGGGAGTGACTGTCTCCAGGGCCGAAAAGTCAAGTCGACGTCCTGCGGCACAGTTTGTACTAAGATAAGGATTGGTCAGTTTTCAGTTTCGTAGAAAGAAAGAGGTCCATCGATGCGAAAAGCTTTCTCCACTCCCGCCTGTGCCACCAGTCAGGTAATGATATCTATAATCTTGTTCGCGCTGTCTGTATATACGCTACGGGTATGTATAATCCCAATCATCTGGAGTGTGAGCCCATTTGCTGAAAGCAACCCAGATCCCAAGGCAACGCCATATTCAAGAGCCCTGTAATCCCCCCCCTTTTCATGAATCCACCCTGGCAACAAGGCGATGATGGATAGCTGAGGCCAAATTCCGATTAGACCTCCGGAGTCGCCCTACCCAGCCTGGGCGAAGGCGCCCCCAACGGCGTCAAGCCCCTTGCGATTGTCGTTGCCGGCGCGCTGGCGGGCGAATCTCTCCTCGACGCCCCCGCCTTGACGGCGACGAGCATGTCCCTTGCCTCAAGCACCCTCCTCTCGAAAATCATGGTCCTCTCCCTCTCACGGTCGATTCTCGCCTTGCGCTCGGCAAAGTCGCGGTCCGCGTCGCCCAGGCGACGCTGGCGCTCTGCGTCCGTCCTCGCGCGCCGCTCTGCCTTGCTCGACGCCTCTTCAAGGCGGCGCGCCGTAGAGGATGAGATGATGCGCGGTGGGCCGGGGGTCGTGCGCGGCTGTGACGAAGCGCTCCAGAAGCAGCGGAAGATCAGCTTTGTCTTCTCAGGATTGTCCATCGTGCCCCAGACAACAATCTCGTCACCGTCGTGTAGTTGAATCCAGTGCAGCGAAGATGATCCTGGTCGCGGTGACGGGAGGTGACAGCCGTTGACGTGGATGCCGATGGTCGCTTTCGTTGAAAGGTAAAATCCATACTTGGTAGGGTCCACGTCTTGTCTGTCCCAGGGATGTGCAGTCTTGCTGGCCTGCCGTTTGGTTGGCTCAAGCTCTTCTGTCCACAGTAGTATCTTGACGGCATATTTCGGAACCCGAAGTTCGGTCTTGGGCGTATACACGGCTGTATTCTCAGGCCCCCTGCCCCAGGACACAAATGTGTTTCGTACGGGAACAGAGATGCCAGACACCACAGAGCCAGGCGAGGATTCTAGCACCGCCAACGCACGCTGGGGCACCTCGTCATCGATGATGGGCACAATCCGTTGGGTCTCGGGAGGTAGCGTGTCTGGCAGATCATCCTCTTCCGGTGGCGGCGCTGTCGGTGGCGGAGCGCTCGCTTCTCTGAGTTCCGCCATGGTCCTCACATCGCGTTGCAGGGTACGCGGCCTGTCGTCAGGGCTCAGAAGTACTGGCTGCTCCGTGTCCCCGGGACCATCCTGATGAGGAGGGAAGTATTTCATGGCCAGATCCCAGAGACCTGATTTGCCTGGCGCAAACACCTCCTTGCGACTCTCGGCCGCTTGCGTGAATACTTGTCGCTGTAACTCGGTCATTTCTGGATAGTCGAGATGCCAAGTTCCCATGTTCTGTCCCTCCCAGAAGAACGTTTTGTCCTGGGGACCATCAATCTGTCGGCCAGACTTCAGCCTCTCGACGAGCGGTACAGAAGCCAGAAGCGTAAACTCCTCCATGGCCTGATCGGCAAGGGCCTCGATATTGCCCTCTGACCGAAGTCGCTTAACGACCGGTTTCCCCGGCCTTGACTCCTCAAACTCGTCACTCGTATCGTATGCGGGTTTGCGCTTGCTCGCGGTCCAATAGCTGCCGTTGACACCTGAATCGTTGACAGTCTTCATGGTCGTGTCGAGAATGACTGATTCGGACGCCCCTAGGCTTTGTGACCGAACGTTTTCCACCAGACTGGCTAGCTGGTCGTTAGACTGGCCGTTTGCCCTCGACAGAGAAAGGCGGGCGCCGTTGTTTGAATGCCCGCCGATGGTCGAAGCTTCATGAGACCCTAGGCTATCCAAAATCTCCGTCTCCATGCTGTCTTCGGGCGCATTGTGAGAGGAGCCGGGGAGTGATATGTTCAGGCGGCCCTCCGGTATGACCCCCGAGCTTCCAACGGCTGAGATGTTCACCTCACCAAACAGCTTTGGGCCGGCGCCCGGACGGCCAAATGTGCCGTTCTCATCCTCGTTCTCTTTTTCCGAATCCTCAGCTAGAAAATCATCTAGAACATCGTCGATTACTTCTTCGAAATGAGGCTCGTGCGGAAGACGTCTGCTCTGCCCCTCCTGAATGCTCAGCTGCGAAGCTCCAACCTGCAGTTCGCTCTCCTCGTCGTCCGTAACCTCGTCCAAAGACTCAGCATCCTCTGGACGTTTCTGCCCGCCGAGCCAGGGGTCGCCTTGTAGATCGTGCACTGTCGCTCGGTGTTCTGGGCGGCGTTGCAGCATAGAGCCGAGAAAACCTATCGCGTCATCTGATACCCCTGCCTCGACCAATGGCTCAGTGTTGAGCTTTGTGGTCATGATTTGATGGAGCAACTCCGAGTAACTGATACCATTCCGCACGGGATATGGTGGCTTGCCCGTGAGGGCGTAGAAGAGAACACCGCCGAGAGACCAGATGTCGATCGCATGGTCGTAACGTTGACCAGGAGGGGCTCGCCGCGACTTACCCCGGGGCTGTCGAAATCCATGGTCATCGTATTCAAGATACTCGGAGTATACCTCCGGCGCACAATAGAGGAGTGTGCCACAGAAGGTGCGCAGGAAGGTCTGCTCGTTGTCGACCATCTTGGAAAGGCCAAAGTCGGTCAGCTTGACTTCAAAGGGGTCGATCGACTGGACCAAGATATTGTCGGGCTTCACATCTCGATGCGTGATGTTGTTCTCGTGTAGGTAGTCCATGGCACTCAACAGCTGAGTGGCCATACGCTGGACCAACACTTCGGGAAGGATGCCCCTTTCGGCGACGAGCCTGCCGAGGTCGCCTCCGGGGACAAACTCCATGATAATGATAAGCAAGCGATTCTCCCAATCAAAATGCTCGATGTAGCGGACCACGTTATTCTGGCCGAGATGTTAGTCGTAGACACGGGTCATAGGTCGGGGAACAAGACTTGCATGATGGACTTTTTGCATGATCCTCATCTCGTTCTCGACCTTCTGGTCCAGAACTCCATTCTTCATGAACCGCCGCTTCTCCAGCTCTTTCGCTGCGTAAGGTTTGCCGTCGAACTTGGACGTGACTTTGTGGACGATGGCGAAGGCGCCCTTGCCGATCTGGCCGACCTTGTTGTACTTGTTAGAGCCACGCCACTCTCGAGGGAACCGGTCTACGTTCTCCTGGGTCGTGCCGGACGGAAGTGGTATCCTCTTGGGCGGCTGCGCCGGCGGCGGTCGATTTTTAGGTGAAGAGAAGAGATCGGGATGCCCGCCTCCTGGGGTAGGTACCACTGTTTCGGCAGCCTCTTTCTGCAGATCGTCGATGCGCTCGAAGTAGTCCTCCAGATTTCGGATCCAAGCTCTGTCGTACTCCCCCTCGCGCTTGGGTATCCGAACAAGGAACTCCAGATCCTGCTGCTCGGAATGCATCAGGATCTTGATCTTGGAGCCGTGACTCAATGTCCGCCGCACATCCATCTTGTCGTTCGGATTCTTGCCCTTCAGGAGATTGGAATCCACAAAGGTCCCGTTGGTGGACTGATCCTCCAGCATGACGACGCCATACTTGTTCACGTAGATCCGAAAGTGGACATTGGATAGTCTCTTCATAGGGTCATTGCAGAAGCACACATCGCACCGTGACGCGTTCCGGCCAAACTGAAACCCCTGCAACGGATCCTTGACCAGCGTCGACAGCCTCAGGATGAGGGCATAGTCACCCGTGTTCGGTGGCGCAAGCTGGAAGTTGTCGGCCTGGTGCTCCTGGTCATAGTCGGGCTCGATGGCGGCGGCTTGCTCGCGACCGAGGATGTGGGTGGCGTCGTGCTGGGCTATCCGAAGGACCTCTTGGCGGGCAAAAGGGGAGTATGGGTAGAGGAGGCAGATGATGTCGGAAATGTCATCGTCGGAGAAGCCCGAATTTTGCTTGCCGACACGCCGAGGATCCAGGACATTCTGAGTCGCTGCAGCCGTGAGGGGCGATATGTTAGCTATTCAACTGATTTGTAAGGCCACGAGCGGGGAGCAGACGAGAGGGGGCATTAGTACGTTGGGTGAGCTCGCCGCCATCATTCTCCATTGGGGCGACGGCAGTATATGTGAGACTGTCAAGGCAGGCCTTTGTAACAGCAGGCGGCCACGAGCGCCTCAGGCTTGCTTGTCTGCCTTCAGAAGCTCGGGCCGTCGAGGAGCAGCCTGGCGCGGAGGGAGTTCGTCACGGGTGGGATGGCAAGCAGGCGAACGGTACGTCCGTCTACAGGTGGGACTCGAGTATATATTTGTTAAGCGTATGCAATCGTTGCGGTCGTGAGCGTATCGCGTCGTCTGACTTTCTGGCGGGGTCGTCAAGGTTGTCGGCGGCGCAAATGTGCAGGCTGGGTAGGCAGAATGTTCGACAAGGGTATTGTTCGTCACCGAGCAACGGGGGGCTCTCAAGCTCGCGGGAACGTCATGTCAGGCCAGGCAGGCGAGTGTAGCAGATGGCTATAGGTTATTCGTACAGAACGGCCAAAGGCAGGGACGAAGCCAGCGCAGAGTGCAGAGTCCGAAACTGTGTTCAGGCGGTGGGTATCAGGCGGTGATGGAGGAGAGGGGTGCGTGACGTTGGGAAAGAAAAATGTCGAGGGCGAGTGATGTCTCTGAATTCGAGATCGCACGCGAAGGGACTGGGCCACACGCCTCGGTGGGAGGGAGCGTGGCACTTGACGTCCAGGGGGGGTGGACGCCTGAGCGAGGAGGGGCAGGGGGCACGCGGACAGGGGGATGACCCCTTTGGTACGTTACCTGATGACCTAGGTATCCGGCCTGGAGAAGAGTACCTGAAGCCCCCCCGGCCGAGGCCAAGTGCCCGATGAATTTGGCACTGTATTTCGAGTGACAACCCCAATGATCATCCCCTGAAAAGCCTCCCAAGCTATGCACCTCTGTGAAATTACCTACCTGTAGATACCTATCATCTTGAACCAGGTACTTGCAAATGTCCACCACGTCTCAGACGGACATGTACCTGCCTACCCACGACACCACCTCACAGTACCTGCAGCCCCGATCGCGACCCTTCGTCGACATGTTCACCTGTAATCAGGGCTGTGACGATGATAGGGCTGATTCAGATGTGTGCCTTCCCGGGACCATCGTGCTCCGCCAGTTGTCTTTCCATCATTTCGCATATTGCTCACCCGCCCGCTGGCTTCGTCACGAGGTTCATGAAGGTCATCGAGAACAAGTACCGAAATGTCATGTCATTCAACTCGTCAAGCTATTTAAAACATTCCGGCTACTATACGCAAAGCGTGTGTCCTGTGCCAGCCCGCGCATGGTGCCTCATGTGTTTTATGCCTTTCCAGGCCGAACCCCAAGCCGGCCATGCCCCCAACGCCTATCTGCCATTCGAATACAAGGAAATATCGCTCTCATCACCTTCTCTTTCATCCATTCCAGATGCCTCTTTACACACTCAGAAGGCATGGCCTTGGTTTGGGGGTCGCATTCCCTGCTGACCGCGTCCATACTGGCCACCGGGCGACTGAGGACGTCCCCCAGCAGCGTACGGCCCCTGCGGCGGCATGAAGTCGCCGGGAGGAGGCGGACCCTGGCGCATAGGCATCGGCCCCGGCCCGGGACCAGGTCGGTAGGCCCCACCCTGTTGCTGCGGCATAGGCCCGCCGTAGGGTCCGGGACCCTGCTGTTGACGGGGTGGGCCATAATTGCCACCGCGTCCCATGTTCTGGGGTGGGTACATGCCCTGTTGACCATACATCGGCTGCTGCATCTGCGGTTGATATTGCTGCTGCTGCTGCTGCTGCTGCTGGTATTGTTGTCGCTGCTGCTGCTGCATCGCATGCTGGACGGCATGATTGTTCATGCCCTGTTTCATCTGCTGCTTCTCACGTTCACGGGCGTCAATGGCACCAACCAAGCCGCCTCCGATAGCCTGTTGCTGCTGTTGTTGCGGTCTGTTACCAGCACCCATGCCAAGCAAAGGTGCCCCTGTCATGCGGGCCACCTGCTCCTGGTCTCGAGCAGACAGCTGGGACGCCATTTCACCTGAACTGCCCACATCAAGAGCGTGGTTCGCGCCTCGAGAGTTGGGTCGCGCCATGAGGTCTCCCGAGCTATTGTTCCTGTGGTGTTGGTTGAGCAGTTCCTGCGACGACCGACGACCCATCGAAGGAGACGGCGTCTTGGCGCGCATGTTGTTCAGTGCCGGGTTGGACGGCGTCCGAGCATGCCCGGCCTGGGCAGCCCGCTGCTGCACATACTGCTCTGCGCTGAGGCCCGATCCGTTACCAGCACTGCCCCCCACGCTCGGCTGCCATGGAACCTGGCGAGCAGGGGGCGCATCGCCATGCTCGTGAGACGCCACGGCGGGAGATCGCAGAGCTGGCGAGTATGGGCGTTGCATTCCAGGGTTGATGGGTGTTGGGGTCTTCTTGCGAGGGCTGGCGCCGTAGTTGATCGTCGGCCCAAAGTTGATGTCAGGGATATCGAATGCTTGGGGGTGCGGCATATCAGGCATCGGAGGCTCTCCGCCTGTCGTTCGGAGGACACCAGCGCGAGGACGCTCGACAGAAGCCTGCGTTTCGCTAGACTTGCGCGCGCTGGCGTATTCGGGGCTCGTAACGGAGGCGTCGTCGTAGTGACTGCTGGCTGCGCTGCGCTCACTGTACTGCCGCTGAAGCTGCTGGTCGGGCTGGGGGGTTCGCGTTCGGCCAGACTCCGTAGGCTGTGCCGGGCCAGGACCGCCCATGTGCATCATAGGTCCAGAGGCGCCACCCGGAACCATACTGGGGTGCTCCTGCTGCCGCAGACTGTCGGATCGGTTGGCAATCGGTTTGCGGTGGATCGGAGGGGACCTCTCCACATTGGGCATAGGACTCCGACCCCCTTGGTCGTTGGGGGTGCGGGGACGCTGATCTTGATACTGGGGAGGGACACGGGGTGAGTTGGGGGTAAGAGGCGGGGTCTGGCCATAGCCGAGACCCCTCGTGTCGAGATTCTGCATGTGACCTGGCCCGCCAACCGTGGGGCTTCGCGCTCCGTCGGGTCGCGAGAAGTTGTTGTAGGGAGCCTGGGGAGGACGAATGGGCGGGGGCATGCGGTTCTGCTGATCCGGGCCACCTCGGCCACCATACGGAGGGTTGGGAGGCAGAGGGCTGCGAGGACCGGGGCTCGGAGGAGGACCACCGAAAGCCTGTTGCGCCATCGGAGACCGGGATCTCTTCTGGTTCAGGGGCGGGATTGGAGGAGGTAGACCTCCCTGGGAGGGCTGAAAGTTGTTGGGCGATGTCATAGCTTCGCGAGACCCGCCGTCGTTAGCATAGGCTCCCATGATGTTGGCGTCAGGATGTACCGATGGTTGCGCCGCAGCAGCGTGATCCTCACCGCTTCTGGGGTCAGGGTACGAGCCAGGAGGACCGCCCGTTGGGATTGAAACGCCGCCGGCCTTGGCCAGCTGTGATAGCGTCGTGTTCGAGAGACGGCTGTTGGCCCTTCTAAGCTCCGGTGAGTGGTACGGTTTGCTGAGAGGCCTGGATTGAGGTCCGTGGTTGAAAGCAGGAGGTCGTGAGACGGGCTCCGGGGTCTGAAGGTTTCTCACCCCGTCCAGAGTTCCGGGTGGTGTATTTCGTGCAAACTGCTCGTCATCCGAGCTCTGGCCATCCTGGGTGCCGGTTCGGCCCTGCATGATGCCACGGGAAGCAGGTGGCGGTGCCTGATACGGACCGCCCTGAGGCTCCCGGCGGAAAGGATCTGGCGTGTGAGGCCCGTTCACCTGGGGTGGCGCGGAATCTGTACGAGGAGCCCCCGTCAGAGAAAGAGACCGAGAGACACGGTTCGTGATGGCGGAGTCATCCGCGAAGCCAACGCGGGCTCTCGGCTGAGGCACGCCCCCACTCAGGCGGTTGCTTCTTCGGCTGCCAGCACGGCTGTGGCCGCGAGGGGACGGGGTGTCTTCAATCGTGTTCATGCGTGTTCCGGTGAGTTCCTTGAGCTGCTTGCGCCACTGGCTCTCGGACCATCCAGAGCTGCCGTCCTTGAGAATAAGGCCAGTGACGTCAAGGATCTCGAGATAGCCGTATCGACGGTGCTTTGGCATGGCGAACATGAGCGATCTGGGGTCTAGCACGCTAGCAACCAGCCTGCCTGGACGACCATAGAGGGCGAACGTGTCCCACGTGGGGAACAGGAAGCGAAGCAGCATCTCGAAGCCACTGACCATGGGATGCACCTCAGGCATGATGAAGACGAAGCCTTCGGTCGACGAAGGCGGGTCCGAGTGAATTGTAATGTTGCCTTCAATCTTGAGAAGTGTCGAGGCATCAATGAGCGACTTGGCCTGGGGATAGATGGCGTAGGCAGAGTACGAATCGGAGATGGAGGCAATCGGCTTCGCCTTCTTCTGCTTTTTACCCTCGACCTTGGTGTCATAGAACTTGATGTCTCCCTTGAGAATGGGCGGTCCGGAACGCTCGTAGGGCGACTTTTTCTTCATCTCCTTCTGTGCCTTTTGGTACTCCTTCTCGTCTGGCGGCGAGATGACGCACCAGCAACGCCTCCACGGCACGCCTGCGCCAAAACGAACTCGCACCCATTCCTCCGTCTTGAATTTGGATCGCTCCATGACAATGTTGATGTTGTTGAGCGTCTTGCCTTTGCCAGCGATGAGGGCACCCGTGTAAGCCTCCTGCAGCGTCGAGTGCTCGAACATGGCGAGGCGGATGCCGGCCGTCCATTGAATCAGCGAGTGGTGTGAGTTGAAGTGGAGAAGGTATCGGTTCCTGCCGGCGGTGGAAATGCTGAGGATGTTCTGCAGAGGTTGCTCGTCGCTCGTCCTTGTGGGGAGAGACTCGATCTGTGCGCCTAGTCAGCCTTGGGAGTTCCAGGTCCCGATCGGGAGTGTGCGGCTGGAGGGCGTTGGCCGTGTGTCCCGATGACGTACCATCTTGATAGAAGCGTCGGTGAGGTTGATGAACTTGGGCAGGACCTCGCCGTCCTGGCCTGCGGCGTCTAGCTCAGCAGCGTCCCACAGTGACAGGACGGTGCCGACAAGCTGGGCGAAGCATTCTGTCCACGTTCGGTCGGGGTTTGGCCGGCCATCTACAGAGCGGAGAAAGAAGGTCAGGTCAGATACAATGCACGAAGAGGCGGCAGCGGCAGGCGCTTGGAACGGGAGCACGAACGAGTGTTCTGGTCATCGAGCTTCAGGAAGTAGCCCTCCTGGTACAGCTTGTTGGCGTGGCTGTTGAGGAAGGTGAAGATGGGCTGCAGCTCCGGGATGGTGTCTTCGTTGACATCCATGAAGGGCGGTTGGTAGGTCTGGACCATGGACAGCGGGCGAGAACTGTTGCGCTTGTGGCCGCGTGCTGGGGTTCCGGTATTTAAGGGTGAGGCGTTGGCAGGCGATGATGCATAATCGGAGCGGGCAGGCGATGTGGGCGTTGCGGGGCGGTGGTGGTTGTAGTTTTGGGCGTAGGCAGGGTTCGGCTGGGGGTAGGGTGCGGACTCGGAGCCTGGTATGGTGACGGGAGGCGGTGCGCCTGGTTTGCCGGCGAAGGCACCTTTAGGGTTGAAGTTTGTGTTGCCGTTGTTGGCGTCTGGGTTGGAGAAGGGAGAGTCGTTGCGCGGGGGCGACGAGTTGGGCGAGGGTGATTTTGTGTCCCGTCCAGAAAACTGGGACATGAACGAGAGGACTACAAAAGCGAGTGCGCGTGAGGAGTCAGTCCACTTGTCTTTGCTTGTCTGTGTCTCCAGAGCGAGGGACTCCCAAGCGGAAAGATGACGAGTGCCGGCAAGACAAGGCAAGGCAAGGCGAGGGCAGGGCAGGTAGGTACTACGTAAAGCAAGCAGATCGAGCAAACTGCCTACCTACCCAGGTACCTAGGTAGTCTACCTAGAAGCACCTAGGCCTAGGCGGTAGCAGTCCAAGCCGTCGGACAGGCCAAGCAAGCCGAGCATAAACCGTGCAATTTGGTCGAGTGATGCAGGACATTGGATCCGTGCCCAGCAATTGGCCGAGAGCGTGTGGGGAGGGGCAAGCTGGGTGTGGAGCGGGGCTTGGAGGGAGAGCGACATGGAAGGGGAGATGGAAGGGGGAAGGCGACTGCTGCGTGTTGCAGGTGTCACCGTCGCGCTTGCGTAAACACCTACGCAGTGTCCGACAGCGGCAGGGGGTTGGAGGGGGGCAGGAGACGACAGGCACATCCATCCGGCACTCCTTTCAGCGCAGCCAGCCCACTGAAAGCCGCCGCGGCCAAGGGGGTCTGGTGGGGTTGGATAGGGATCGATAGGGGGAGGGGGTCGGGGGCGATCTCCCAGCGCATCGCATCGCACGCAGTTCCTCGAACCACATCAGCCAAGCTGCAGTAGGGACGCAAGGCACCTGGAGATGGGGCCGGCAGCGATCCTCCCGTATTCCAGGGTCGAGCGCCTGCCGCCTCCCTCGTAGATGCCAGGCATGGGCAGGTTACCTTGGCGGGCGGGAGTCTGTCCCGTGTACCAAGTAAGGTGAGACAGGACAAGTGAGGTAACGAAGGGTAGGCAGGTAGGTAGGTGCATGCCCGAAAGACAGTGACGACACTACCAGCTCATCGACACTAGGGCCTGCTGTGCTGCACGCGACCCGACAATCGTGATCTGCGACGCCCAGGCTGCTGGAACTAGTCGAACGATGCTCGTCGGCGCCCAACCCAGTTGGAGAGAGCGACTGGAAAAGAGATGGATAGAGTGGGAAGAAGAGACCGGGAGCGTGGAGAGGAATGCTGTTTGCACAAGCAGAAACAAGACGCCTCGGTGAAGCCAAGGCAGCACAAACAGTGACTAGAAACAGAACATACCTCGATTGCGGCCCATCGTGCCACGAGCTGGCCACGGCGCGCGCTGCCCGGGTGGGTTTTGGCTCGACAAATCGTAGTCGCAGACGCAAACTTAGAAGAGCGCGAGGCCCCCGTCTGTCGTGAATAGGGGGGCAAGACCGTTCGGAATGCGGCTTCGGCTGCGGCTGCGAGGCTGTCCAGGAAGGGGATTTGCGTTTGGGTCCCGACGAATGTGTGGAAATAGGGAGGCGCTTACACCCAGTGTGTTGATCCAGGTCTGACCGACCACACAGGGTTCCTAGGACAAGAAACAATGACCTGGAATGCAGAATCTTGTCATGAAGAGCGTGTGTGGCAGGGAGGGAGAAAAAAAAAGCTGCGAGAGAATAATGAAATGTGAGCGCTTAAGGGCCGAGAGACACAACAGGCATGAAATGGGAAATGTCGATGAAGCGTTCTCCTGTATCAACCCACGACAGGAAACGCGCGGATGGAGGAGTGCTGAGTGTAAGTACTCCGTGTCTCAAGAGCTCGAGCTCCAAAGCTTGGAAAGGTACCGGAGGTAAAAAGCTAATGGGCAGAGAAGCACAGGCCAGAATGAACGACGTAATGGGCTGTGCTAAGGCTTGTCGTGCCAGTGGTCTTGGTCTTGGTCTTGGGGTCTTGGTATTGCTGGCCGAAGTGCAACAGGTGACAAGAGTAGGTTAAGACTAACCAGGCTACTTTTGTCGATGGGCGATGGAAGGGAGGGGGCGCGAATCGCATGCGTCGCTTCGTGTGCAGTATAGGGTGGAAGGTCAAGTAAAAACGAAAAAGGCCCAAGGAGGGTCCGGTCCGAGGTGCCTGGCTTCTGTAGTGTTTTTTTTTCTCTCATGCCATCATTTTCGAAGTGAGAGAGCGGTGGCTGGATGGCGTATGGCGTCCTGCACAGTCTTTATGCCTCCGTTTCTTCCACTGTTGCTGTGGCCTCGACCGTGCCGCCCACGCGTCTACTTCTCGGACGGACAGGCCGTGGAGATGGCAACTGGATGGGGATGGTGGATGGGCCCGATGAAGAGAGCGACGTGCGGAACCACCGGACGATGCGGGTTACGGGCGGCCGATAGCCTACCAACCCCGGTCTAGACTGATTCAGAACTCGTTTGCTGCGCTTCTGCTGCGCTGCCGGGGGTGTACTTTGGCAAGGTGGTCAAGGTTTCCTTGGCAAGAAACTTGGTATGGGGATGTCCTCTGGGGCAGCCAACCTGATGGCCCACTGTAGTTGTACGTGAGTCTGGCGTCAGGCCAAGGTAGTGAGGTGCCTGGGGAACAGAGTCCAGTCTGAGGGATGGTCAAACGATGCTTGGCATCCGGCTCTGTGTTTTGGCCGTGACAAAACCCCGAAATACGGTGACGGGTTGATCGGATGGCTGATCAGTGGCGCTGGCGATCTCCCTTTCGTTGCTCTTGTCGATTGCCATCGGCGGATTTCGTCCCATCTCCCACCTCTGGCTGGCTACAATAAGTCACCACTCTGGCACGCTTCAACTCTGGCCGAGCTTCCTCTTCGGTGATCGGCCGGGGGGGGTTCGCTAGATTCGCTCGGACCTGACATGCATGCAGTCCGCTTCTGCAAGCCCAGAGGGGGGCTGGGTAAAATGGGTAATTGTCGTCGTGTCGGTTTCAAGGCCTCGAAATGAATGAGGCTGGTTGTTGAATAGCTTGACTGGCAACTCTATTGCCAGCGCATTAGCATCACCTGGAGTCGACCTGTCGGATCTCTGTCACAGGGATGCCTCAGCATGCCGAAAGGCACTGTCCATTACGCTATAGACATCGACTTTCGATGAAGCGAGTTCATGTGCCCGCTGGGCCACCATATGAACCAGCCCGAACGGACTGGCAGAGCGTCAGACGAGGCCCTCACTCAACTCATCATTTTCCGTCTTGGACACACATTGGCAACCTCCAATGTCGCATCATGTATTGCGTCTTGATATCCGCGTAAATGGGCAAGAGGCTTAGATGTGTGGCCTTGCTGCCGGACTGAAAGGGGCCTCAGCTGGCTGGGGAATAATACTACCGAGGGACATGCCAACACCCGCCCACCGGCCGGTGCCGTGGAATACCAACCACCTCGGACGGCTCAGCACCATTACACTGTCCGGCGAGACATTCCACCGCCCATCAAGTGGGCTGTGCAGGGTCCGATCCAGGTTTTGAGTGCCACCTCGGGCGTTGTTGGACGTCGGTCATTTTGATCTCTATTTCATTGTATGAGGTCGCCAAGCCTCAGTGTCAGTCATGGGAGTACGTTAACGTAGGTAGGCCAGGTAGGCTGCGCACACCTGATCCAAACATGAGCAGCTGCGCCGACATCACGAAAACGACACTTCAGCGCTGAATGACGAGAACATGCACCAGGGCTCTTGGGGGTGACATTAACTATTGGCCTCCCGCTGCCGCCGCTTAAGGCGCCTTCGGCCTCTAACCCCATTCATGAGCCCCCCACACCACGGTAATGGGTCCAGAGCCTTTGACGGTGAAGCAGTGGTCACGCAGTCCTCTCTGTCGACCAGCCGTTCCTGGCGCACACAGAACGCTGTGCTCTTCCGACGCATCCGTCAGCCCTGACTGGCCTTTGTCCCCAGATCGGCCTGACGAGCGAAAGTTGCATGGCAAGCAGTTCTGAAACAGCAGAGTCAGGGATCCGACTCGTATCAACTTTGTTTTGCTGTGCATAGGACAGGTATGCTGGATTCGGCATGCAAGCGCTGGCGAGCCGCTGGCGTTTTCCCTGTCGTGCCCCATCCAAGCCAAAGACTTTTTGTCGTCGTCCGCTCCACAGGCGTCGCGGCCTGTCACGACGGGTCTCAAGCCCCTGTCCTGTCCCAAAAGGCATCCTCAGGGTCTCCCCACTTATGCCTCATCTGTGTGAGCATATTGAAGGTCTTCGCGGGTGTCGGCAACTTCGGGCGGCCCCAGCAAGGACCCTGGGACTCAACCTGGACAGGCTGAGGGGTAAATCTCCCAGTGTGGCCATCAACCCCGCGCCGGGGTGAGTGACCTCTCCTGGCCATCGCCGGCTCCTCGAGATCCAACGACTGGCCACCCGTGTCAGTTGATCGTGCAGTACCAAAAGCAAAGCGACATGGTCAGGTACGGTCTAGCAAGGCGCGAGTCGCGCACGTGGCCGTAATGGTCTCGCACCATCCATGCATCGTCATTTCGGCCAGAGCGAGAGGAAATATGAGCCTAAGATACTTTAGGTTGAGGCCATGGACGCTTTGCAGGCTGTGGTCTCTGTCCAGCCGTCATGTTGCTGGATACCGTCTTGCAGACATGAAGACATGTTTGTCCCTTGCAGCGTCCGCAAGCCGCTGGGCTCCAGAGCCTAGGTAGGCGACGCTAGGGTCGATAGGCTGGGCTCGTCTAAGGGCCTGGAAGCGCTGACGTGACGCTGCTTGGCGCACCTTTGTGCATGTTGAAGCACACAGCTTCCACGCTTCATGCTCTGGGCTACCATGCTTCTGACTGAGCATGAGAATGGCAGGAAGCATATGCGTATGGCTTCGTGGCAGGATGAAGTAATGACTGTCAGCAATGATGGACAGGTCCTGTGAATGCCGACGCAGATCATATGGAATCCGCTGAATTCGCCGGCAATGGACTGTCGAATTTCCCGCGGGTACTCATCGAAAATTGTCGTCGGTACTGGAGGTTGGGAAAGGCGTGTCTTGTATTGACGTCACAGCCGAGCCCAGTAATCGGGTTTCGGGTTGCTTGGCTTGTCGAACGGGATATTGCCTTTTACGACGACGTCACCTTGACATGTTCACCCGCAGCTGGTTCACCCAGACACACCGCCTCGCTGGGCCGCGTCAAGTAGCCAGACGCTTGATCCAGGTTGCGGCACCGGGCCCATCAAAGCAACTAGTGCACAGGCGTGAAATGAAAGAAGACGAGGCCTGTGGCTATGGTTGGTGTTGGGTTGTTTTAGTTCCAGCTAGGCATGGGTGCAACGACGACGACGTAAGCTGCGGCGATCGTTGAATCCCTGCCTGACAGCTTATGAGGTTTGCCTGCTGTTGGATTTAGCTTTAGCATCCTGCAGAGGTAGGCTTAAGGCCATGTAGCCGACCGCCGCGTTGCGATCTGTGGCACGGTATGCGGCACAGTCAATCTGCCGTGTCGATCGCAATGGCTGATCATCGGGCCTGTTGGAGAAGGGAGATGCCTCAAGGGCGGCGAGGGAGAATGTTATAGGACTGAAGGGGGGAAAAGAAAATGGTCGGAAGGTGACCGCCAGAAGAAATCTGTGAAATGACCAGAGTACCACTGTTACCTCGCGTGTGGTCGTTCCCAAGGAGAGGCATGTTGACACACATCATCTGTTGTTGCGGCAAACTCATGACGCTCCAATGGCCCGAACCATAGATGGGGTACCCAGCTCGCAGCATCCTTCAGCGGGCTGTTAGGGGGCCATCTCACTGAAGGGCCTGGAGACTGGGGCACTGAAGGCCCTATCCATGTCCCGTAATTTGATGCAACGCGCTATCACGTGCAGTCACTCGATGGCCCATTCAAGCTCAACAGTTGTTCGCGATTTTCCGGAAGGACCAGGGAAAGCCGGGCACAATAGTCGCCCGCGACAGCGTAAGTGCACCCTTGTACTATCCCGCTTCCTTCCAATTACCTTATCTGATCGAGAGAAGGCAGCACCCTTCGCACGTCACAAAGACGGCAACCGACAGCAGGGCCCAGTGATCCGGGACTGTTGCGATCCAGCATCGCATCAGGCGCCGAATCTCACCTTGGATCGTGGTGATGAGACCATTCGGTCCGTCGTTGGCATCCATTACAGCACCTGCGCGGCGACTCCGACAGCCACCGAGGCGTCCAAGGGCCCCTCTGGCGAGGGCGAAAGCCTTCTCAACGACATCACGACTGCGCTCCGAAGAACACCGAGGCCTCGCGATCCCGAGCCTTCCCTATCGGTTCGAGACGGGCATTGCTCTCTTCGCCAAGCGAGCGCCACGGCCATTTCCGCCTCCTTTCCTCTCTCGACCGTCAAACTCCTTCTCTGATGCGCTGAGCACCCACGACCACAGCCGCGACCGTCGCGCGCGCGTCAATGGCGAGATTATTCTAGGCAAGACAAATGGCGACGACGCCGTGTATGCCAGCGACTACTTCATTTGCGCGAATGACGGCGTGGGCGCCTGGTCGACACGACCGCGAGGCCACGCAGGGTACGCCGCTTCCAGATCCCACTTTTGTGCTCCCCATCCATATTGACTTGAATCCAACAGGCTCTGGTCACGACTTATCCTGCATTTCTGGGCCTCGGCTCTCCGAGACGACCTGGCCAAGCTACAGTCGGCGGAGGACAAGTATGAGCCCAATCCGGTCGCGTTCCTGCAGCAAGCCTACGACAGCACGATAAAGGCGACGGCCGAACCGGCAAACTGGCAGGGAACAACGACCGCTAGCGGCGCGCAGCTTCACTTTAAGACCCTGGAAGACGGAAAGACAAACCCCGTGGTGTACGTCACGAACCTGGGTGACTGCCAGGTCATGGTGCTTCGGCCCAAGGACGAAAAGGTCATCTACAAGACGAAGGAGCAGTGGCACTGGTTCGACTGCCCGCGCCAGCTTGGAACCAACAGCCCCGACACGCCTGAGAAGAACGCGGTCATGGACAAGGTCGAGGTGCGCGTGGGAGATGTTGTCCTTGCGATGAGCGACGGTGTGATCGATAACATGTGGGAGCACGAGATTGTTCACAGCGTACGAAACAGTCTGGAGAGGTGGGAAAATGGCGAGGGCGGCAAGGTCGAGGGCGATAGGACCGATGGCGCAAATGGCGGCATGAAGTTTGCTGCCGAAGAGCTGGTCACGGCGGCGAAAGTCGTAGCCCTCGATCCCTTTGCGGAAAGTCCATTTATGGAGCATGCAATCGAGGAGGGCTTGGCCAGCACAGGAGGTTGGTTGATCCTGTACCGTTTCATTTGCTGCAACTAACCCCCTCGCAGGCAAGCTTGACGACATCAGTGTAGTGGCGGCACTCGTCACGGATAATGAAACATATCACAAGGTATAGTGATCGCACGGGGTCGCATGTAAGGAAGCGATTTGGCCGCACACTATGGCTAGGGGAATGGCGTTTGGTTCATTTATGTAACAACTCGAGGGGAGAGCAAATACCTGTCCAGGGTCTCTGAGGGCATTCCAAGTTTCGTGGCCCCAATCTTCGGTTTTCCTTGTCATTCAAACACTAGACTTTGCGCACAGCAGTGCATTGTAGGTCACCAGCAAAATGCAATTCTCGAATCACATATATGCGTAGTTGCTTGTCCCGTTCCATTCGAGGCGTGGAGGGGTACTAGTTATGGAGGGGTTGGATCAGCCTTGACGTCTTGGCCCGTTGTCAAAGCGCTTATCTTATCGCGCCAAAGAAAAAAAGTTCGCCTGCGACATCCAGCCTTCAAGACCCAAGCGCCAGTCCCGCTGCCAGCTCCGAGCAACTCGACCGTCAATCACATCACCGACAGACACAGCGAGCGCCCACAGCCCGCCCCCTACTCGCCCAAGATGCGCGGAAAACGAAGCAAACAGTATCGCAAGCTGATGACCCAGTACTCGCAGATCTGGGGCTTCCGCGAACCGTACCAATGCCTGATCGACGCCGAAATGGTCATTGACTGTCACAAGTTCAAGTACGACCTTGTCGCAGGCTTGAAGAGGACGTTGCACGGCGAGGTGAAGCCCAGTAAGTCAAACTATTCGTTCGCCCTCAGGCTGGCGCCGTTATAGAGAACCCCCTCCTGGGACTGACCGTGGGTTGCAGTGATCTCGCAATGCGAGATTCGCAAGCTCTACCTGCGCAAGGCGGAGCCTGAGATGAATACGATCATCGAGTTCGCCAAGACGCTCGAGCGACGACGCTGCGGCCACTTGCCGGAGGACTATCCCGAGCCGCTGCCGACGAACGAGTGCTTCAAGGCTGTGGTCGATCCGAAGGGTAACAATGTCAACAAGCACAAGCTCGTCGTGGTGTGTCAGGACGACGAGGTGCGACGGATGCTGCGGTCGATTCCCGGCGTGCCGCAGATCTACATCAAGCGCAGCGTCATGATTCTCGAGCCGATGGCGAGCGAGAGCGCGGAGATCAGAGCGCGAGAGGAGAAGAGCAAATACAGGGCGGGGCTCAAGGGGTCTGCGCCGCCCGGCGCGAAGAGGAAGAGGGAGGCGGACGACGAGGGCGATCAGGACGGCGACGGCAAGGAGGCGAAGGACAGCGATGCGACGGACGCCAAAAAGAAGAAGAAGAAGGCGTACGGCAAGAAGGAGCCCAACCCACTGGCTGTCAAGAAGGCCAAGGACGCGAGCAGGAACGCAAAGCAGGGATCAGAACCTGAAAAGAAGAAGCGCAAGAGGAAGCACAAGGCGCCAGCTGGCGAGGGACAAGCTGGCGAGAATGGTGAGGCAGCGGCACCGGCCCCAGCACCCGTGAAGGAAGAGGCATGAGCAGGTGTGTGGTGATCTGGTCTTGGTGTGTTCCTTTGGTTAGGCGTTCAGTGGCATTCAGGTTGGGCTCATAGCCCGGAAAAGCTGTAAGATACCATGATATTGAGCATGATTGTTACACACTGCATGGATACGTTGTCGGCCACTTGTCTGTCTGGTGTCTGTCTGTCTAGCCAGACTCTATTTCTCCTACATTTATTTGCCTGCACATGTTCCAGCACCATTCACCATTCCAAAATCAATCTCCAGCACGTGTCAGGGGCCACAGGTGGAAGAAGAGAAAGGAAGTACTTTCTCTGATTACGAGGATGAACATGTGAGCTGATATTGAGGATCTCAATGTCTTGCTTCTCTCGGGTGGCTTAATGCTCTCGTGTGACGCGTTGTCGACGTTCCTCAATCGAGTCAGATGACGCTGGTTCGAGGCGGTACTTCCCATCTGCTCCCACCGTGGAGGCGTAGTCTCAGGCCTGTGCTTGACCGTCCTCGACCCTCAAAGTGGCACTCGCTCAGGCAACGGTTCCGGGCCCCACTTGCAGAGGGATGTCACCAACATGGTGGAGGTTGACAGGGAACGATCGCCCTGGCTTATTACTGAATTTACTCGTGGCCCAGCATTCCGGCAACGACGTGCCTTCTCAACGACAGGGGTCTGCCAAATGCGGTGGGCAGAGACCACCGCACATTGCACATTGCACATCCCACCTCCTGATCTCTGCCTCGATTGTCCAGAACGAAGACTGTAATCATTTAGACTCCTGCTCATCCACACACAACCCCCGCGCAACACGCCAGCGCTACTGATCTTGCATCTGTCAACGTCTCACACCAGCGGGGGGAGCTTCTCGATAGGCGACACGCGGCCCGACCGCCGACACTTCCGTCCCCCGGACCTCCGACCATACGAGTCCCAACGAAGAGATCGATCTTCGACCACGACTCACCTTCCAATACCCTTGGGGCCCCTCAGCTGTGAAGACAGTTGCCTCCTTCCAACATGGCGGGCCCTGCCGAATCCGACAGTCCTACCTCGCCCAAACCGACCACCGAGAACCAGCCAAGCCCTCAGCAGCAAGAGGAGGTCGGCGAAGCGGCCTCCAAGCCTTCGCATGCAGCCCCTCCGGTAGCCGAGCCAGTCGAGCTTGACGACTTTGGCCTGCCTGTCAAGAAATACATCGCGCCGACAATCATGCCCGACGAGACATCCAACGATGCGTCCCTGGCGAAGCCGAACGAACCTGAGACACTGCCGAACGGCAAGGCGCCAGTGGTTTCCGCAAAGCCACCTGCCGCAGCGCAGTCGAGCACTGAAGCCTCAGACGATGATGACGAGTTCAAGGATGCAAACTCGAGGGTCGCAACCCCGCAGCCGCCGGTTGCTGTCAAAGAAGAGACGTTCGAAAAGGGGGCCGCTGCACCAACGCCTCACGCCACAAAACCTGCCGTCGCCGACGTTCACACCACGGCGGATGATACCTCGCCTACTTCCGCTGCTCCTGAAGCCGACACCAGCGCATTACCGGTTGAAAAAGAAGCTGAACAAGTCAGCACAAAACTAGCATCAACAGGCGCTAAGCCCCAGGTCGTGGAGACCACCGACAGCAAGACAACTCCCAGAGCACAGGATGCTGCGAGTCACACTCCGGAAACGACAGCTGCTGAAGCGAAAGCTGGCCCCTCGGCTCAAAGCAGTGCGTCAGCTGCATCAGATTCTGCCCCTCCGACAGCCGCAGCAACCCAGCACGCCCGGAATGTCAGCAGCTCTAGTGCTGCAAAGGGACACGAGAGAAACACAAGCGCAGCAGGACCGGGTATTGCCGGATTTTCGCATCACCAGGCAACAACCAAGGAGGAGAATAAGGAGGATGACAAAGAGGAAGACCTGGGTTGGCAAGAGATGCCGTCCTATGCGCCGTACGACATTTATGACGACGATAATAAACTTGTTGCCAAGGAGCACACCGAGGAGGAAGAGGCGAAGGAAGCATACGGCTATGGTGGTCTCGGCGGTGCGGGTAGGGGCTACACCCGAGTCATCATGGATGATGATGCGGAATCTGCGACCAGCATGGACGACAACACAAAGTATTTGTTCAAGGAGGTCAACGGCACGAGCTTGACGGAGGAACAGGACGAGCAACGCGATGCCGTCTCCCAGATGCAGGCGACGAAGGACCTCCTCACCGAAGGACAACGCGTGGCCTACGTGGGCCTGGTGCGCATCGAGATATTCCAGCTCGTCAAGGCGGCGGAGACCATTGAGCAGACCAGGAGTTCCAAGAAATGGGTGACATTGGGAGCCGAGGCAACCAAAATGTGGGGGCAGAAGATGATGATTCGGGTGTATGCGCACATGGACATCAGCGCCGCCGAGCAGGTCATGGTGGAGCAGCTTGCTGATCACGGCGTGATTCCATCCGACTTGACGCCCGTTTTGATGGCAAACGCCCGGGTCAAGAACCCCATGGCAGGCAAGACGGAGAGCACAGTCACAACGCCAGCAGACCCGAATCGAAGCTCCATGTCTTTGTCGGCTCCGAAAGACGCTCTCAAATCGCCAACCTCCCCCAGGAGTCCTGCTTCACCTATCTCGCCAGAGGATGAAGAGGTTGCGGAGCCCCCGCCGCCATACGAGGCTCACCCCGACGGCGAGATGCCCGACGTGAAGATTCCCTCGGATCTCCCATCTAGCGAGAATCTCGAAATCGATTTGCGCTGGACAGTCCTGTGCGATCTGTTCCTCATTCTGATTGCAGACTCAAGCTACGACGCCCGATCCCGCGTCCTGCTGGAGCGTGTCGGTAAGAGTCTGCAGATCGACTGGCTCGAAATTCGCAAGTTTGAAAAGCGCGTCACAGACGCTCTGGAGATGCAGCAGCAAGCCGAAAAGGAAAATTGGAACGAGGAAGACCACCTAGAGGTGCGCAGAAAAGACGCTCTGAAGAAACGCTACGTGATGATGGGCCTGGCGACGGTAGGCGGCGGCCTCGTCATTGGCCTGTCGGCAGGCATCCTCGCCCCCATGATTGGAGTCGGCCTTGCCGCCGGTCTCACGACGATTGGAATCGGTGGCACGGCGCCCTTCCTCGGCGGCATCGGTGGAGCTGCCATCATCACGACGGCTGCCGCCAGTTCTGGTGGCATCGTGGGCGTTCGGGCGGCGAACCGAAGAACTGGTGCCGTCAAGACGTTTGAGTATCGGCCCCTCCACAATAACAAGCGTGTCAACCTTATTGTCACCGTTTCCGGGTGGATGACGGGCAAGGTGGATGACGTCCGTCTGCCGTTCAGCACTGTCGACCCCATCATGGGTGATCTGTATTCGGTGCTGTGGGAGCCCGAGATGTTGAGGAGTACCGGTGACACAATCAACATTCTCGCCACCGAGGTCAGTCAATGCTCACGTAATTATCTATTCAAGCACACTGCTAACCAGGACCAAAGGCTCTCACGTCAGGTGTACAGCAGGTACTCGCAAACACCCTGCTCACGGCTCTCATGTCCGCCCTGCAGCTGCCGGTCATCCTCACCAAGCTGGCCTACCTCATCGACAACCCATGGGCCGTATCACTTGACAGGGCGTGGTCGGCAGGTCTCATCCTGGCCGATTCACTGATCGACAGGAATCTGGGCACACGGCCCATCACGCTCGTGGGATATTCCATCGGTGCCCGTGTCATCTTCTCCTGCCTGCAGGAGCTTGCCCGGCGTGGTGCGTACGGCCTCGTGCAGAATGTCTACATGTTCGGTTCGCCGGTCATCGTCAAGAAGGACGAGTTCATCCGCGCAAAGTCAGTTGTCCCCGGTCGCTTCGTCAACGGATACAACCGCAACGACTGGATTCTGGGCTATCTGTTCCGTCTCACCCACGGCGGCATCCGACGCGTGGCCGGGTTGGCGGCCGTGGAAGACTGCCCCTGGTGTGAAAACATGGACGTCACGGACCTGGTCAAGGGCCACATGGAGTACCGCAGAATGATGCCACGCCTGCTGCGAGAGTGCGGCTGGCTCGTGGAGAGCGACGAGTTCACGGAGATTGAGGACCCGGACCCGGAAAACCACGGACAGCGACAGCGCGAGCTGATCAACGAGATCGAGGAGGCGCGCAAAGAGCTCGAGAGGGAGGGTCAGCAGGCTAAGAAAAGCAGGTTCTCCATCTTTGGGCGCAAGAAGAAGATGGAGAAGGCCAACTGGGAGATCTACGAGGATTCGAACAAGGCAGGCGGGTCGGCAAGCAAGACAGAGGTCGAGGACAGAGATGGGCAGGAGGGCAGCAACCACGGCGTCCTCTTTGACGTGGATGCGATCCGGGCTGAGCTCGCCAAGGAGGAGATGCAGGTCAAGGAGCTCCAGTCGACGCTGCCGCCGATGAAGCTCGACCTCAGCGCGTCCCCGAACCCGCGGGACAGCTTGCGGGGCACCAGGAGCGCCGACGCGTCGTCGCTCAGCCTGCGACCGTCGCACGACACGCGACGCGTCTCGGAGGATCCGTCGCCGCTCGGCTCGAGCCGCGGGCGCATTGCGTCGTCTTACTACACGGACCCGGACCCCTACCGGGAGGATGAGGTGTCCATGACGTTCGACACGTCCTTTGACGACCCGGCGCCACGACCACCGCCGCCGCCAAAGGACGACCCGCCGCCGACGAGGCCAGAGTACAAGTCTGCGCAGACGGTGCCTAACATGACACTGAACGACCCTTGGGCCGACCCCGACGACGAAGACTTTGGCAAGGAGAAGGAGATGACCATGACGTTCGCATAGTGCGCATCATGGCGTTGGATGATTTGTGTTGCTTTTGAAGACGCGGGGCTCTCTTTTTCCATCCTCTCTTCTCTATCTCTGACAAAGACGGGGGGCCAGAGGCTATTTTGGGACTTGAACGCATACAATGACGACTAGGCCTATTTGTTTGTAATAGTGTACGCAGGATGGCGTTCGCGGCGGTTGCTGAGGCAGTAGAGAGGGGCAGGGCAAGAGGGAGACAAAAGAAAGGCGTCGTGACGACAGCCTTTCCTTGCTGCAGTGACCCCAAGGCAGAGTTTTGGGTTCAACGCAGCTGTACGATACCAGGCGAGTAATGAAACGGGTGTCCAAGTTTGATCAGGCAGAGAAACGAGTCTAGAGAAACCGAGTCGACGTGACGGCTAGACGGGTGGTTTCATGGGGCCGACGATCAGAGTAAGACGGCGTGATCCATTGGCGGCGTGATGTTGGGGGCTGCTGCAGAAGTCGCTGTGGAACCGGACGGGCCGGTTTGCTGCAGGTTGGGCGGGCGCATGTTCTGGGCGTGTCGCTGGATGACAGCTTATGTGCGTCAAGTTTTGTTGGGGGCGTCTTTGCCCGTGCTCTGGGTATGTGACAGGTACAAGCCTTTGGGGCGTAGTGTGGAAAATCCATTCCTCCATTTTCCCAAGAGACTGTTTTTTTTTTATCGGTTTGGGGATGCTCTGTGTTCAAACCTTGCATAACCCCATCAAGCAGACCGAACAACATGGTCAGACAAGAGCCTGTCGTCGAAGTCGTCGAAGTCGTAGAAGGCGGATCAGCCGCAGAGCCACTAGAGGGTGGGGTCCAGGCCTGAAGGGGGTTAGGCGCCGACGCAAATAGCAGCGCACTGCCCCTTCCTGCTGACGGGATGGGGGGTGGGCAGAGCCTGGCAGAGACGGGGCGGGAAGGTGGGTGGGACTCGGAACAGCCCTGTGGCGGGCCAGGGTCGTTGCTGGCTCGGGGCGGTGGGTTGGCATGACCGCCTCATCGCCGCCGGCTTTTGGCGTATCGCCAGAACTCATCTCGATTCGGTGATGGACGATGGAGGGGGTGGCTTTTCTCCTGGTGGTATTTTTCATGAGGTGTCTCTCAACAAGCAATGATCATGACACAGACACGCGGCTGCGCCGACCCCCAGGGCAAGAGAGTCACAAGAAGCCTGGCGCGGCAGGAGGACCCCTGGATCTCGGGAAGCAACTGGATGAGTGGGCCCCACACTACTGTACATGGTAGTGCGGCGTGCGGCGTGCAGGAGCTGGACACGGCATTGGCATGGGCTTTCCACGACATGTCAACCGCCAAGGCACTGCTCTGGCTGTTGGCTGTTGGCCGTTGGCTGGGTTGGGCCGTTGGCGACGGGCCTTGTGCTGCTATGCCTTTGCTCCCCGCCTTTGCTGCCATGAAAGGGCTCCCATATTCTTCGACACAGGACAAAAGAACTCCTTTCGTTCTGGTAGTCTCTCATCTGGCCCGGCGAGCAAGCCTCTCATCCTGCTGTGCACCAGCACTATTTTCAAGCAGGACCACCGACACAACGAGCTAAGGATCGCAGCTCAGCCTTGGCTGTCTACACCACCCTGCCTTCGCCTCCCTAGTGCATCCTCAGCCCTCCAAGCCTTTCCACTTGCCGTCGAGTGCAGATCCACGGCCTGTTCATGTGCGTGCACGTCTTCACCAATCCCATTCCACTCAACCCACCCCACCACTGTCAGGCAAGTTGATCTGTGAGACGACACCTTTCACCTGCAGGCCGCGGATCCTGCCTTGTCCTACTCCAATGTACCGACAGCACCCGGCGCAGTTGTCAACGTTGCGCACAACGCGGCCTAGGTTACCAAAGCTCTTCGTCCCCCTCATCATCCCGCTTTTCTGGCTTCTCACCCTTGCCCTCCTCAGAAAGACGCCTTTGAAGAGGCTACGGATTGCCTTTCCTTTTCGGCCCCTCTCTGCGCAAGAACAGCATAGGGTATCGGATTCCAGGCTCAAAAGCAGCGTTGGTCTGCAGTCGGAGGAGATCACGGGCAGCCACAAGCCGTTGACGATCCAGCTGCCCGCCATGGGAGACATCAGAGAGCCGACACCAGATTTGGACCGAGGCGTCACAAATCCAACAACGAGCATAGTCAACGAAGCGGCGACCAACCGGCCTGTGAATTTCCCTGGAAACCCTCCGCAGGCTACTGCGACTGTGTCTTCCACTACAAGCAGTTCAACTGCACAACCGACCGGGAAGAACATGGCCATACAGTGGGATTTTGATTGGAACATGGCCCGGTCGTTTCCTGTCCTCGTGGCCGGAGACACTGGCGCGGTGCCTCATACTATTAACGCGCTATTAATGAGCGATCTGGTCATGGAGAAGGGCGAGTGGTCTTATAAGCAAGCGAATGGCACAGAAGTGATCCTTGTCACCACCTCTACGCAGAGCAATCAAGTACCGAACTCTGGCGACACGGGAGAGACTCGAGTTCGCCAGACCAATGACCGTTCCCTTGAGAGTAGGTGGTCGTTGTTCCCGTTGCTTGTGGCCGTCATGTGCTGATCAACCTCCAGTAAGCCCAAGCTTAACTGTGCTTCCGCTTGACGTCTTAGAGCTCTCCGGAGTGCCATATGGCTCCGAGATGCGCCTCACCCTGACCTGGCTGTATAACGGCGAAACCGGCTGGAGCAGATCGGGCATTTTCACCGTCGTGGAACCGGCCGGAGAACCAGAAAAGCGCGAGGAGTTGGAGCGTATTGGGTTTGAGACGGAGGAGGTCCTCCCAGATGAAGTCTCTCGCATCCTCAATGGCGGCAGCAACGTCATCCCATTGGACCCATCAAACACTGACCTCACTTCGGCTCCGTCAACGACAGGCATCGCGTCTTCTACAGACGACGACGCCGATTCGGACCATGCCAACGATGGAGGAGGGCTCTCTATCGGTGCCAAAGCTGGCATCGGCGCTGGTGCTGGCGTCGTGGGTCTGGCACTCATCATCGCGCTCCTCTGGTTTTTCTGCCTACGAAACCGCCACAAGAAGAAGGGTCATGTCAGCAAGAATCCATACAACACCGAAGGTCACGTCTCTGAGTACATGGTCAACAAGGAGACCACCGGCGCTCGCGTGACCGAGTCACCTCACTCGCCTTACTCGGACGATGGCAGTCTTGCGCAGCAGCAGCAGCAGCAGATTCAGAACCAGACGGCAAGCTCCTCGCCACGCGAGACCACCGCATTCGTCACCAGTGCGGCAGCTGCGCCCAGCTCGTCCAGGCACAACCTTGAGCGTCAGAGCGAGGGGCGGGATCGTGGCCTTTCCGAAGCAACGCCGCTAGCGGCGTCAACGCCACGCAGTGACTCGCAGCAGCAACAGCACGAATCGGCAAGACCAGAAGCGCGGTCCGCGACCCCTCAGGGCGTCAACTCGAACGTATCGCACCTCATCGAGGATGGCATGACGGAGGATGAGATTCGGCGACTGGAGGACGAGGAGCGGCAGCTGGATGCGGCGATTGAGCAGCACGGGCACGGCCGGCGCCTGGCATGATGACGCAGAGGTGTGATGTGTGCGGCGCTGGGAGTCCTTTGAGCATGTCCAACTTGATGTATGTAGGCCGAAGGCAGGGTTGATTGGGTAGCAGATGATTGTGATGAGGCAACTTGATGTATATGGATCAGCCTTCCGGGTCACATCTCGCTTGTCACGGGTGGTTTCTGTCACCGACTCGGTCGAAAGTGGAACAGGAGTCCCCTGGCCCAACAACGTCGAATGTGAACGAAACCTTGAACCATGCATCGCGCGTACTCGCCTCCTACCTAGTATACAACGGGTATCGACGCCCTACGAACTCCACCCTGTTTCGACGAAGATGTTTTCGTCCTCGGCTGAAGAAAAACAAGTCCGTTCTCTTCCTGTTCGTTTTGTAAAGACACGGACGCTCAACAGAAGGGAGGGGCCACAACGGAGCGGTTTCTGACCGAACGCCTTTCGTCTCCGTCGAACCCCTCTCACCCCACCCCACCCTGCCCGACCTACTTACCTACATGTGCTTCGGAATCATCCTACGCGCCTTCACAAACGGCTCACCCGCGGCTAAAATACCGGCCGACCATGTTGCTGGCCAGACTACTCGCCAGGCCGCCACCGTACAGCGCGCTGCCAGCCATGTTGGACGCGTGGCTGAACTTGTCGCAGCGGGAGAAGGCGAGGGTGTTCATGATTGTCAGGACGAGGGCGATGACTTTGTGGTCCCGTCAGCGTCTGCGCATACAAGCAAGCTGACCTTCGTCCAAAGCACAGCCTGACGGCCGGATACGATCGAGCGGGGTGGAAAGACGGAGACAGAGGGAGGGAGGCTGTAGAGAGGGGGAGGGAAGGGGGGCAGAGGAGACTGACCAACAAGAGGCAGCCACAGGAACTGCAGCCGCACGAGCGCAAAGACGGCCAGCAGCACCCACAGCACGGGCTGCACGTACAGCGCCAGCCAGAAGAAGCGGCTGTCGGTGGGGTTGATCGTCTTGGTGCCGGGCTCGGAGCTCTCAAACACCCACTTGGAGTCGCCCGACTGGGGGTCGACCTCGTTCCACCAGCGTAGGCCCACGAGGCGGCGGCCGGCAATGTTCTTGAGGTAGTAAAAGTCGGCGGCGAGGAGGAGGATGGTGATGATGAAGATCATGATCCTGTTGGTTTCACACGCCGAGTTAGCTCACTGGGACTCTTATTTTCGTCTCCATATCATCCTCGAGAAACAGAGAGAAAGGGCAGATCCAGAGAGACAGGACGACGGGCCCAGGGAGGAGGGTTGCGTACATGCTCTTGATGATCCAGAGGCCGAGAAAGTAGACGAGAACGCTGGCTGCCAGGAACGCGTTAGCTGCCCGTCCTGCAGGCCACGGAGGGGGCATCGTGTCGTACATATCCGGAAGCCGAGGAAGGTGAGCAGCGTGATGGGGTGGGAGCTCAATCGCCAGCTCAGCGACCCTTCGACGGGCGCCTGCGGCGCATTCTGGTCCATGGTGGGAAGTGGAGGAGGGCGAAGCCGACAGCTTCAATATCGCAGTATTGTCGTCGACTTGTTTTCTTTTGCTTCAGATCCCAACGTAGCAGAAGGGTCTCTCTGTCGTCGTCTTCGATGTCGCCGTGGTTCGATCGAATATCGCGCGTAGGCAGTCGTCGTCGCGTTGGGGGGTTGAATAGCTTCGCAAATCGACAGCTCTGTGAGGCGCCCGAAAGTGATAGCTGTTCGTAAAGGGAGAACTGACGGGTTGTTCCGTGACCAGACAGACCCATGCTCCGCCCAGGGGTCTGTCGAACGGTCGGCTGAACTGCGGCATTAACACCCTTACGTCATCACGCGCAACGTGCCGAACGATTGCTTGGGCCGAACTCACCCATGCCGATGCCGTGATGGCTTCACAGCCGAGCTCAGAACTCATACCCTTTGACTCGATAATCACTTTGAAGGGCATTCACTTCCTGATTCACAGTAGCCCGGCGCACAGCTTTGCTCAGCAGAAACAAGCATCTCAACTCCACATTCTCTCATAATGGCATTAGCGGCGAGGTCGCCGTCCATCTTGCGCCGAGCGCTCCTTTATGGTTCATGCTTCCCCCCCCCCCCTTTTTTATTTGACAAGAACCTAACACTTGTCAGTCCCATCCTCGTCTGAAAAGATGCTGACCAAATCTCTCGGCCTGACCGCGGATAATGTAACATACGACCTTGAAGACTCGGTAACTTCAGCCCGCAAACCAGATGCCCGGAAACAGCTCCGCTCCTTTCTCTCCAATCAATCCTCCCGCCCCGCATCCATATCTGAGCTGGCCGTTCGTATCAATGCTGTAGAAACTTCTCTCGCACTCGACGATCTCACCGCGCTCGCCCCGTTAGCCAACGTCGATGCCATATGCGTACCCAAGGTCGACTCTGCTGCTGACCTGACCTTCGTCACCGATGTCCTCCGCCATGTCGCCCCGGAAAGGCATGCCGAGAACTCCAAGAATCCTATCAAAATCGTAGCGCTTATCGAATCCGCCCGTTCGATCATGAACCTGAAGGAGATATGTGACGCCTCACCCTACCTAAGCGGACTGGTTTTCGCGGCCGAAGACTTCGCCAAAGACCTCTCCATCACCCGATCACCGTCCCTTCATGAGTTTCTCTACGCAAGATCTGCCATTGTGACTGCAGCAAGGGCCGCAAGCCTGCCCAGTGTCATTGACCTCGTCTGCACGTCCTTCCGGGGCGAGACAGGCCTACAACGACTTGAAGAAGAATGCTTAGGCGGTAAGGCCATGGGCTTCAACGGAAAACAATGCATCCACCCGACGCAAGTGGAGCTCGTGCAGAAGCTGTTTGCACCTAGTGAAAAGGAACTAGAGTGGGCCGTCAGAATTACCATAGCCGATGACAAGGCCAGCGCTTCAGGCCGAGGTGCATGGACGCTCGATGGCATGATGATTGACGCACCGGTGTCGGCAAAGGCTCGTTCCGTGGTGAAGAAAGCGGAGCAATGCAAAATGGATGTCGGGAGTGTGCGTGCGAAGTGGCAAGGTCAGGAGCCCGAGTGAACCGGGTTAAATAAAATAGTTCGGCCTCCAGAATGATGCTAACCGTTGAGCTTCTTCGGCTGCGTTAATCGTGCTATTTGTGTCTTCAGACTGATGCAAGAGATACGTCTTCGATCTAGAATGAGCATGTGGGTTGAGCCTCGTTCTCTGTCCATCTCGTTGAGTTCGGCGGTCGCCCAATGCGTTGTTGTAGGAGCCGAGAGTATGTGGTTGATGCATCTGATGCCACACCCCACTTGTCGTTGGCGCAGCATTATGAGGGGTGTCTTCTATGGTGCTGAACCATTCTTCGTCGCGACATCTCTGGTCCGGGTAGTTTTGGTGCGACCAGTATCTAGTACATTCATCTTGGTAAACTTCTGTCTCTAGACGCTGAATGAAAGCGACCACGCTTTCCGTGGCATCCTCGTCGTGCATGGTCATATTCATGTCGGATGGTACAGCATATTGTGAGTGTAGTGTACAGTGCTTAATATCATTTATAGGCTGATGCTGCTGAATGTCTTGTTGACTGTATACTTCTCGTGTTGTCGAATTGTGAGTGCGAGTTGATGAGACGAGAGACTGACCTGGTTGAGACTGAATCTGAGTATCAGCAGGTGATTTAGTGACTCGGACAGCCGGGCACTCTTTAGGCAGGCGAACGACACGGTCACTAGGTGTTGACCCTACAGGCGCTGTGAGGGGCCGTGATATGTGGTCGTCGTCAACACGCTGGAAACATCGCTCAGGCGTGTCCTCTAGCGAAATAGTCCGCTGCGGTCGTGGAGGTGCTGGAGAGAATGGTAAAGGGGATTTGGGTGCCGGCGACTTGAGATAGATTTGTTTGGCAATCTCGTCCCGAGACACCTCTCCCTTGAAAGCCTCTGCCATCGGAATCAATCTAGCGTCTGTTTGATTCTTCTTACCGTGGCCTTCGTCTACTGGATCAGCCGTCTTTGCAATCCCTCCGGAAGCCGTGTTTTGCGCTTGCGTTGCAAGCGTACTCTCATGCATCTCTTCGGAGGCTACCGAATGATCCATTCTCGCCTCTCGGTCGAGCGAACTCTCTCTTGCCATCACACCCTTGTCTTCGTAGTGTATTATCGCAGTAATTGGGCGACTATGGTTCAGGGTATCGTGGCCTGCGACATGGCCCTCTACCTCGCGGGGCAAGTTCCCAGACCTCAGTGCGCCGATTTGTTGTGGGTTCTGAACCTGACAGCCTCTTTTACCTACACCTGTACCTTCGAGCACTCCAGATTCTTGCAGAGCTTGCTGTACATGATCTGGCGCCAGACTTTCTTGACAGACGCGTCCCAGCTCGTGTGATTGCTGGTCAGGATGCCTTCCTCTGGACATGTCACTCGTGGACCAAGTGCAATAGGAGGTGTTCTGGCCCGTTGATGGTCGGTCTTCGCGTATGGAATTTTCAGGTGGGAATAAAGAACGATTTTCTGGCTGGTCACGGATGACGTCTCCAAGTCCGTAGCCGCTTATCTCTTGGTCTTTGACGATATTACCCATACCCTGCACCTGCTGACGATCGCCCTGTAAGACAGGACGCCTGAATATGTCGGAAGCTTCGTCTAATTCTCTTCCCCTTTTCTTGTGTTTTCTGTCACGAGACCGTGAGGGTATGGGTTTCTTCGCCGGTCGGTGCTCATGAGACGACGCAATTTCCATGGAGCCGTGTCCAAGATCTTGGACTGATATCCGTCAGAAGCAGCTTGGAAAGGATTGGAAGGTAGACTCACTCTTCTGTGTAGCGTGACGACCATTATAGAACAGACCAGGCGTATTAGCAGGCTGCAGCTGTGCTTTGTGAGCTTTCCGACAGTTTCAAAGCGAAGCTAGGAACATACCGTCACTCGCCTATTATGGACTGCTTCTGGAGCGAACTTCTCCATGACCTCACGTGAAGCTAGCAGCATCCTGTTGTTGGTCTCTCTGCGTCGACTTGGGCGCTTGATCTTCTCTGCTTTGCTTTTCGAGACTGTTTTTGGGGGCGATCCATGCAAATCGTACTTGTCATGCCTTGTCTTGTGCCTGGCTCTCTTCTCGAATGCTGGCATCCGCGGTGAATCATCTTCCAGAGATCACACGATCTCGAATAGGGGCCTGTGGAGCGTGTTGATTTGGTGCGAGAGGGTTGTCATCAACCCATGAATGCTTTTGATCCTGACCGATCGTATCATACGCGGCTCCACCAGCAAGGTGTTCCGGATGCCGTACCGTTCTTCTTTGCGTACGATGCCTGTCGTGTCTCTTCCCCAGAATAGCGGTCGTGTTGCGTGAACGGTCGTTGACTCGCTGCAGCCACAGCTCGACAAGCTCGTTGCCGTCCATTGTGCCGCTAACGATCCCACACTCCGCTATCTGAAGCGCAGCCAGCGCTTCACTGCGTAGGTGCCCCCTCCCGCTGGGCTGTGCGGACCCGTCATCCATCCTCGACTGGCTACGGGGTTGCTAACGTGGCACGAAAGTACAATTGGCACCTCTGTGAGGCAGCTGGGCGACCACCAAGCTAATGTGAACGCCTCCTGGACGCTGTCAATGTAAATGATGAACCCAAAAAGGCAACTGGGGCTATGCTTGCTTGAAGTTACGCAAATCACCCGCGGGGTTCTAGCACGAATATACGGAAAGACCTGCCCTTGTTCGATCCACTGGGTGTGCCTTCCACGCTATTCTGGTGTGGAGGTCGTGACTGTATCATCCCGAGAGATACCAAAAATTTACCCTTGGCGTTTGGATTTGTGGAACTTGGCACGACCATACTCGCGGACTTTTTATTTTCTCAAAAAAAAAGAAGAAAAAAAAGACTTCAAGACATAGACTTGAGATCTATGATTTCTGCAAACAACCTCATACACAGCCCAATGTCTTCGTGCGGTCATGGTATTTGCAAGCAGCTGATTCTACTGTCAAAGAAGCGACGAGGCTGTTGTAGTTTCCCAGTCTCTCGAGGAACGCCGTGATGCCATTTTTGCCCTTTTATTTTCCGGCTCTTTACTCTTCTAGCTGCGGGTCAACAACTGCCAACCTCAGAATCTCGCCATCTGAGAGGTCAGAGATGACATCATGGAAGTTTTGACACACTTGTCGCTTGACAACTTGGGTTATGACACTGGCGATTCAGACAGCACGCGCAAGTTGGTGACCCAGGCCTGGAATAGATGCTATAAAAAGCATGACAATTCATTGGGAAACACCAGAGTGGGTGGGGGTGCACCTCCTATTGCGTCGCCAGCTCGCGAGTCTTCTCATTGAAGTGATCACAGTGATCATGCGAGTCGGACGTCTTTCCCACGCGCAACTCTTCCAATGGCTTTCTTGTGTCCTTGCCCTCCAGCTTTCTAATCGCTAGTCCGCGGTCCGCCTGTGTCATTGCGACAGGTCCTTTCGAGGATCTATTCTTAGTTGCTCCTCGGCAACTTCCAAGTTCAGGCGGATGACTGGGCTCCGGCGATCGTTCAAGGGCGGCAAACTATGCGGCAAGACGGACAAGACAGCTCCTGGACGGTTCAGCGACACCGGTGAAAACATGGACTTTTGCAAGGACGCGATACTCTGTCGGGAGCGCCGCATGAGCAGCAAGGACCTCGTCGAAAACGCTGTGCAGCTGAAGACGAGGTTCGTTTTGCCCCGGTGGCCACCTCGAGCTAGATGACCACCTGGACCTCTATCTCTCATAGCAGGGCAAGGTCCGGGTTCCTCGATACAACATTTCAACGAGTAGTCATCTGATGGCTTGTCAATCTTTCGACGGGCTCCAGGCATCCTATCGATGTGTTGTGTGCTTTCAAGACGGAGCCAATCTTGACTTCGCAGCATCCCCGGACTTGTAAAGCCATATATATGGACGCTGATCATGAGAGGAGAGCAACCGGGCGCTGTAGGCAACACTAGACGAGGCACTGGCGACCCTTGCTACCACCAATTCGCTTGGTCACGGTGACGAGACACTTCCTCTAGCTCACCAACTTTCGAACCACTCTTCCATTGATACGCCTCCCGGCGGAGATGGAAGACCAGACGAAAGGGTGTATAGTGCCCGAGATGAAGATATGAACCTTGTTGACAGCGGCAGGGTCGCCTCCGGCATCATCATCTCAACGATGCCCAGGCGGAAACCACCGCGGGTTCCCGACCGATCCGCCGGCTACGGGTGCTATATATGATGCGTGCACAAAGTGAAGCCATTGCTATTCAGGTTCACACAGCTTTTTCACAATTGTAGGTATCCAATCGACAATATTTCTTTCATTTTGGAAGAAGAAGAACAGAGAAACGCGTTCAAGATACCCTCCGCGAGTCTCAATGCGCCGCGCGTAGTTCTTCCTATGATGGTCTTTGACCTTCAATTGCCAGCAACGCATGCTGTCCCTTGAACTGCCGCCCTAACGCACGGTCCACTCAAACGAATCACAAGGTTGCTAGCAGCCGTCTATCATGAAGCCTCCTTATGTGACGTAAGACTTGCTTTGCCTCACCTCTGAGTCACGGCCGATTCCAACACAACAGCGAGTAACGCTACTCAGCAGTTGAAGAATTGCCTCTGTGGGAGTCATAGCCTACTACTCAGATCCGCTACCCGCAAGGGCAGTGAGGCTATCAGTTTGTCTCATAACCTGTACTAGTATATAAGAAAGAAACCTTGTTCGCTATACCAAGGCTCTTCTAACCTTTCATCGCTAGGAACGAACATGGCAACATATATCTACATCAACGGCTACCCCGCTGTCGGCAAGCTGACCGTGGCAAAAGAGCTGGAGAAGCGAATACCCCAGTCTAAAATCTATGACAACCACCTCATGATCGACGGCGTCGCTGCCCTGGTTGAGCGCTCGTCGCCGCATTACCAAGACTTGCGGACGGCTGCGCGCCGGTTCTTCCTGGACATCATCTCCACACACGACGTGACCGATGGCGTGACGTGGATCTTTACAGATTCGAGGGAAAAGAGCGCCGAGGCTGCCGCCGCCGCTCAGGACTACAAAGATGCTGCTGCACGGCGCAACGTTCCTTTCGTGTCGGTCATCCTCCACTGTGATGCCCAAGAGAACGAGAGGAGGATTTTGGGAGAGGGGCGCGGCGGTCGAACAAACACGAAGCTGGTGGATGTCGAGATTCTGCGGCAGATCCGGCGCGAGGAGGGCCTACATCGATTCGGGGGAGATTGCGAGTTGGAACTGGATATCACGAACTTAGAGCCAGCTGTCGCTGCGGAAACTATCCGGAGGCACGTTGAGCAGGTGACATGAGACCAAGCAATTCGGTGTAGAGATAGGTCTGGATTCCGTGTGCAATTGGCCAGCCAGCAGCGTGCTCAATTGACCAAACATAAGCGAATTCACAAAATCGACTCTCCGAAACAGACTGGTCTGTCGAGCACCTGCCAGCCGATGTTAATTGTTACTTCACTTCAGACTTGAAACTAGGCCCTAGTCGCAGAGCTCCGGGCGATCGTGACGTTCACGTAACACAAGGTGTGTCGACCCGCCAAGCCATTTCTATTCTGAGTGCAAAGTCTCCACCCCGACCTAAGCGACAGACGAGGGTATCGCGATGACAGCTTGATATGTCTGATGGCATTGCGCATTGACCGTTACCCCTCTCCCCGCCCGTAGGGAGAACAGACGACGTTTCATCGCAATGCCTATGGCTTCATAACCAAGCAACGCCTGAGGGATCATCAAGCGAGGGAGGGACGAGGGAAGGAGAGGCAATACGAAGCGGTGGTGGAAAGCACTACATCGAAATTTCTACTCGGTGTACGCAACGGCTTGCGTGGCATCAAGTACCCGAGTGTATCCTGCTGGTATAGTCGTTGCCGCTGCCGTCGTCGTCGTCGTCACGTTGCGCGTCTCTGGTCGGTAAACGGCATGGTTTATTACCTGCCGCTGCCGGCGCCCAAATCGAGAAAGACCCAGAAGCTCGGGTCAAGGAGTGCGGGTGTTCGGGATTTGGTACACTGGCGTTCAAGATCAGCCAAGAAAACCCAAGGTGTCCCCAAGGTCGCATTGAGTCTTGATCACGCACGTGCCTGTGCAACCAGGCAACCCCACGTCCCCTCTCCCTATCAATCCTGGGGTCCTTGGACAGGTAATGCTCCTCGCACTTTTTCTGTTTTGAGCTTTTTGGCAAACGCCCAAATCCCTCTGAAAGGTTCGGGGTGCTTTCCAGAGTGGCGATGCTGGATACATAGGACAAGCAAAGCAACCGGATGCGGCGAACAAGCCTCTACGAAATCGAAGCAGGCGCAGTAAGAAATTCGGCCGAAATGGTTGCAGAGCAAACAGCCCATGGCCGGTGGGCCGGCTCCTTGCGAGCTTGGCCCCCTTACATGTTCGCAGCGTTGGGCGCGCCAGTCAACTTGCAAGCCGCATGCGACAATGCGACAGGTCCTGCTTGCATGCTAGTTTTCCTGCCTCCTAGGCCGCCAAACTGCGTGGTTGGACAGGATTGACTGCAGGAGAGAGGAGAGCCAAAATGTTGTTAAAGATCGTCGTTGGGGGCGAAGACAAGATTCCCACCGGCAACAGCGACCGTCAGCACAGGAGTGTTTGGTGCCACCCAATGTGGCGATTGGTAGGACGATACTCGAAAGCAATAAATGCCCATAGTCTGTGTCGATGCGTTGTTTGGTGGGTAGGGGGTGGGGGGGGATGCGATTGTGTGGTGTGGCCTGGTTCCACACACCCGATGGATGGCACGCATGCTGTTCACGATCTTCTGGTAGAGTGCCAAGCCAAGATTGGACATGGTCTTTGCAAGACAGGGAATCCAAGACAGGGAGGGGGGCGGTAGGAGGATAGATTGAGATGGATAGCAGATCATGTCGAAATCCCCCTCATGGAAAAATTCCAGCCGAACAGAAACATTCAGGCAGGCAAGGAAGGCAGTTAACGATACTGGATGCTCAGCGCTTGGACCAGCAGCCTGTCGCCTTGCTCAGATCGATGCTCACCAGGAAAGTCCCTCGAGAGGTCCTGTGCTGTAGGCAGGTACCTAGGCAGGTGGCTACAGAGCTACTCAAAATAAGTAGCGACCCTCATTGGTGGTTTGAACGCCAGGGAGGGGGGATCTGAGAGATGGGAAGGACACAGGGGAGGCCAAGGAGTTGTAGCAGGGGTGAGGCAGGAAGGACCCGCCTATTAAAACGGACATGTGCACTGCCTCGCTCGAGGGTGACATCGATTGGGAGCCAACGCCATCACGAATGAGTGGCAGGATGTGTGTGTTCAGGACACATGTTTCATCCAGCATAGAAGGTCGCGCGGAGAGAAAGGCAATGTAGAACGGTACATTCTCCTTCCTGCTAGCTCTCTCCACTCTTCAGGAGAAACGGCGCGGCGCTGCTGCTCGAGATTTGAAGCCCCGACGTGCTCATCTGCTTCAAACAAGGCAAGATGAAGGAGGCTGTGCAAATGTGTGGGGTCGCCCGTTTCTGCCCGTCGCCCGTCGCTCGTCATGCTGATTCTCTCCCCATCATCATCCTATGGACTCAGGACGTATCTACATGCGAAGGTCGGTGGTCAGTGTTCAGCAGCACTCAGTCACTGGCGGCAGGCCGCCTGACTTGTGCAGGACCTAGGTACCCAGCAACGAACATCGCAGGACCAGCCCAGCATTAACGTACCCGAGGCGGCCACAGCCACGACGGATACTCGGCGACGACGGCGTGCGCGCCCTGGCGACGAGTGAACGACAAAAGGAAGGGCAATCAATCACAGTCCCTCGCCTTCTCGTTGTCCTCTCCCGTCCGCCAGTCCGTCGAGCTATTCCTCCACTTGTTGGCTTTCTCGAGGAGATGCCGTGCGCCGTGTTGAGACATACCGATGGGGTCTCTGGAACAGCCGCCCATCCCGTTCAACGCGCGCAGAAGCATCGCGTCGTTGCATCCACCTAGGTGATCCCCCGCCCCGCTGGACCTTCAAGCTGTGCTGCTCTGGATGCTGCAATCGCAGGTCCTGAACCCAGCATGTCCCCTCACCCTGGTTCAACGCTGGCGAACTGTCGAGCTGGCAAGCTAAGGGGGGCCGGTCACCCCTTGTTGCACACCTCACAAGTGCCTCGCACCTAAACATCTCGCTCATCTTGCTCATCCAACCATGCGCATGGGCACGGCACCCACACCACCCCCTTGGAGCCAGCCTTGGGCCCTGGTCAGTCGAAACATTCAGTGACAGACGATACTTGGAGCGTGGAGCGTGGAGCATGAGGCATGGAGCATAGTAGAGCATGGAGCATGGGGCATGGGGCGTGGAGCCTGGAGCACCAGCATGAGCACCAGCGGTAGCAGCAGCACGCACCACCCATGCGTCTTCTCGGGCAGATCTCTTAGATGCCTTGGCCGCCTCTTCTGGCGGGCGGCGGCGTTCGGGCCACGCTCATCATCCTGGATGACCATGACATTTGCTTGGGACCTTGACCTCATTCGGCCTGGGGGGGTCACGGTAGCAGGAGCAAAGGCAGAGGGAGGGGGGCGGACCCAACGCCCATCCTCTCATATAAGAACCTGGACGACCACGGGACGGCTGCCCATGCCCTTGCGACTCCCCCTTCATTTACACCTTTCGTCCTGTCTGTCTGTCTGCTTTTCTTGATCGCAGTCTCTCGGAAACGGCCTTGTTCGAAACTCACAGTCCTTTTCGTACACGTTCAACGACGACTTTATTGTTCGACACCGCGCGAGACGAATCTACCTTGTTGTGCCATTTCTCTTCAGAGCTCAGGCACACTCCCTCCCCTCTTCAAGAAGGTACGTATCTATACTTTTGAAAAGTACATTTTCGCTGTTCATGTGCACCCGCGGTACCTTCCCTTAGGTACAAGGACTTGAGAAGCTCCCACTCCCGACCCCCAACGACGTCAAGCTCTCTCTCACCCCGCCGTCTCTCCCACGCCTGCCCGCTCCTTCCCCTCGTCCCTCATCCGTCCTTGCCTATTGCCTCTTGCTTTGCGATTGCTTCGCCCCCGCCCCTCCCCCAACCCTGTCGCTCCTGGCTCAAGTTAGAGTCATTGGGTCACTACATCACATCACTTATTCTCCCCCTGTGCATCACCTCATTGGGATTCCGGATCGCGGGCCTGGTTGTTCCTGCTGTCCATCTGCCGCCGTGTCCACCCCGGGATCAGCAATCCAGAACCTAAGGTACCTCCCATCACACACGCCCACGCCCCTCCTTTGCCAACCATTCTTCCACCACCCACCGCCAGACGTGCGCACCTCGTTCGCCATCCCGCCTCCGAATAAACTTTCTCCCTCGACACCATCAACTCGCTGCTCTACTGCCTAGACTCGACACATCTCATAAGCGCAATCCTTGTGACGATCTACTACTAGCAACCAGAACAACCTCGACTTGCACCGCCAGTTTCCCCTTCCCTAGATCTGCACACGTCGATACAAAGGGAATTGTCTGTCTGCCCATACACTACATTTGCCCCCCTGTCCTAATCTGCGCATGTTGGCGCTTCGCCTTGAAAGTCTCTTGGCACAGCACCCCGTGTCCTCTCCAAATTTCACCTGTTCCGTCTATTGTTCCTGTTGGCAGCCACATCGTGCCGCAAACTTGAGCTGACCTCGATTCCAGTTTTTTAGGATCAGAAAACCTCACCTACCGACAAAATGTCCAAGCTTTTCATTGGGTAGGTCGACTTCGACAATCATTCATCGGATACGCCTGCTGACATGCTACCAGCGGCCTTGCATGGCACACCACCGAGGAGACTCTGCGCTCCAGGTTCGAGGAGTTCGGCGCCGTCGACGAAGCCGTGCGTAGATCACTGCGCGTTTTTGTTTTTTGGTAATTATCATGCCCACTAACGTTTCTTCTAGGTCGTCGTCAAGGACCGTGATACTGGCCGCAGCCGTGGTTTCGGCTTTGTCCGCTACTCTCAGGACGAGGATGCCCAGAAGGCCATTGACGCCATGAACAACGTTGAGTATGTTTCCTCTCTCATGCGCAATCTACGGTGTGTCCTCAACACGTGCTGACTTACGCTTCTAGGTTCGACGGGCGCACTATCCGCGTTGACCGCGCTTCCGACAACGGTCCCCGCGGCGGCGGCGGCGGCTTCGGTCGTGGCGGCGGCGGCGGCGGCGGATACGGTGGTCGTGGTGGTTACGGCGGTGGCGGCGGCTACGGCGGCCCTCCCCAGCACGGATACGGCTCCAACCCCAACCCGTACCAGCAGGGCTACGGCGGCGGTCGCGGTTACGCTCCTCCTCAGCAGGGCTACGGTGCTCCTCCCCCCGGTCAGGGTAAGCGCGAACCCCAAGCTCATAAAGCCAGGCTTGTCTGCTAACTCATTGTTCAGACCCCTACGGTGCCCCCGGCGGCTACGGTGGTGGCTACCAGGGCCAGCAGCAGCCTCCCAACGGAGGCGGCTACTAAGCGTATTTGGCGACATCCCGTTTCCCCGTAACGACAAATGATGCGTGTGCGCCGGTGTCCGTAGGTTCGATCGAGCGAATTGGTGCTACCCTTCGGCGCTACAACAAGATACCCCCGGTCCTAGTGTTGCGCGCATGGACAAGAACTCTGGTGACAAAGGAAGGCTCGGGTCCCTCAGCAATGGAGTGGGGGCTTATGCCTGGCAAACGGAATTGAACGGCCTTGGGTTTTTATTTTTCGGCGGGGTGTTTCGCTTTCGCTTTTACCGCCTTGTTTTATTTCTTGATGGTGAAATGTTTGCCGCCGCTTCCCGTGTGCTCTTTCTTACTCGCGCCGTCATTCGGCAACATTGAAATGTTGCTTGCTATCTGTCGTATGTTTGCGAGTATGGTGGGGGGAGATGATCGCCATGTATGGGCACAAAATTGACTTGGAACAAGGTGATGCGATAATGACTGGAGGGGACGACGACGCGTTCTTTGATGTTGTTTCTTTTGCAGTCCCCAGTCAAATTTCTGGAGGTCTAGCATTGCAATCTGTACGTCTGTTCTATAAGTGAACTTCTCGTCTCGTATGAAATCAGGGGAGCCAACCGGCCTGCAAAACAGGGAGTCTGCAAAGCAGGGAGAGGAGAGAGAGTAGAAGAGAAAAGAACGAAAATGATGGATGGTGTCCGTGGTTCATTGCTGCCGTCGTGACAGGTTAGCGGTAACAACCAACCTTTTATCCAGTTGACTCTTTCGAAACGCCCGGCCCCGTGACCTCCCATAAGTGTTCCGTCTCCTCCTGTTCCTCCGTGCTTGTTGCGTTTGTCCTGGCGAGCTCACCAGCTTTCATCTCGGCTTCGGCGGAGAGCCCTTCAGCGGCGATGATGGCGCGCACGCGGCGCGTGAGGTCTCTGATGTGATCGTCGCCGCTGTCGGGGCTCAGCTCGTCGAGGGCCTGGTCGAGGTTGAAGAGGTAGTCGGTGTTGAGGCCCGAGGGCCCCACACTACGGCGGATGTGCGCGGCGAGGGCCTGCGGGTCTTGGGGGCCTGTGAACTGGTCGTTGTCGGGGGTGCCTATGTAGGCGAGGGTGCGGATGGGGGCGGCGGGGGTGGGAGGTCCAGACGCCGAGGCGGCGGCAGAAGAGGAGGATGTGGTCGATGACGGGGCGGACTCTGCTGGGTGGAAGGGCGTGTAGTGGATCGTGTAGCCATTGATCTCGCGAATGTCGAGGTAGTCGCGGACCTCGGCGACCTTGTCGGGGCGGATGCGGTAGGCGACGCCCCAGACGCGGTCGGGGGCCGAGTCGTGCGCGTCGTGGATGGCGGACCAGTATGAGCGCTCGATGAGGGTAACGACGCGACCTGGGGCTTCTGGGGTGCCGCGGTGGTCCTGGCTGGGGGTCATGTTCAGTATGGACGGCGATGAGGTTCATCCTGTCGTATGAGCTCGCAGCGTACCTTGCCTTTGATGTCGTGTTAGTTGATATGCCTTTGTGTTGGTTTAGAGAAGAGATGAGGGGCGGAGGATGAACAAACCTGCCAGAAACGACGAACATAGCCTGTTACCCAGCCAGGGATCCTCCTATCTTGTCGCTGTCAGGAGTAGAACGGCATTTCCAAGGGTGCAAGCTTTACCAAAGTGTGGAGGAGGCTTCCAGATCAAGCTCCTGTGAGGTTGACGTGTGAGATGGAGGGGCGAGCCAAGATGTGATTGATACACCACCGGCAACTGGTGTCACTGGACGTACCCATATCCAAAGAGCCAAAACTCATCGCCGTCTGTGTGAAGGTCGGCCGACGCCATGTGCGTGAGGTCCGCGATGGAGCAGTACGGCCAGGGTAGGTGAAGAAAACAAAAATGAAGAGCAAGTGCAGCCTCAACTTGAGGCCACAGTCTGGAGAGCCGTCAAGGTACGTGTGTGTGTATGTGTGTGTGGGTAGGTGTGTCCGTGTGTATGTATAAAGGTAGTGGACAGACAGACAGAAACAACGAATACCCCGCGGCGGGGCAGACAGGGCGGGATCGGATATAAAATCGATCGGGCGGCCTCGACCACCCCCCCCTAGTTCCCAGGGCTCCTCACACTCACATGGTGGTCTTGCCAGTCATGACAAATGCACCGGGCAGCCCGGGGGGGATGGCGACCCAACAGCTCAGTGTCGTGTGATGGGCCAGCCGTCACGTCATCTAGGGTGCAGAGCGACAACTTTGTCTAGATGTCTGTGAGAAGCCGCAGGCGGCGGAATGACAGGGTATTCCTGTTGAATCGTTTGTCTCGCGGTAGGCAAACATCCAGAATCCAGAATCCAGGAACCAATGACTAGCGGCGTGTGTATGTGCCATGGCTGTCGGCACGGGTGTTGGAGGAACCATGCGAGCTTCATGGAGTCCAACAGTGAAGGGAGGTCAGGACAGAAGAAGTTTGAGCAGACGATGGCGAGTGGGCACGCTGTGGTCTTATTTCTTCTCCTCTCGGCTGGCCTCTCCCTCCCTCACATGGACACGGGGGCCTGTCTGGCGGGCGGTGGAGGAGGGCCTCGGAAGCATACGCAATCCCATGGGCGCATGGTTGCCGGGAGCCGTGGGAAAGTCTGGGCATTGCAGCAGGTGAGGTGCGTGCCCTGCATCTCTCGACATCTGCGCGGGGACCGAATTAGGGGTTGTTGCGATGCCTGTACCGACTTGGCGCCCGCTGTATTGCAGTGTCTACCTTACCTCACAACTGCTGACTACCTACCTACCTTAGGTGGTACCCGAGTAAGGTGGCAAGTCCGATTACGTGGCGCTTGCTTCGAGTAGCATGCGGAGGGCAGGTACTCATCAATAACAACGAAGGAGCGACTGAAGAATGAGGCGGGGAGAGCATGCCTCCTGCCAGCCTCGTTCGCTCACGTGTGACGTGGCTCAAGTTCAGGACCACCACACGTGTGCTCTTGCCCCGTCAGAGGAGGTACCACCTTCTAAGTAAGGTACTGAGTGCTGAGGTCACCCCTGCCTCGCAATTGAGGTACTGCATTCAGCCCAGATGCAAACAGCGAGGCAGATAGATGGTCGGACAAGGCCAAAGCAGTCACTCGGCTCTAATTGTCTCTGCCACTTCACTTTATTCTAACATCATTTGATCCGTCCAAATGCTGCCACAGGAGAGGCCCCAACAGGCTCGCATCGGCCATGGATGGTTGGTGGCATTGTTCAAGAATCCAAACACCCTTGCTACATTTTGCGTCTGCACGTGCACCCGTGCCGCGGGTTCGATATCGAGTCAATCCCTTCGGAAGTCTGCCACCACAGATTTCCCATGTTATTTTTCTGTGGTCTCAGTCGTCCCACGATTCATGCCGGAAGCAGCTCGTCCGCGAACATGACCGAGACCAACGAAGCCCCCCCCCCCTCTTCTGCCGGCCCTCACTCAATACCTGGGCCACAGATCTACCCCAGCGGTCGCTGCGTCGAGTGTCCGTCGAGATCCTCAAGCCCACCCAGTTTGTGCTGAATGGTTGGCTACTTGGCCAATTCCGATGGCGCCGAAATGGAAGACTAGCGAGGCATCCCGCGCCCCCCTGCAACCACCGCGTTGGCGCCATCTGGCTCCTTTTGCCCACACGCCAGAGGCGAGGCCCAGCCCCGGGCTTCTGGAGATGAGCATGGGCCCCAAAGAGATGAAGAACGGGCCAGCGTCCTCAACCTCCAATGGCGCCTTAGATAATTTTCCAACCTCTTCAGGGGTATCATGCACACTGGCTGGTTTAGGCCTGGCGACCATTTGCTCGGCCACTTGACAGCTTTCATCCTTATTTTCACTTCACCCAGGGTCCCGTTGTTGATCTCAAATTCTTTCCTTCTCCGTCTGACTTGTGTCCTCGCGACTCGACTCGGCCCCTCCCGTGCGCCGCTCAGCCGAGAGAGAACAGAGTGCGAGAGAAGCTCAGTCAGCCACACACCGTCCAGCGCCTGCTACAGTACCAACCGACCCGATTGCGACCGCCGTCCAAGGGACCCCATCACTCATCGCGACGCTTCCTCAATCATGCTGTCGCCCATCCAACGACTATGAGAATCAGCCTCGGCCTCGCGCCTTATCGCCTCAGGCCATGGCGCCTCTTCCGCTCTGTCCTGGCCTTCCTCGCCGTATTGTATGTCGTGTGCTACATATTCATTGAAGAGAACGGCCCCGCAACATGGATGATGCACACTGTCGATACGGTTCGGGGACGCGCTCCTCCGCGCATGTCGCCGCCGCGCCCCATCATGTCGCTTGGACCCCGCGTGCCCTGCTACGGCCCCCGAGGTCAACTGCTATCTAACAGCTCCGACGATGCCCTCACATCCGCCCATCTGTCGCAGAGTGAGTCGATCGGCCCTGAAGCCGGCCTTAGCCTGCTGACGATATCGCAGAGTACCCCGTGCCGTTTGCCGGCTCTCATGAAGAGCTGGGTCTGGAGAAGTCTTGGATGTCTCCTGATGGTCGCTATGGACCTTATGGCTTCGGTGAAGAAGAAAAATCTTACAGTCGTACAGTGGTCGATTGGGACACGGTCGACTGGGGCGTACTTCAGAATGACTGCTTTGCGTTGAACGCTCATCGCTTCACCAGCGAAGCCACCAAATTCCTCAACAGCCCCGTTCGGTTCGCCTGGAAGAGCGCCGGCAAGGTGCCGGAAGACCATCAATGGACTGATTTCAGTGGAAGTCGACGGACAGCGATCATCTTGAGAGCCTATGATGGCTACGACTACAAGAAGCGTGACATGCAGCACATCCGCTCCCTCATCGTCGAAGCGTCATTGCGCACTGGTGGAGAGTACGTCGTCGTGCTGTTGGTCCATATTCGCAGCGAGGAGTTCAACCCTTGGAATTCACCAGAAGAGTATGCCCGTGCCTTTGAGCATGCCAAGATTCCCAAGGAGCTGCAGTCCATCGCCGTTCTCTGGAACGAGCCTCTTTTGGAGAGTTGGTACCCCGAAACCCTCGAGCACCGAACGTTCTGGCAGGCTTTCCAGCCATTGCAACTCTTCTCTCACTACTACCCCGAATTCGACCACTACTGGCAGTTTGAGATGGACATGCGTTTCACTGGCGATGCTGGGGCCTATCTGGATGCAGTGGACCTATGGTCTCGCAAGGAGCCGCGCAAACAGGCCATGGAACGGTCGACTTTCTTCTACGACCCTACCGTGTTCAACACAACCGATGAATTCCGGGCCGCTGTCGATGAGGTCAACCGGGGCCGGTCTCATGTTGTAAGTGCGCCCATGAATTTTCCTTGTGGTCGATTGCTAACGAGGTCAGTGGGGCCCGGTTCGCGTGCGCGAGGTCTCACCCATTGGGCCACGGCCACCCACCACCGACGAGGAGGACAACTTTGAGTGGGGTGTGGGAGAAGATGCCGATGTCATTGTGACGAGCCTGTGTGCGGATGCGCGCAAGAGCACGACGTGGATCTTCCGGGGCTGGGTCTACGGATTTCGGGCTGGAAAGCAAGGCCCACCCCGATACTTTTGTCCGCCAGCGATTCAACGTGGCAGCCGGGCATTATTGCACGCCATTCACACGTTGCAGAGGCGAGGACTGCGAATAGCATCAGAGGCAACGCTACCATCATTCGCGCTATGGTTGGGGCTCAAAATCAGTGCCCCGCCGCTACCATGGTACCTAAACGATGTGCCCGATGACGAGGAGCGCGCGAGGTGGATGCTCGGAGGGCCAAAGGCCAGCGAAGATGGTTTCGGCAAGGGAGATCCACAATGGGGACAGCCAGACATGATCAACTCACCCCAGATGTCAAGCACATTCTGGTGGGCCGGCGGTTGGCCTGGGGAGCTGTTCGAAGGGTGGCTGCAGGGGAAGAAGACCCAGGATGGACAGCCGATGTACCCGCTCACGGAAAGAGAGGGGGAATTGTACATGCCCAACCTGTTGTTGCACCCAGTGAAGCGGGAGTAAGGTGGGTGAGAGGGAAACGCCATGTCTGACGCCAGAAGACGGCTGTGGCGGTTTTTCTCTTGTTTAATGTCTGGGCGGCATCTTGAGTGGCTCATATGCCTACTGCATGGCGTGCTTGGAGTTGGATTGGCTTTTTGATCCGCTGTACGATGTGTAGATATGATGGGACCGGCGGAGTGAACATGATGTATGTAGTAGTCTGAACATCTTACATATCTCGCCACGGCTCTGTGGAAATTCTAATTCTGACGCGTGCATGGCAGGCGCACGTGGCCGGCAGGGACCGAAGGGGTGATCGTCTCGGCATGACGGCACGGCGCAACTCGGCCGTGCCGGAGAGCTGCTGATCGTTCGCGCTCCAGTCCACGCGTGAAACACTTGGGGAGCCAACAGTATTCACTGTCCGTTAGGTCTAGCTCATGAGCCCAGACGCACCGGCTGCAAGCCTTGGTAACGTGAGGGATCTGGCAATTCTGAATGGAATACAAGGGGCGCGTCGGCGCATCCCGAGCCTCACCAAAGGTAGGGTAGCTCCAACACGCGCACCCACAGGGTCGCAGAGAAGTCTGTGGGCGTGCAAGGGCATACTGTCTCGACCTTGTCTCGCATCAAAGAGTAAGTGGATTATGGCACTTGGGGATCAAGCTTTGTGAATCCTTGAGCCACGCAGGCTCCGGCGCGTGTTCAAGTATAATGCATCAATCGACTGGACTTTGCCATGAAAATGTCGATTCCGCGTAGGAACGCTTGCTGTCAGTCCTGAAACCAAGCTTCGCTGGCTTGACGCAGCCATTCTGGACCTACCAGGCGAAAATCTTTGCAGTATATTTCAGATGAGTCGCGGACACCTTGACCATGCTCTCATCGTATGCCACCTTACCTTGGGTACCCCAAACTGAGTTGGCTTCGATGTGTGTTAACCATCGATTCAAAATGTAATGGTTTACACCTTGGCCACCGTGGCTAGATCTGCGCCCTATCAGCGACGACTAACGTGGCTCATTGAACTTTTGGTGGACGTTGATAACAAGGCTGTGGACCATGCGAAGATTGGATAGTTCCCGGAATGCCCGAGAGAGGGTAGAAGTCGGGTGAGTCAGTGCCACCTATCAGACGTATCCAAGGGCTAGCGACTATGCGGGCGTGTGATGAAGTGATATTGATTATCGAGAGATTGGACTTCAAAGATGATGATTACACTTGAACGGCTACAGGTTGCTGACGTCTTTATATCTGCAGAATTATATTGGTCACGTAGAGGTTACAAGATGAAAAGGTGATTTTACGCAATCACGTTATCCAGGATACTCGGGGGGCTACGACTTGGCTGCCTTGCTTCGCCCGAATGTGGTCATTCGCATTCTTGGCAGCGCCATGCAGCTGTAGCCGATTAGGAATCAGGCTGGAGGAAGACGGTTCCTTACATAGTCAAAACGCACCCCCTCTGGAAACTATGGGAGCCTCGAACACCTTTGTTTTCTGTCTGATCCTGGTTTGAAAAAAACGCAAGAGAAGATTTGGCAATATGGGTGGTTACTGCGCAGCGAAAACGAGTTGCGGCGAAGAGTCGTCCCTATCGGACCCCGTCGACCCTGATATCCAGGGTGCAGGAGTAAGCCATCATCACCCAACGAGTCCTGTTAGTTCAGACTGGTGACTGACGATCAGCATTATCCAGGTCATCCTCTCAATGCTTCTAATCTCCTTTACGGCCATGATCACTGCTTTCCTTGCCATCGTTCGGCGCGGGCTCCCTAAGGAACAATACGCTCTGTTCGACGAGCTCTTCTTGGCACTCCCATTCGTGAAATGGATTGCTGGCAACCCTGAGAATCATCCTGCCTGTCACCAAATTAGCAGATACCAAACGTTTATTCTATCTTTGAGCGATCAAACCCTGATAACGGGCATCGCACTTTGCGTCGCCCTATTCCTCCTCTTCTGCCAACTGTCCGCATTCTCTTACCATGTCGGCATAAAGCTCGCTTCATTAGCATCAGGTGTACACCTAGCAACGTTGAACATCTTGAGGCTACACTTTCAGAATCATAGATGGCAGACACGCGTTCGTATTGGCTTAATGCTGATCTACCTGGCAACCATGATCACAGGTACCTACCTGGAGTACATCATGTGGGACTATGATCCGTCGAGACCAGCCGCCTGCGAGCTATGGGCAAGTTCTGGTGACAGAGAGACTCTTGACGTTGCGCTGAGAGATGGAACTGCCAGCGCTATTCTCATGTGCCTCCTATACATGTACGCCATGCGTAGTATACGACGGGAGGATGAGAATTGCACGTCTACACCTCGCTGGCTGCTGACGATCATGTGCTCCATTTACAAAGAGCCTAATCCGAACCGTTTTGCAAGCCATTTCGACGAGCAGCAACATCAAAGAAAACTGGCAAGTCTCGACAAGAAACACAAGGTTATCAAAAAAACGACACCCGCACACTCTGAGTCAATGGTGGTACGGGCCATTTTGGCGGACGTTTTGACGGATATTTACGATTCACTGATCATTGACTTTTGCACCAGTCTTGCCTGGACCGGGTTCGGTTTGGAGTCGTTGCGACGGACCCTTCTTGAGACAGAAGTCGACACAAGTCCTCTCTTTGAATTCAGCTTTGGTCAAGTCATGCCGCTGCTGCTTCTGCTGGTGTTTGCCCTTACAGCACTGGAGGTCGGGAGTAGGTCGACGAGATCCATTTGCTCATTGGATGCTAATACCCATTCTTAGGCATCATAGAGCCCATTCATAAAGAAGCCCCGATGCCTGATGCTCTGGCTGCAAGGGGATTTGGTCTCAAGGGACATAGTCAGAGTATAGTCGCTCGCAGAAGGAAGGGGTCTTCCGCAGCGTTGAGATCTGAAACACCGCAGCTAGAAATACCTGCGATCCAAATGGGCAACAGTACAACCTCTGTTCCCCGAGGCAGCTCCATGAGCGTGCAGTTCCGGCGTCACCCGCAGATATCACCTAAAACATCCCAAGACAGGAGAAGATCTCTGTCTTTGCCAGCCCGAAAGATAGGGTTAGGGTCAATACAGCGCTTGAAGACAGCGCCATCATCTTCCTCATCGAGCGCTGGGCAAAGATCCGCTCCAATTTCCCAAGTTGCTACTCCCCTTCAACTTAAGACCAGAGTCAACACACTCACAACAGAAGAAGGCAACCCAGTGAGTACATGCGAAGCGCTTTAAGACAAGTTGCTGGCCTCGCCTCTCTGTCGTGGACCTGGGCCGTCCCGAACCTTGCTAACGGCACAATCACAGGCCAGCACGCCCAGAAAACAGAGTGTTATCGAAGCTGCAAGAGAAAAAAGAAAGGTGGCCTTTCACATTGCACTTCTGGTGTCAGTCATCCACTTTATTAGTATCGTGCTGTTCATATGTCTCTATTTTCCCTATTCTATATTTGTCTTTGCTGGGTTTCTTCTACTATCCTATGTCCGGAAGATAGTGCGCCAGTTCATATTCATTCGTCGCTTTCGAGTGGCGTACCTGAAGCTGGAGATACCTGGAGGAAATTAAGCGCTGGGAGACTTGAATCGGCGTGGATCAGTCAAGTTTCTTTGAAAAAGCGTGTTTGCGTTCTTTTTAACTCCCTTTTGCCCAAGTCTATATTATTTCAGGTCACATACGTAGCCTGCAGCCACTATATGAAAAGTAAGAGAGGTCGGCTTTTGACTGTTACATTAATATCAGATGGAGCCTCTTCAAATTTAAACAAAAAGCTGTTGCGTCAATTCTCCTAGCTTGATACTGGTCGCAAAAGCAACAGGGAACACAGAGGAACATGACGTGGGACGAGCGAGGACCTCCTAAAGGTGACCAGGCCCCCTCGTCATTCTGACAAGCTGATCGACCTGTCGCCGCAGGCTCCTGTTGCACCGAGGACTTTCATCCATATGCTATGAGGCTATAGGTGTGACCAGCGCGAATGCATTCTCAACCGTGTCGCAAAAGGTCTGCCGTGGATCTGTGGGACAGGCTCTCTGGTGGCTGACTGTACACCGTGCTGTGTTTTGGAAGGTTTGCTCAAATGATGGGCTGCGCCATTGGATTGTGCTGCGCTGAACACAGGCTTGGTCCACCGGGCAATCCACTCTGATAGGCCCGAATCGGTAGATACAACAATGGAAGCCTAGTAAGGGGGCACCCTACCTGGGTATGGGACTTCAACGAACTGGCCGCGTATGCCGAGTCGAACCTCGCATTGGGTGCCATGTAAGGCTCGGGATGGCGGAGCCCGCTTACTGACGAAAATGCCATGCCCTTGCATTCCACGCCAAGCTGGGATCAGCCTGGCCAGAATCCGATTTTCCTCAACCAGTCCCCGTTTTGTAACGGCCTTGCAGATGGGCCTTTCAGATGGTGGTCGTTACCTGTGAACTCAAAAAGTTAGGCATCCATATAAGGTAGGTAGGTAGGTGCCTTCGACATTGTGCCCCTGACCTTTTAGACCCCTTACAAGGTGCGTGGGCCACCCGCATGGCGCCTTGCCGCCAGAGCGTGTTAGCGCAGGGACCTCGCTTTCCCCTCCCCGCTGTCGCCCCACTTCTTCCACCGGGCTCCGACAAGGCCAAGGCCAAGCTCGCACTGCGGCTCTTCCTACCCGACCACTGTCCACTGTCCACTGTTCGCTTTCTGCTCTTCAGCTTGCGACAGCCTTCCAAGCCAGAGCCTCAATCACTTCTTCTCGTGTCGCTCCTTTTCTTTCTTGTGATCCGTCTTTCCCACCCGCATCTACACCAAGCTGTTCAACCGAAGCGATTGCCCACAATGGCCTATAACAGACCTTATAACCCTGACGAGCTGCCCAGGTAAGTCACTCGCGGCACGTTACCCCGCCAAAGAATCCCCGAAACTGACCAGCAATCGCGCACAGGTTTGCAGAGCCCGAACACGTACGTCCACCATCGCAATCTCGATGCCCTACACGGCCTGGAGAAATACTAACAACAGCAAACAGAAGGGTGGCGCTCCTCCTCGTCCCTCGCCCACCACGGCATCCCACCCTCGTCCCTCGCCTACTACGGCATCCCACCCTCATCCCCAGCGCCACGACTCGAGCGCCTCGTCGCACTACCCATCCCGCTACGACAGCAAGCCTCAGCCCGCACCCCCTCGCCCGTCCGATGATCCTCGGCGCGAGGACCCCAGGCGCGTCGACTCTCACCGCCAAACCTCCGGCTCCTCGGCGGCACCCTCTCACGGCTTCGGCGCCACCTCCCCGCCGCCCACGAACCAACCCCGTCCCATCCATAACGCTCGCCCCGAAGCCTCCTCGCGGCCCCCTCCCTCGCCGCAGCCTGACATGACCGCCGACGGCGCCGACCCGACCCTCCTGCCCCTCTTCCGCGCCGTCGACAAGGACGGCACCGGCCAGCTCTCGGAGCGCGAGCTCTCTGCCGCCCTCGTCAACGGCGACTGGTCCCCCTTTGACCCCCACACCATCCGCATGATGATCCGCATGTTCGACTCGGACCGCAGCGGCACCATTGGCTTTGCCGAGTTCTGCGGCCTCTGGTCCTTCCTCGCCTCTTGGCGCACCCTCTTCGACCGCTTCGACGCCGACCGTTCCGGCAACATCTCCCTCGATGAATTCAACAACGCCCTCGTCGCCTTCCGCTACCGCCTCAGCCCCGGCTTCGTCGAGCTGCTCTTCCGCACCTATGACAAGCGCGGCGAGGGCGTCATGAGCTTCGACCTCTTTGTCCAGGCCTGCATCAGCCTCAAGCGCATGACCGATGTTTTCAAGAAGTACGACGACGACCGCGACGGCTACATCACCCTCAGCTTTGAGGATTTCTTGTCCGAGATCCTGAAGCAGCTGAAGTAGGGGCGCGTTCTCTGCGTTTTCGGTCTTGCCTGTTGTTGTTCTCTGGTTGTTGTTTTTTCGTCGTTGATTGAAATTGCATGGGAGGTTCTCTGCATTCGGGAGGAGTGGAGGGGGAGGCGGGCATTGCGCCCAAATCATGATTTGGTTTGTTGATACCACCGCCATTTGGGTTAATGGTTCGTGCGCTGTGTGCTGGGCGAGGCAGTGGTTTGGAGGCTTGGCTGGCCCGTTCCCTCTCGGCTGAACGGTGGCTTTGTGAGAGGCGCTTCATCATGTGAGGGAATGATATATCGCAGCCATCTCAAATATGATGCCAGACCTTTTATGATCATTTCGTAGCTATATGTGTGTGTGTGGTGTCTCACGACTTGTCACCGTAGTCTCTGGGTTGAGGAGCCAGCCTCGACAGATTTCTGTAACCCTCTTGCACGGTCAATCTGAGCGTTGAATACCGGTTAAAGAAGCAAGAGGCACCACGCAAAATACATCTGTTCTTTACAATTGGCATCCTGGCTGCATCTGGCAATCAACAGGGGCATAGCCGCCATTTGAATAGATCCAGCAATAGTGTATCGCACATGAGCTCCCAGCACTTTGACTCCCGAGTTTGCCAAAGACTACATGCACACAAGCTGAAGGTGACATTTCCCGCCACGTCGGTGGTGGAAAACAACACTGAGCCTCGGACCACTGTCGACGAATACTTGAAACGAAACAGTCCATCCAACGGACAGCGAGCTGAAGTCCCCGCCAAGTTGCCTTCAATGCATCAAATGAGGACTGTCAAAGGAAACAGCCAGTTATCTCATGCATGTGTCCACACCCGACAGCTCATCATCTGTCGCTGCCCGTCTTTTTGGGAGGTTGTAGACCGGCTAACGGCAACAACGCTGGTTGCAGCCTCCTCTCTGTGAGATGTCTAGGCTTGTAGCTGTTGTTGGTCCGCCACGTCGCACACCTCGAAAGCAAACAAGGGAAACAAGGTGTTGGATGGCGACCTAAAAGGCCCAGTCGAGTGGGTCGCGTAACAGCTGTCATGATCCTTATTGTGAGACAGTTTGATTCAAGATGTCGACGTAGCTGGCCATCGCGCCCTCAGCTCAAGTTCTGCAGAGCATTTCGATGACCTTGTCTTATATGATGCTGCATTGTTGGTTCCAGATCAGTCTGAACAGGACAAGGCAGACTGGTTGTAGGCAGGGCAGACAGGGCTGGAAGGGGGAAGGCACTCGCCCGGGGCCCAGGGTCGCGTCACTAAAATGGGAAGGCCGTTGCGCGCCCCCACGCCCACTTGCCATGCTAAACAGCGGTCCGCCCCGTGTCTTGCCTCCACCACTCTCATCCTCCCCATCAGCTACCCTCGACCATCACATCCGCACTCCAGCTCTCGCTGATTCTCCTGACAGCTGGAGCGCATCCGCTCGGCCGCACGTCTCTGGCTAGGACTTGTTTTGGCTTTACGTTCATTTGCTGTGAGGACTTTTTGCCCAGCACCGCACTTCCAATACTTTTGGTGAGCCCAGGTGACCATCATCTGAGCCTGGGCCAACGCTGAGCGCTTGTTGCCTCAACTTGCTGTTTTGTCCCAATATCGCTACCTTGTATCAGCATCCATGGCGGGCATCCATCGCCCGAAAGAACAAACGCCTGCGAAGAAGAGGCCTGATGATTTCCGCGTCTTCTTGAGCAACCTCAATAGACAATATGGCCTTGGCATTCACGCCTCAGACTCGAAACTGACAGCCCGCGAGCGCCGGACAAATGCAGATTCTGACCCCCAGGCTGAACGTGTAGGGAAGATTCAGGAGCGCTTGCGCTATCTGTTTTTCAAGGAACGGACTGTCCTCCAAGGGATCCTGGATCAACTACACGGGTGTGCCGCCAACCCCTCCAATACTCAGCTGCACGAAGGTGGCGCCTTCCTCGGGACGCTTTCACTGCCGCAGGAGCCTTCTACCACTCAAGTTGGTCCGAATACGGAGACCGAGTTTCTGCAGACGACCCTCTACAACCTCCTGTCTCAAGCCTGGAAAGTCCACGGGCCGCTTGAACGCTCTTTCGGCACCATCCACAAAGCGGTGACCGATGCAGGAGGGAGACCGTACAAGAGAAATTCTGGTGGAGCCTACCCTGAAGCACCAAACAGGGAATGCAAGAGATCCCGACAGCGGGAAGGAGACGCAAACGCGCTTGACGATGTGCCCGTCCGAATCAGAACAGTGACTTCTCCCTTTGAAGCCTCTGTCGACAGAGTTACTGCCTCCAGGGCGCCATTGACCTTACATCAGCCTCAGAAGTCGTCCCACAGTTTCTACAACAGGTCCGCAAACACAAGCAATACAACACCCACTTCCAGCGTCTTCTCACAACCACAAGAGGATGCTCATGTCCTTCAAGGCAGCCAGTCAACGGTTGAGGCAAGCAGTCAGGAAAGACAACGGGGTGATTCTTTACCGAACCTACAATGCTCTTCGAGACAATACGATGCCGCTTCGGATGCTGCCAGACTTCTGCAAGACTCACTCTCGAAACATGAGGAGAGCCTTGCGCAACTCGACAAACCACTATCAAAGCATCACCGCGAGGACCATCTTGTAAACCAGCACGGGCTGTTCGAAGAGGACGGTTTTCAGAACTCGGAAACCACCAGTCCAGAATCTCTTTTTGGTCTCAAGGAGAGGCTGAGAAAAGTATGGCCCAGACTGCCAAAGTTCCTGAATCAGGCGCCTTTGGCTGTCTGCTGGGAGGTAACCCGGATTGCTCTGCATTGTGGTGTTGACTTGGAACACTTGACTGGTTTATGTTACAGTGACCGTTGGGTCGATCAACACACTCTACGAGCTGAGCTGTACAAGCACTCGTCATTCCAAGGCAAGGCATTCCCTGAGTCTTGCCCTGAAGCAGCGTGGACCGCTGGCAATGGCAATTTTGAAGGGCCACAGAGCAGGGCCGTCTGCCTTTCCATTGATTTATCCTGGAATACAACCCCCACAGGTCCTCTCTTCAATGTCTCGCTTCAACCACTGAAGCTTGATTTGGGACATCGCCTAGGTCGTCGATTCGGCTCAGACCGGTTTCTGGAGATGAATTTCCCGTCATTCACTGCCACAGGAGTTTCCCCTCAACTCAAACGCCTTAACGGTGCTACGGACACAATCATCAAGTGGCTAACGACCGAGAAGCACTTTTTGGCGGGCAGGCAGTGGGCTGCTTTCTTCACGAGAGATGTTGACAAGGTCACTGCTGGCTTAGCTCAGGGCCTTGCGGCCTGGGAAGGTAAAGCCACGACGAAAACCAGATCAAAACAATGTCGTGTCTGTTGCTTTGCCGAGGACGGTCACTCCTTCAGTCCAAGCAACCGCATACCTGCAAAAGCAGACGCCAAAAACGTCAACGAAAGAACGAAAATGAAGTTGACTGACATGCTGGAGTGGGCAATCGCCATCAGAGCCAATGCGGCTCAGCCATCTTTGAAGCTGTTCTCCCGTCTAGCCCTGAGTGAGTGAGTACCCCAGGAATCTTGCACACAGGCCTAACAATGAATAGGTCTTAGCCGAACCTACCCAACCATTGTCTTTGAGCCTGGCCAGATTATTCACCATGCGGAGGACATATGTTCGAAGTCGGGAAAGGTTATGAACGACGGCGTTGCTGAAATGTCACCCAAAGCAGCGAAAGTCATAGCCGAGTATCTGGGCCTGACCGACACGCCTAGCGCCTACCAAGGGCGGTTCGGAAGCGCCAAAGGAGTTTGGATCGTTGGCACCGACCCGGACAACAGAGATGACTTCGAGATCGACACATATCCATCGCAACGCAAATGGGAGTGCGACTTTTGGGACGAGGATCACCGTACGTTCGAAGTCAAGACGGAGGCTCGGCCACTCAGGGCTGCCAATCTGAATATGCAATTCATCCCAGTGCTCGTCAATGGAGACGTCAAGCGAGGAACAGACAAACACCGGATGCGCAACGCTATAGCTGGATGCCTGCGGACGACCTTGAAAGAAGAGCTTGCACGCCAGCGCTCATCCATGAACGATCCTGTACAGTTTCGACAATGGATCCACGAAAACTTCTTCCAGGGCTACCGTAGTGACCGCGTAAGGGACCAGAATATTCGCTTCCTTGCCGGACTGCCCGACAACGAGGCTGAACGGGTCAATATGCTGCTCGATGCTGGATTCCGGCCCAAGAAACTCTCATTTCTCCGAGAGGTGTCGTATAAAATGGCGTTTCGCAAATGCGAACTGCTGAAATCCAAGATGAATATCAAAGTTGGATGCTCCACATACGCTAAGATGGTCGTTGACTTTAAAGGTGTTCTCGAGGAAGGAGAGATTCATCTCGGATTTTCGACGAAATTCATGGACCCCGACGGACAGTTTTCTGATACGCTTCTCCATGGGATGGACGTCCTGGTGGCAAGAGCGCCGGCCCATTTCCCCAGTGATATCCAGCGTGTTAGGGCAGTCTTCAGACCGGAGCTTCGCCATCTGAAAGACGTCATTGTATTTTCAATCAAGGGTGATAGTCCCCTGGCTGATTTGCTCTCAGGCGGAGACTACGACGGCGACCAGGCCTGGGTTTGTTGGGACCCAGCGATTGTCAACAGCTTTCAAAACGCCGCATACCCTGTTGTTCCGGACTTGTTCGCGCTTGGCTACCTCGAGAAGCGCAAGGGAACATTTCAAGATCTGGTCCAGAATAACTCTAGCAACATGGACCGGGCTGTGGCTGAGTTTATGTACGAGAGCTTCACATTCAACATGAAAGAACAGTTCCTCGGCATCTGCACGGCCTACAAAGAAAGACTGTGCTATGGATACAACGGAATCGACAACAACGATGCCGTTGTACTTTCGCATCTTGTGGGCAACCTGGTCGACCAGGCCAAGCAAGGCATTGTCTTTGGTCGGGACCAGTGGGTTCGCTTCTGCAAAGGACTGCTCAAAAATGGGTTGCAGAACCTCCCCGAACCACGTTACAAGGCTGAAACTGGTGTCAATCACAACCAAAGGTCCTCAGAGGACGGGAAACTTGACGAGGAACATGTTCTGGACTATCTCAAGTTCCGTGTGGCTCTACCTCTGGTCGACCAAGAGATGGAGGCTTTCAACAGCATGCTCGGAAATGAGGCTGTCACCTTTGATAAGGACCTCTTGGGGCCGTTTGACGATTTTGAAAGGCTCATGCAGACATCCATGCCCCTGGGTGCGAAGAAGGCAGAGCCGTCTAGCTTCAAGGTGATCAATGATTACCTCACAACTGAAATAAGAAACATCAGGCAGCAGTGGAGCAATATTCCCAAAGCCGGGGGTAAGTACACTGAGGCGGTACAGGCGATACACAATCAGTGGCAGTCCCTCGCAGTGCCTGAGAGTGCCTCCGGAAACGACAAATTGAAGATATACCTGGCTGCTGGCTCGTCGGCCCCGCCGTTTGATACATGGGCACTCCTCAAGGCGTCGACGACATTCAAGGAGTACTACAGGTCCTCGAGTTCCTTCGTCTGGAATATCGCTGGACGACAGTTGGCGTGGATCAAGGCATCGTCTCGTACGGAGGGCCCAGCAGGTCCTGTTGCAGTGACGTCGTCAATGTACGCGATATTACGGCCAGATTCCGGACTAGTCAAAGGCATAATGGCAAAGAAGTGCTCGGCCGACGGCCAGAGCGTGGTACTCGACGACGTTGAGTATGACGAGGACGGTACGCAGATAGACGATACCTAGGAGGAAATTGCTGCGTTCCTACGTGAGATCGGGGCATGAGGGGCCATAGAGGAGATCAGACGAAAGGAGCGGTGTCTGCCATCGCTGTCGCTTGGGCCGTTGGGCCATGACACAAAGGCGTTTCAGCGACGGCCTCATGTTCCGCACGTGGACGTTGGCTTAGCGTAGGCGACTGGTTGAGGCAGGCTGAGGGTGCGGTGTATGCGCCGGTGGGTGGTCCGCAGGGACTCTGCCTGCTGCTCGGTACATTAGATGGTCGATGACAGCGCTTGGAAACCTGCTAAGCTGTGAGGATGTTGGTTGTGGCGGTCAAGTCGTTTGGGTAGAGGGATTCTTGTACTACAAAGCGAAAGCAGAATGTGATAGAGTCTTGAGAATAGATACCCGAGGCAAAATTTCGACGATTTACGAAAATCACATGGGTGAATAAACGCAAGTGATGAGAAATTGTCCGTTCGCGATAAGGCTGATGTCGCCACGATCACGGACACAGCCATGCTCAACGACATTCATCATGGCCGATCGATGGAGACTGAGCCCCCCACGAGGCAAGGCATGGGCAAGGGGAACGTGAGATGCGAACCTGAGCGCGCGTGCGAGCACTTGCATGAGCCCACAGGCGGGGTGATGTCACTGCACCCTTGACATTGGAGCGAGGGGTCGATGGCTCTCAAGCCAAGGGACAACCCCTCGTTGTGATTACCTCTGGGGAACGGGGGGGGAAAAAGAACGAGCACCCCCTGGCCCATCACAAGTGGCTGGGGGAGAGGTTGCGATTGGTCGTCTGGAAAGGAGCGCAAACGGAGGGGGCTGGCTCTTCAAGGGGGCCAGGCGGATGATGGATTTCGCGCGGTTATTCGAGGACGGGGGAGGGGATACGACCGACTCCAAAAGACGGTGAAGGGCGTGCGGTTTCGGTGATTGAGGCATGTGGCAGAGTAAATTGCAAGTCATGCTTGGATGGGTTTTGGGGTGTGGTTTTGCCTGGAGGGAATGGTTCGGATGGATGGGCGCTTGGACTCTTTTTCCTTTCTCGCTCTCTCGCCTCTGCTTTGGACGAATGTTGCTCTTGGGAGGGGGGGGGGGGTGTAGATCGATAAGAGCTCCAGGAGCACGATTAAGCTGCCCTGGAGCTCCAGAGAAGAGTGGGCAGAAGAGAGAGCTGGAGGGGAGGGGGACACCCAACCAGACCTGGCCTGCTTGCCTGCCACTTGCCCGGCGGGGGGGCGAAAATGGGGATGACGTGCTGAAGAAACCCCGAACCCCGCTGTGGATAAGGTATGGAAGGCGGACGGAAGGTACAGGTGGTAGGTCGACACAGAAGGTACAGCCAGGGAGCTTGATGCAGCCGCTCGCGCATCGAGCGGGAATGTCAGGTGCTACCAAGCTGCTCAACTGTCCTACCCGTCGTGTGGTGAGAGCGCGCCTGTCACACCTGCCAGAGGATTCATGCCACGGCCGAGAGGAGCGCAGGACGCATCAAGAGACCATGAGCATTCCGATTATGACCGAAACAGTCTTCATCACGAGACCTGGAATTCGTTCGCAGCTCTTTTTTTTTTTTTTTTCCCTTCGTGACTGCCCAGCAAAAATCTGCAAGCTGCAGCCTGCACCTGGACTGGCACATGCAGTGGGCTCGCACAGGGACCTTCCCCCCCCCTGGTGTCGCCTTCCGGCCGGTGCCAGACTTGTCTTGTCCGTGCCTTTTCATCCGCTCTTACCCCTCGAGCCACGCCCTGGTTCGATTGCTATGGACACTGCTTAGTCTGTTTCTGCTTCTGCTTCTGCTTCTGATCCCGCATCTGAATCTGCTCCGTGCAGCAACCAGACCCCAAATGGAGGACGCCAGAAAATGGACAAAGGACGGATTGTCGAATCGAGTCATTTGGGTCGCCAATCGCCAAAGCCTCTCCACCACCCACAGGCCAATAGTATCACCGTGTCAGCTGCCTCGGCCGTCCTTTTTGCCGAACCGCCTGGGTCGTCTCTCCCTGCTCGGCTCCACAGGCCCCCATCCTCCTGCAACCACGAATCCCCGGGCTGCCGTTGAGCAGAATCCGAGTTTGCGGCCCAGGTTCGACGGCGCCGCTGTTCGTTTGTGGCGACTTGGACGCCACGGGACGATGATGGCAACCGTGAAGGAGAAAAAGAACCAACACAGCGGAATAGGTTACGGATGGCCTGATTGACGACTCGCGACACCTGCTAAGTGTCTTGGAACCCGAGGCTTCGACTCTTCGGCAGTGCCGATAGGGCCGACGGAACACCACCCAAGCAAATACACTGACACGAGCATCGAGCCAAGTGCACAGAAGCGGCGGTTGATACATGCCGTGCAGGAGGCGGCGCATTGGGGGTCCAGGTCAGGAAGCAAGCTTGCTGGAGAGCTTTGGCCAGCTCGCGCCGACTAACGAGTATTGCTTGGACCAGCTGACCTTTGTCCATGAAAGCCAATGACTCGATTGGGTGGCAGGACCTGGGAACCGCTTCGCGCCATGCTCCGGCACCTCCTGGTTCCAGCACACCTCACAGAAGCCAGCCCGGAGCTGGGGACGCCTTTGTACCATGTACTAGCGTCTCAGCGGATCGCCTGCACGCCAGCCAGCTGTCAGATCCGTAGCTGGGCAGCGCAACTCGGGCAAAGTGATTTGGCCATGGCAAGTCTTCTTGGCTAGAGCACGACAGTTTTTTTTCCCCCTCTGTATCGCGATGGCCGGTGAGCAATTTGTCCGAGTTCTGCCCGGTCTGAGGTTGGCCTTTTCGATGGGTGAGCGTGTCATAGAAGGATTTGCCCCCAAGCTGGTGTTGCTGTTCCCGACTCTTTGGCTGGCATGAAGTCGCATGCGGACGCTGTGTCGCGCTGACTGCAGATCAACCCCCCCCATCCTGAGCTGCGATAACAGTGTGGTACCTGGACAGCTTCATGGAGCTCCCTCAAGCTCGAGCTTTATCGTTGTATCACCCACCTCCCAGTGGATTGCAAAATGCGGACCAAAATAGGTTGCAGACCTGCCGTTATGGTCCGCCCTGGCATAAACTTCGATTGCCCGTCAGACTTTCCGAAGACGAGCTTGCGTCGCTGGCCACAACCTGAAAAGGTACTGGCCCCATCAACTTCGACACTGGAGACACTCGACTGACACCCCCATGACGGCCCTCCAGCTCCGAACGGGTTTGAGTTGGACACCACTCGACCGCCTTTGTACTTGTCCAGGACCGGCCACCGGGTGTTATAGGGGAGAGCTGGATCGATACCTAGGGTCGCCTCCGTACCGAGAAACTGCGTCCATCCCTCCTTGCTCCCGTCCCCACCAGCTCCGGATCACCACCCCCCCCCCCCCCCTCCCTCCTCCTCACTGCCTCCCCCTCCGACCTCCCCTCCTTGCCTCTCTCTCGCTCCAGTGCCTTGTCACCTCGTCTTCTTGCTACCCCCGGGCCCCAAAGGACCAGGACCCAGCCCATTCCCGCCTCTTACTGCTTTCGGTCACTTGCCAGTTGCTCCTCTTGGGCACCAGAAACCAGGACCTTGTCTCTCTCTCCTCTCTTCCTGATCTTCCCTCCCTCCTCTACATCACAGCTCCGAAACACTTGCCGTATCACCCTCAGCATCGTCACGGGGAGCTTCTGAGAGCTCCTCACAGTTCGGATCGGCCTTCCAGCTCTCTCACCCAGAGTCGCCATCATCCGCCGCAACTTCGTCTGGCCGTCATATGCACAGCACTGTCCAGCCCGACCCTATTTCAATTGAGAGCTCCCCTCGCCAAATCTCACAACCGATAGACTTATCGCCCTGTCACCCCGCTCAGTATCGATACCAGCGCCTGTGCCGCCAGCACCAGCGCATGGTGGGGTCAAAATGCCGCCCAGATCTTCTCTGACTTCGCAGTTCTCGATTGCCGATTCTAACAATGAGGTTGTCTGCCCTCTGAGAAACCAAGATGGCTCTAGCTGTAGGAAACGCTGTATCGGAGTGAGTGTCCCGCCGACCTGCACCCCGAAGCCTCCCATCAATCCACTGCAGCATGACTTCGCTCGAACCCCGACTGTCGCTACCCGGCCTGCGAACTGGGCCAGGGTGCTCTAAATGCAAAAGTCGTTTCTGCAATGTTCTACATTGCAGTGCATGCTGACAAGCGACTTCTGTTCTTGTAGGAAAAGAGATATCGCTCGATGCAAGAGCACATCCGACGTGCGCATCCCGAGCACTACATCCAGAAGCTCCCTGCCACCGAAGAGAGCTTTCTACTCATGATCAGCACCGATCCGTCTACCCGTGTCCAGCAGCAGCCCCAGCCCAGCGCAACTTCAGCTCCTGCGGGTGCGTTCCCATCAAGTCAAGGGTTTTCCCCCCTGATTGACCGTTTTCAAGGCTTCCTCCACGATCGTCATGCCTACGATTCGAGCAGTCCGGGCACCCCGCGGAATGTGAACCACGATGAATATGGGACGCCGGGCTCGCTGTTGCCAGCCGCAAGCGCAGCGGCGGCCCTGGCGCAGCTACATGGGCACAAGATTGAACCCGAATGGGAGTCTGAGATTGTGAGTTTTCTTCATCCTCCGTCCTTGACCGGTACTCATCGCCGTCACTGCAGGATTGGCACTCGGACACCGAAGGGCGTCGTCCGCCTCGAACGTCCATCGAGCTTCCCCCGATCCATTTGCCCCCTCACGACATCACCAGCGAGCCTTTTCCCGCCATGAATTCCAGCAGGCCGCGCGATATACTCCCCTCTATACTAGCAAACTCGCCCCCCGGTCGCTCGTCAACGCTGCCTCCAATCCAACGATCATCTGGCCCAAGCCGCCCGAGGAAGCAATCCGTCACAAAGCGGGGTCGAGAGGGGTACCACAAGAAACAAAAGTCGCGAGGATCCGCCAACGACTGGCTCCGTCGTATCCAGAATGATGACCGACTGGGGCCAAACAACCGCAAAGCACTTTCTGCTGAGCCTTCCGCCGATTATGGAAAGCGCTGGGAGGATCTCATCGACGCCGCCGACCAAGCTGCTTCCGCTGCAGGCGACATCGATGAGGACCGCACACCAGTACGTCAACTCCAGTCTGATGCGAGTCTAGATCGGCTGATGAGCTATCAGGTCCCGCAATCACCCGTCTCCATCCCGCGGGCTTCCATGCCACCATTCCAGCAACACAATTTCCACGGTGGGAACAGCTATCAGGCGTCCCCGCTGCAGCAAGCCCTTACCCCGCCATCCTACAGCCAGGACACCATCGACCCCTTTCCTTCGGTTGAAAGTGGTGAAAGCGGGGAGAATTTTCACATTGAGTCACGGGGCCTTTCTGATTCGTCCCCAACATATTCCTCCCAGAATACCCAGATCTACTGCGCTGCCTGCCAGAGCGTTTCAAGGCTGAAGGAGTCGTACGCGTGCACCGAGTGCATCTGCGGCCTCTGTCAAGCTTGCGTCGACGTCCTCATGGCAGAACAGGGAGCTCGAAGGAAGTGCCCCCGTTGTGCTACGATAGGGGGCAAATTCAAGCCATTCCAGTTGGACATTAGGTGAAGACGGGCTTCTTTCCTATACCAGGGCTACTTTGGTTTTATATTGTGGGCGTCTGAAGACTACTAGCATCAACGGCGGAGAGACTCTGATTTCACACGACACGACCTCTTCACACACGCTCCTGCATGAGGCCGGCGTTTCTCAGCTGTTGGCCTTTCACCATGACTGAACGCCGGCAGTTTTTCCTTCTTCACATTCATATCATTCGTTTCTCGACAATTAGGATTCGGCAAACACTGCTCATGACAACGGGTATACTGGTTTCACAGGTGCAACAATTTGGGTTTCGGAAAGGTACTACAGGGTGTCTATCTTTTGCAATGGGTGGCTATCGTCTTTTTTAGGTTGCTTTTTATCTTCGACATGAGTGATATGTTTTATGTTTGGGACAGGGTGAGGCATGGCTATGCTCACCTGCACTGTTTACAGCATGGATAGATTCCAGCTTCAGAATTGACCGCCCAGACGGGCTTGACTAGACTTGAGTGCATTACTCGTGATCCTGTGGTATGGTGTACGAGTAATGGAGAAACAGGCGATAGGAGTATCATCCCATAAAGTCACGGAGTGCAGGCAAAAGAGGCTTCCTGTGCCGTCCAAGGATGGGTATCATTGATTACATGTGACCATACAAACTCCTATCTCGTTGAGACCCATGACGAAAGAAAAGCGGGTTTCATCGCCTGCCCTGCTGCTTCTTCTTCTCCTCAGCCAGCAGCAGATCGCGCATGGCGGCGCGGGCGCTGCGGCTGCCGCCGAGCTTGGGCCCGCGCAGGACCTCCTCGTCGGCCTTGCCGTCGGCGGGGGCCTTTTTGCGCTGCTGCTGCTGCTGTGCGTTCTGTTGGCGGCGATGGGCCATGGCGTCCATGAACTCGCGGCGAAACTCCTCGGCGAGGCGGTCGTCGGCGGCGGCGTCGTCGTCGCCGCCGCCGGGGGCCGAGGAGTTTGCTGTCTGGGAGGTGGCGGGGTTCTCGTAGACATCGACTGCATGCTCTCGGCGTTAGCTTTGTTTCCATGGTCAGGTAGCGAGGCCTCTCGGGCAGATGAAGCCGCAGCTGGAGAACCTCGAACTGGAAGGGGGGTGCACGGGAGAGGGCTCACGTCTGTTCTCGCGCAAAAAGTCCTCGACCATCTTGTCGCGCGCGACGTCGTCGCTCGTGCGCCGGTTGCGCTGGCGCAGGGGCTTGCCGTCACGGCCGAGGCGGGTTTTCTTCCGCGCACGCTGGCCGGGCGCGCCGCCGTCGTTCGAATCAGTCGGTGCGGTTTGCAGACGGCGCGCGGCTTCCGTCATGGCGATGTTGCGGGCGCGCGCCTCGTCGCCGAGGTCAACCTCTGTCAGGCGGCCCTGCATGATGGCGGCGCCGGGAATCTCGTCGAGGCGGGGCGGACGGGATGACGGGGCCGTGGGGGCTCGCGGTTCGCTCTGTGCGCCCGCTTCTGGGGCCGGGGTGGATGGGGAGGGGCGGTTAGAGAGCTTGGCCTCTATGTATTCCATCCTTGCTTGATCAGTCGCTGGCCTGAGGAGAGTCGGGGAGAAGTGGCGGGGAGTAAAAGGAGGGCAACTCACATGTGTTTGTTGACGAGCTCGCCGACGAGACCGGTCTGGGGGGCGAAGCGGTTTGTGATGCCGCCGTCGGGGGCTGTCTCTTCATCTTGGGGTTTCGGGATGAGGGCGGTCGAGGAGGAGGGTTCATCTTCGCGGGTCTGGGCGCGGAAGCCGACTCCGTTGAGGCGGGACTTGCGGAGGTTGCGTAGCCGGAGGGCCTCCGCTATTGATGACTCGTCGTCTTCGGCGGTTGTGGAGGGAAGTGATGGAGATGCGGAGTCTGCGAGGGGAGCCGGTGTGTCGGTAGTCGGTTCGGATTCGTCTTCTTCACGTTGGCGGCGGTAGGTGGCTTTGCGCTTGCGCGAGGCGCGGAAGAGGGGTTGCTGGACGGACGTATCGGCGGGAGGTGATGCCATTTGTTTTCTGCGATGGGCGTCTGGGTAGAGGAGGTGGTGGTGATGATCGAGTCAGAGGAGCAGCAGGTTGGTTGATGTGGGTGTGATGTGGTTGTGCAAATGTGAGGAAGTTGGAAACCGACCTGGCAGATCGCGGCTGCCGTCGGCGGCTCTCCGGTTCTCCACAGCCCACTATCGATCGGGCTTATCGATGGCCCCACCACAGGCTTGAGGTCCAGTCGAGACGGTGGTTGTTGCTGGCATGGGTGTTCGTGATGAATTGTCTACATTTGGGCGTACTTGGAGATATAGACAAAAGCCAAGACGGAGAGAACATTCCTTTCGTCCTGTTCTGGGCTTTTCAAGTATAAAAAAGACTGGATTGTTGTGTATGCAAACCCTGGTTGGTGGCCCGAAATGGCAATAGCCCACAGTATTTAGTGGGCAGCGACGGAGCTCTATTGTTGAGAATGGTTACATTGTCGTGTTAACTCCAGGAGCGTTCAAATCTCTTTTTTTTTTCATCTACTCGTCATTTATTACTATAGATTCTTCCTGGGAAATTCCGGTGTTCTGACAGCCGAAGAAACAGAACGCTACACCGTATCTTGACGAAGCAACCCATAACAGTAGCCTATATGCAGCCGGAAAACATGTCGCCCCTTCGATTTCAATTCATCTCTGGAGGAAACCTCAATCTCTAAACTTGAATCCGCAGTGAACTGTAAGACTCCCACTTGGCAGAATGAAGCTTCTCGCAACCCGAGCCGCGAGCCGAGATGCCAACCATTGAGTAAGCTCATCATCTCACGTCTCAGACTACCATGTCTTGCGTGCCTGTTTTCATGTTCAAAAAAATCATGAAAGAAATATCGTCATTCCAAATGACGACCTTCATTCGAGAACGGATACTAGCATCATGCCCATCTCCACCCTGTTCCTGACTCCAGCCATGGTCTGATGACTTGGTGATCGCGGAACACATCAAGTGCTGACTAACGCTGGATGTGCCTTCACCCCACCTCCCTCGACCCCTCCAACCCCAAAGCTTTCGTAGAGGCTCAGCACCAACTTCGGCGACTGAATACATTCCGAGTTCATCACAATGTCCAAACGAGTAGAGTGATCCAGAGACATTCATTGCCACTATACAAGATTCTAATGACCGGCAGATTTACTTTGTGGCCCACGGCGGCCGTGTTCAAGGTAGATATATCCAGCAGCCACGCGAGTCCCTCTCCCTGAAGACATGACGACAACTGACGTCACGCCCGACTCTCAGGCGTCGGTTTCCGCTACTTTACGCAAAAACGAGGAACAGAGTACGGGCTCACGGGATGGTGTCGCAACACGGATGACAACAAGGTGCGACTGCGCCCAAACACCCGCCCTCATGACTCTCCTCGGTAGCGAGCGACAACGAGCTGACGAGACCAGGTGGAAGGCGAGGCGCAAGGACCCGAAGACGTGCTGAAGAAGTTCTTCCAAGACGTCGACCAGGGCCCGCGCTCTGCCAAGGTCGTCAAGCTGGACCAGACGGAGAGGGACGTCGTCGACGGAGAGAAGGACTTTCAGGTGCGCTGAGCGGCCAGCTCTGGCACAACAGCACTCTGGACATTCGGAGGTAGACAAAACAATGTACACTGAAACAGGCGGTGGGGGGGCCAACTCGTCCGATCAAAAACAGCGGGCTCGCTTCGTTAAAATTCTGGCACAAGACCGTTTGGTATCCTTAAAAGTTCCTTCCCTTGCGCTTGATCACCGGCTTCTTCACGGCCCCCTGCGTGACGACCTTCTTCACCGGTCCGCTGAGCGTCTTTTTTCTCGAGTCACGCGCCTGCTCGGCGGCGATCTGCTCCTGCTGCCGCCGCCTGTCGTCGGCCATTTGCGTCTCAATCTCCATCTTTCGGTTGAATTCGGTCTCGGTGATGCGCTTGTCACGCATCGAGTAGCCCTTTTCCTTGACCGAGTAGAAGACGCCGCCGAGGTCCGCGAGCCAGTGCGGATCCACGGCCGTGACGGTGGATACGTACACCTTGGACGTGAGGATGAGCTCGTGGTACACAATGTAGTCGGGCGGGTGGCCCGCGTACAGGGCCGAGGTCGGGTGCAGCTGGACGCCGAGATTGGTGCGCAGGTTGATGTACTCGCCCGAGCCCTTGTACTTGGCGGCCTGGTGGTAGTAGCCCGAGCAGATGCACTTGCGGATGACGTCCCAGTCCATGCCGCAGCTGAGCATCTGCATCTTCTGCATCTTCATAATGTCGAGGAGCTGGTCCCGGATCTCCTTGGCGCGGCGCAGCGACTTGGGGTGCAGGAAGTGCTTGATGCACCACCCGTCTGACATGCCGTTGGACTTCCACGCCGAGTACACCTGCAGGTAGGTGAGATGATCCGACTCGTGGACCCAGAACTTCTCGCGCTGCGTGTCCGCCTCGTCTTGCCGCTCCTTCGGTCGGTAGAACACGTTGGGCACGGACAGCATGGAGACGATGGTGATCATCTCCTCGCTGCAGCCGTATTCCTCGGCAGTGATGAGGAGCTTCGACAGTGACGGGTCCATGGGGAAAGCGCTCATCTTGGCGCCCAGCTTCGTCAGCTCGCCCAGGTTGTTGAGGGCGCCCAGCGCCCAGAGGTCGAACATGGAGGTGGTGATGGTGTCTTGCGGCGGAGGGTCCATAAAGTCGAAATCGAGGAGATCCTTGACGCCGAGCGACTTCAACATGAGAACCGTGTTGCTGAGGTTCGTCCGCTGGATTTCCGGAATCGTCTGCAGGTAGAGCTCCTCCTTGAAGGCCTTTTCTGTAAACAGCCGGAACGCCTTGCCGGGGCCTGTTCGGCCGGCTCGACCTGAACGCTGTGAAGCGTTCGCCTGCGAGATGGGGGTGATTTGAAGCGTGTCCATGCCCATCTTGGGGTTATAGACTTTCATCTTGGAATAGCCCGCATCTACGACGTACTTGATACCATCGACTGTCAAACTAGTCTCCGCAATATTCGTCGCGACGATGCACTTGCGGACTCCCGGTGCCGCTCGGTCGAAAATCTTGGCCTGCAGGTCTGCAGGCATCTGACTGTAGATGGGGAGGATGCTGAGTTTGGGTGGGTCATTCAGCGCATCCAGGCGTTTCTGCACCAGCTCGCAGGTGACTTCAATGTCCTCTTGGCCGGTCATGAACACGAGGATGTCGCCCTGGTCCATAGACACGTGGATGGACAGAACCTGCTGCACTGCCTGGTCCACATAATCCTCCACAGGTGACCGATGGAACATGGTGTCGACCGGAAATGTCCTTCCCGGGATAGTAAAATCTGGCGCGCCGCCGTAGAATTCGGAGAACTTTTTCGAGTTCATGGTGGCAGACGTGACGATGAGTTTCAAATCTCGTCTCCTCTGCAAGATCTTCTTGAAGAGTCCCATCAGGATGTCGGTGTTCAACGCACGCTCGTGCGCCTCGTCCATGATGATGCACGAGTACTTGTCGAGATCAGGCTCGTTGAGCGACTCTCGAAGAAGCACACCATCGGTCATGTACTTGATGACCGTCTCCTTGCTGGTACAGTCCTCGAAACGAATGGCATAGCCGACGGTGCTGCCGAGCTTGACGTCCATCTCCTCCGCCACGCGTTTCGCGACGCTCATGGCAGCGACACGCCTCGGCTGTGTGCACCCAATCATGCCCGCGTCTCCGTAGCCCTCCTCGTGCAGGAACTGCGTCAACTGCGTCGTCTTGCCGGAGCCCGTCTCGCCCACGACGACAATGACCTGGTTCTCCCGGATGACGCGCATCAGGTCTTCCCTGACGGCAAACGCGGGCAGGTACTGCCTCTGCTCCTGCAGCGTCTTCGTCCTGCTAAAGTCGCTGCCGCCCTCGGCCTTCTTCTTCATGTGGTCGCTGAACTTGTTGCTCGTCTCGCCGTCGGGCTTCCGGACGGCGTCCTCCTCGCCGGCAATGGCCATGGCGCTGTCGCCGTCCTCCTCCTTGACGCCCATGAGGTTGCCGAGCGCCGTGCCCTTCATGCTCGTCGCCTCCTGCGCCTGCCGCTGGCGCTCGCGCTGCTGGCGCGCCTCCTTGACGACCTTGCTGCCCTTGCGGCTGAAGACGGCCATGTCGCTCTGGTAGTCGCGCACGGCGGGCACGGGCTCGAGCTGCTTCGTAAAGATGGTCCGGCCGTCGAGAAAGGGCGGGCGCAGCTCGTGCACGAGCAGGTGCACGCGCGTCGCCTCGTCGTCGTCAAAGTCGGCTGCCATGTCGCGCCGCTGCGCGACGCCCGACACGAGCATGCGGTTCGTCTCCCAGGCGTCGTTGTCCTTGTTGCGCTGCTCGCGCCGCGCATCGTACCGGCTCGACATCTTCTCCGCCTTGACGGCCTCCTGGTGCTCCTTCTCCCAGGCCGAGTAGTCGTTGCCGAACGGGTTGTGCATGTCGTCGCCGAACACGTGCCCGCCGAACTCGTCACCGGCATACCAGTCGCGGTCCAGCGCTTTCGTGTCTTCGTCTGTCGGCTGGGGCACGTCGGGGCCCGGTGTCGAGGCGTGCTCGGCCCGCGGCGTCGAGCGGCCGCTGCCGTCGAGCCTTCGCCGCTTGAAGACCGGCGGGGCGTAGGATCGGTCTTCGGACATGCTGGCGGTGTATCGGAGGAGGGGGGTGTCCTGACGGAGAAAGATGATGGAGGGGAGGCTATCCGTGTCCGTCGCGAAAACAGTTGGTCATGGATGTCAGGGGGAGGAAAGCCAATGCCGAAGATGTACCGGCCGGCGGATCTAATCGATAAGATTAAGCTGTCAAACAAACTTTCAATCTGTCTGTCTTGACAAAGGTATGCTCAGTCATGAGAATTCTCAGGATCTGGGCTTGTAAACAATATGGCTGGTATCGTCATGGAATAGACGTCAATTCTTCCCACACATGCTTCATCATGAGTATGCGATTGTTCCTTGTAGAAGGGAACAACAGCAGCAAGGCGCCGTCTCCCTCCCTTCCTCCCTCAAGCTCTCCAGACAACCGTCATGGCGGGGAGGGGAGATAAGATAAGCCCCACCACATAATTTTTTTTCCCACGCCCACGTCCACGTCCACCAACCGCCACAGTGCCAGCGATTCCCAGATTTCGAAGTCCCGATCCCCCCCCCCCCCCTCCGGAAGCGTAGGCGCAAACAAAGTCCACATACACTGTGGGTGATTTCAATCTTTGGCCAGACCTGTCGACACGACCGCCGGGAAAAGACAAAATCCCGTCATGTCCATGATCACATCCGCCACCTGGGTGCCGCGCGGCTTCGCGGCCCCCTTCCCCCAGAAATACGCCTTTGACGAGGCCGAGTTTGAGCGCATCGCAGAGCTCGCCAAGCTCCAGCTCGACGATGCCGAAGACGATCTCAAGGAGGCGCAGGACGCCGAGGGCGCCAAGGCTGCGGGCGCGGGCGGGAAGAAGGAGGACAAGACGAAAGAAGAGTGCGTTCATTGGGCGCCCTGGCGAAGGGGTGCAAACAGCTGACAGACCATGATAGGATCGACATCAACGACGACGACCTCAAGGAGTACGACCTCGAGCACTATGACGATGACGATGAGGAGGAGGACGAGGACAGGCCCGGCCAGGGCGAGAGCATGGGCATGTTCGGCAACGCCAAATCGCTGGCCTATTACGAGTCCAACAAGGACGACCCCTACATCACCCTTCAGGACGACGACGAGGACGAGGACCGCGACGACATGCAGATTCTGGCGACGGACAACCTGCTGCTGGCCGCCAAGATTGAGGACGAGCTGGCTCATCTCGAGGTCTACGTCTACGAGGACGCTGCCGACAACCTGTACGTCCACCACGACATCATGTTGCCCGCCATCCCGCTGTGTGTCGAATGGCTCGACATGCCCGTGAACAAGCAGGGCGTCGAGAAGGACGCGACGGCCAACTTTGTCGCCGTCGGCACCATGGACCCCGATATCGAGGTCTGGGATCTCGACACGATAGACTGCATGTACCCCAACGCCATCCTCGGCCAGGGTGGCGAGGGCGCCGAGGAGAAGAAGAAGAAGAAGAAGAAGAAGGCCAAGGCCAACGACGAGTACCACGTCGACGCCGTCTTGTCGCTTGCTGCCAACAGGAAACACAGGAACCTGCTTGCTTCGGCCTCGGCCGACAAGACGGTCAAGCTCTGGGACCTGCACACGACCAAGTGCGCCAAGTCGTACACGTACCACACGGACAAGGTGTGCTCGCTGGCGTGGCACACGACGGAGCCGACGGTGCTGCTCAGCGGCAGCTACGATCGCACCGTTGTGGCCGCCGACATGAGGGCGCCCGATGCCAAGGCCCCGCGATGGGGCGTCGAGAGTGACGTTGAGAATGTCCGATGGGACCCCCACGACCAGAACTACTTTTACGTCTCGACCGAGAATGGCATCATCCACTACCACGATGTCCGCAACGCGCCTTCAAACCCGGCGGCAACCAAGGCCGTCTGGACCCTGCAGGCGCACGACGAGTCCGTCTCCTCCTTCGACATCAACCCCGTCGTGCCCGGCTTCATGGTCACCGGGTCGACTGACAAGACGGTCAAGCTCTGGAACATTCAGGCGAGCGGGCCCAGCATGGTTGTCTCGCGCAATCTGGACGTCGGCAAGATCTTTGCGACCAATTTTGCGCCGGATCCGGAGGTGGCGTTCCGCCTCAGTGTGGCGGGCAGCAAGGGCACCATGCACATCTGGGACACCAGCACAAATGCCGCCGTTCGTCACGCATTCTCCGAACGCGTCGCCGTCCCGGTCAAGGAGGGTGCTGTGGAAGACAGGACAGTGGGTGTGGACTCGGACGACAGCGAAGGCAGCGACGAGGAGGAGGAGGGCGATAACGGCGCCAAGGCCGACCAAAGCGACGATTCAATGGATGAGGCTTGAACGAGTGGAACCAGTATCGATCGGTATCGTTGTCTGGAGTAGCGGATCCGTTGTGGATAGAGACGGATCAAGGACTAGATTCAAGGGGGGAGGGGCCTGGGGACCACCGGCCCCTGGTCCAGAAGGGGCGGGAGGCGATGATCAACCTCATCCGTTGGGCAGCCACCGGCGGTCGAATCGCACATGCTCTACACATGTGTACCGATCCGCTGTCAAGCTTTTGCTAGTGTCGAGGCCAGAAGAAAATGATGGATACTCAGCTTGCGTCTGCTTCAAGTCTACTGTGCATGCTCGTGCTACTAGACCTACCCACACGCCGTTTGTCAAAGGGCAGGCATAGTTTAGCAATTCAGCTCATCTCGAAGAACAAAGGATCCCAGGATCAGCCCGACAGCGCCATCTCAATTCTGTAGGGGCCAGAATCAGCCCTGGGCAAAGAAGCATGGCTGAGATTGGGATGGCATGAGGGTCACACCCATAAAAAGAAATGGGCGAAACAATTAAGGCGTGGCTTCTCCTGGATCATGACGGGGGCGGCAAGGCGGGTAAGGGCCGCTTGGTTCATGCGTCGGTGATGAAGGGGGTTTGATGATCATGAGCATGCGCCAATCCAGCTTGCACTGGGGAAGCTCTCGGTCGGTCGGTCGGTCGGTCGGTCGGTCGTTCAGGCGGTCGGCACACCTGTGATCCCACTGACGGTGGACAAGGCACATGCGTCTCTCTCACCTGCCACCTGTGACTACGCTTGCACTCCACGAGCTTCCCTTCTCGGCACTTCCAAACGGCTCTGGATGCATGCAAAGAAAACGCCCGATGAAAAGTCTTGATCGAGCAGTTGCCCGAAGAGGTGTGGGGTGGAAACGGGTGGAAAGGTGGGAGACACCCTGGAGCCTGGACCGCGCTGCTTTTACCCAACTGTTTGTTGGGCATGTGAGGATTCGCCAGACTCGAGACAGCAGAGACGAGCCACACGGATTCCTGTTCGGTAATAGCAGAATATACAAGTAGAACGGCGAGTCCTCTTAACCCGAAACGGGCAGGCGGCCAGGATTGTCAAACCAAAAGCCCCTGATGTGCCCTCAAGGATCAGAGACTAGGAAACCCCAGCACACCCCGACTCGGAGCCACTTGCGCAGGCACAGGCGCCACTGCTGAAGGACGGCGCGGCATGAAACACTGAAACCGCATGGCCATGGCCAATGGGACCAAGGGATCCGTTTCCGTAAGGTGATTCTGGGGGGTCTTGGAGGGGCGCCTTGGGAGGCCGAGAAGCCTGTGATCTACTTTCTCTGCAGCCAAAACATTCGAAGATACATGGAGCAACAAGAGCGGCTCCCCAGGGCGATTGGGCGATCCTTGATCGTTTCTGGTTGAGGGCGATTTTTGATCGATGGTTCGATGGTGGGGTGTCTGGTACGCGACATCTGAGGGCTACCTGGCGGCCTGATTCTATGTAGGTTCGAGGGGGGGTGGCTGGCACACATACTTTTGGGGGGCTTGACAGTTCCAAGTGAACGCAAGTCTTTTTGAATGGTCACGTCAGCGGAGCGCTTCACACCACGCCGCCGGGGTCCTAGAGACAAGGAGGAGGCTCAAACGGTCGGTTTGCTTCTGCGCCCTGTGGTCCAATGTCTGTTCGCTGCTTGGGCTCCAGCAGCTAGGTTGTACAACGAAGCAATGACAGCAGGCGCAGTGACGCTGAGTTGGCGTTGGCGTCGTACACGTCTCTCACACGCCTTGTTCTCTTGGCTGACCCTGCGCGCAGCTTCTGTGTTCTGTGTGCCGTGCGTGTGCAGCGTCAAAGCTGGCAATCGACAGACTCAAGGGGCTACCGACGAGCACCCGATGCAGGACTAGGAGCGCCGAAGGACGAGTGGTACAGCCATGAGTCTGCTGAACTCTGCGTGTCCTGATCCGGCGGGTGATCGGTCTGGAAGCCCACTGTAAAAGTGCGTCTGATGGATGAATGGCCTGGAATAATTGCCTCGAGTACCATGTACCGCCTGTTGAGCAGTCCGTCGATTCAACGAGCTCCACGTGCCGTAGACCGGGCCATCTCCATGCGAGTCAGATTCCCCACGGTGGAGGGTGACATTCTCTGTAAGTTCAGTCGGTTGGTCGGTCGTCAAGGATGTCATCATGTCTTTGACCCTGACTGCTTTGTTTCTGCAACACGGGTGGTTCTCGTCGTAGCCGCAGACTGGCGCGATCCAAGTCCGTGGATATGCGGCAATGCAATGGCGACGCTTCGAGGAAAGAAGGGATTTGAAGGCGAGCAGTAGCAGCCGACAGCGCAAGGAAAGAACAAAGGACCATCGGCAGGGGTCGAGCCCCATGAGCCCCCCATATCATTGGCCCAACGACTGCTGATCACTGCTCCGCTCCTCCCACGAGCTCGTTAGGCGCTACCAGGGTCCGGACGAACCGGGGGTCTCTCGTGGTCTCGACCAATGGGGCGAAATCGTGGTGGGCAGGGACAGGGGAAGCGCGGGACGCTCCTGGTCCCAAAGGCAATCAAAGAGCGACAGAGCGCCAGGGCAAGGAACAAGAAAGAGGAGCAAAGAGCGCAAGAGCCAAGCAGTCCCCAATCCTCCGGTCGCCCTGCAGAACACAACACGTCCCCCGCCTACAGAGCTTGTGCCCCCCCAAATAATTGGCACTTCCCTCCCCTGCCGCTCGATAGGCTTTTCTCTTTCCCTCACCCAAGTTCACCTTGCGAACCAAAGGCAGCTCGACGCCAGATCTTGAGGACGTCCAGCCTGAATCCTCTCTTCACTTCTCAACATACTTTTCCACGCTCTCCATTCCCTTGTTGCGTGACAATTTTACCATCTTCCTTCCTTTATAGAAACCACCAGTCAGTCTAGACGACTGCGAGGATCACCACTTTCGTGTCGAACACGGCCCAACTCATCTCACGTTGAACGTTCATTTCCCACAACGCGACACAAACACAACACCTACGGGACTCACCCAGACTCAGAGACTCAAAAAAAAAACATAAGTTTCACACCAGCAACACCAGCGTTGACCAAGCTCTCGACCGTACCAATCACTCTCCTTCCACCAACTCACCAGTCGGCTAGACCCGAGCATCTATCGCCTCTTCTTTCCTTCACCAACTCGGTCGAGAAAACGGAACCCCGATTCTTACCACGAACTTCCTGCACACGCAACTTTTCCCACCCGGAAAACTGAGCCTGCAGAAGATTTCTTCACTTCTATTCGTCATAGCTCTCGCTGTCAGCAGAAACCCAACATTCTTCGGCGATTGACAGCTCGTGCTCCGCCGCCACCCGCCCACATCCACGCCTTTACCTGCCTCGCAGGTATTGCAGCACGCGCACACGCACCTTCCCCACCGAAACTGCCACTTCTGGACTTCGGCCCAATCACGCCTGCAGCCCTCGCACCACCATCACCACCCTTTCGGCGGTATCAATTCTGAGCAACGGGCACCGACGCTACGTTCTATTCGGACCCAGACCCTCCACCCAGCCGAGCTCTCGGTTCCTCATTACTAGGGTCCTCTCCCCCAAAGGCTCATTCCTAGCCGGCTGTTGTTCTCAAGAGCCACATGTCGGATACTCACCAACAAAACACCTTCGCCATGTCGTCGCTATCTAGGGCCTTCACCACCCGCAGGGTGAAGCAGAGCATCGACGTTGCCGCCGCGGCCAACAAGGCCAACAAGGAGAATGGCCCCCAACGAAGCAAGACCACCAAGACTCCTCATGTTTCAGTCCGGCACCAAATCTCAGCACCCGTCGAGTTGATTCACACCACCAACATGCTATCGTACAATGCGCCAGATATCTCTCGGAACACCTCAAGCAGCAACTCGACCAAGTCTGCCAAATCCGCCAAGTCTTCAGACGAAGAGCCAGACAGCCCGAGCACTGTCGCTTCCACGCCTCCCACCAGCCCTGATGTCGACCGCGATGAGCAATCCAAGTCTTTGCAGCCCAATCATCTCTCCTGCTACTTTGTCGCACCGGTATCAGCAAAGGATTACGTTGTACCCGAAGTTCCTCCTGTACCTGCTATCCCCAAGCGATCCCCTTCTCACACCAAGAAGGCGTCTTACGACGCTATCGCCCGTCAACGATCAATCTCAGCCATGTCACGGGACTCTGATCACACTCTCTCTACCAAGGCCAGCTTTAGCTACTCAAGGACATCGTCCGCCTCGACCGCCGCATCCACTATGTCTCACAACTCCATGACGCCCAGCATCAAGCCGCCAGTTCCTTCTATTCCTCCTGTCGCGTACCAACAGCAACAGAAGCCTGCCATCATCGAATCGCATCCTTTTGGTCGTGAGCTGGCTCAAGTTTCTGAGATTGCTGAGGACTACGGCATCAAGCACTCCATTCTCGACGAAGAGGAGCAGGCGCTGAAGGCGCAGGGTCTTTACAAGCACAGCGCCGAGGACTACATGGGTGAAGTGCAGAGCCTCTTCCATGCCTTCTTCCAGGAAAGCTACGCGCAGCCGCAGTCGCACGCCAGGCCGGCGGCAGCGGAAATGTGGATCTAAAACCACGCGCTCCAAATGCCACAATGTCGACTTGTCGGCATTCTCGAATCATTCGTTGTACATATTGAAGTGAGCGCGCGCATGCGACTCGGCTTTTACGCGGCATGCAGGAGTGTTCCGGTTCACATGGCAGCCTAAGGCGCCCGGGTTGGCGATATTTTGGTCCGGGGAGTAATCGGGGGATTGACTTGGTTCCTTTTGGATGGATTCCGAATGGCGTTATGAGTAAACAGGACTGGTAGAAGATGTTCAGTCCAATGTGTGGATGTCCTCTCGCGCCAGACGGCAGCAAAACAAGACACGATTTTGACCTTCAACTTGCTCGTGACGTTTTGAAATGCTTTGCCCCATGTGACTGTCCCTGATGGGTTGTTTCCAGGCAGAACTCGAACACTGCGGTGTTCCATGGTGTAGCCTTGGATAAACGATCCTGGGTGGCTCCGGAATCACATCTGCCGGTGCCATGCGTGGGGTTCCCTCACGGTTCAGATTGATTGACGACCCCGCCCCCGGACGGAGGTGTCCCGGACGGTTGTGGGCGTCCGTGTCGATCAATTGCCTCTTTGGGGAGGTACGCCAGCGGAAGGGCTGCCGAAATCGACACTCGTGACACCTTTTCTTGCGAGCGATCCAACTCGAATCGGCAGGTCTGGCGTGGTCTGCGGTTTAACTCGATACAGGTAGGCGACCAGTCGGTAATCTGACGGCAGAAACGAGGGGATGCTACGTCATTGTCAGGGCGCGCAGTGCAGGGTGAGGGAAGGTTTGCAGCATGGGGTTGTGGCTCCTTTGCTGGATCCCAAGCTGCTGCAGTGAACGGGACCAGCTGGGGCCATTCTTCACGATAGAATGCTAGATCATGCTAGATAATCCATAAAGTTAACCGAAGAATAAAAGGAGCGGGTACTAAAGTCTGGATAAAAGCTTCATGACATTCGAGTCCCACTTGACATGTCACCATGCCCTACGACACGCATTACCTTGGTGAGTTGACGCTTTTCGGAAGGTATTCTCCTGGAATTGTCTTATGGGGATCTAGAGCCGACGTTCGGGAGAGTCTTTCTAAAACCCCGTATCGCGCATTCACCGTGGGTGGAGAGACAGAACGGAATTGAGGCATGGAACGTGCGGCCCTTGGTCAAAATAGAAGGCAAGTGGTAATCATTAGTACGACTTTCTGTATCAGAGTTGGAGGTCTGTATGAAATCTTTCATTCAATAATTCTTCATGGCGTTCTCTTGTTACAATTCATGGATTCAACCAACTGCGTCTTCGTCTTCAAATCATCTCTGTGGCTACCAGTCGCATTATTTCGCATAAAAGCTGGACGTAACGTATGTTGACTACCAACCTACCCTTCTCGATTCTGTGTCCGAATATCATTGTTATGAATGCTGCGTCGACGTTTCACTGCTCCTATTTTTCAGGTTGACGATAGAGCTGACATGGATGAAATGACATGATGACTAAAATTTTCATTCCCCACGTCTTGCCTGATCACGATATCACTTGTCAGTACTTCCAGGGCAGGGAATCGCTACCCAGAGCTGGGCCCTCAGCAATGGAGCCTTTCGCTCCTCAAGGATCCCAACAGTGAACTGACACACAGAAATCCTGTGGTGAATCGAGAAGCCCATGGGCAGACACGATTCGGTGCCACAGATCAAAGCTTTAGAACCTCAGCGGAATGTGACTGTTATTCTCACGAGGCCGACATCGCTTCCCGTGTCTACATTAGCAAAGCTAGTAGATATGCCTTCATGGCTGGTAAAAAATCGTTTGCGAGCTGCTAACGGGATTGACGTGTATTTCTTGTGGCCCATGGAGCACCTGAGCTTCAGGTCTATGTTCGTGCTTCGATGCGTCGGTGTCATAAAAGACTAATTTTTCAAGATAGCAAGCTTTACGAGCGTTGAAAATGTGTGAAACGTGTTAGATCTAAATCTTCTAGTAAATGGTTCGCATGAATTCAGCGTTATCAACGCCTACAGTTCTCTCGGCATAGTTAAGGCCCTCCGAGCAGACGTCCGCTCACATGGTCGCCATGATGAACCTTTGAAGAATTATGAAGATCAAGCCATGTTGGTGTCTGCTTGTGACAAACAAGGCAGTCTCTTTGAATTTGTCGAATTTCATGACAGATTCCTCGCACGGAAATTGCACTCCAAAACTCATCTACCAATCTCATGCATCGAAATTGTTGCAGGCCAACACCAGAAGCATGGCTATTGTCAGGCTTACTTCAAAGATTAAAAAAAAAAGACGCATGTCAATGACGCGCCTGTAGTTATGCTGCTGCGTTGTGTTCATTGGCGGTAAGCTAGGTGGCACTTGAAAGGGTTTCCTCCAGGTAAGGTAGTGAAGGCAAACGTCGGAGATCAGGGAACTGCCGAGCCAACGAGTTTCTGGAATAGCAAAGCATTGTATCTCTCATTCTCTTGATTAATGGATGTTTGCCGAGAGAAAACGCGATGCTGTTGTTAGCGATTGCATGCCGCTTGTTATTTCCATGTGTTGTGAGGCCAATGCTCACTCATGGCTTGTGCTGGATCTGGTACATGTCGCTAACTTTGCTAGACTTGTTTTTTGATATTAATTTGTTTGATGACTTAAAATTTGGAACAAATGTCGTCACTTATGAAGTGTATACCCTAGAAGAGCCACGAATCTTAAAGACATCTTAGCGGTGTCAGGTGAATTACACCCAGCATCGTGTTGTGAAGTTGCCTCTGGCGGTGGAAGTGGACCCATGTCCGTACCAGCCACAAAGAAGACTCGCAAAGCCACAGACCCCTGAACACGATGCGTCCGAGCTCAAGCTCCGTCTTTGGGCCCCTGTCCGATCGATCATCAGCGCTTTCGTTTCGCACCCATGACAAACACCATGTCCACGTCGACCCTTCGCTTCCATCACCTCTCCCCTCATGCCTCACGGGTCTGAGCGAGAGCAATGGCGCCACGACTCCATCTCTTACGATTACCCACCAAGCTGCGTAGACGCGTGCGGCGGAACCGAATGGCGACTCTCCTCGGCCTTCTCGCGCTCTGCGTACTCCTGATTATCCCCTTCTATGTCATCTACAAGCCGCCCGCGGCCCTCATCCGACACTTTCAGCGGAAGTGGCCTGATGTCCTGTGGCAAATTGAGACGCAGCGGAAAATCGTTGCCCTGACTATCGACGATGCGCCATCCGAACACACGACTGCGATCGCCAAGCTCCTCCGCGAGAACGACGCCCACGCGACCTTCTTCGTCATCGGCTCGCAGGTCGAGAGCCGCCTCGACGCTCTCGGCGAAATCATACGAGACGGCAACGAACTTGGCAACCATGCCATGCACGACGAGCCCTCGCGCTCGCTGACCGACGCCCAGCTCGAGAACGAGATAAGGAGTGTCAGCAGGAAGATCAAGAGCGTGTACGACTACGAAAACATTCCCACGCCAGCGAACTATTTCCGACCGGGCTCTGGCTTCTTCAGCGATCGCATGCGGGTATTGATCGACAAGCTGGGCTACAGGATGGTGCTCGGCAGCATTTACCCCCACGACCCCCAGATCAGCCGGCCAAGAGTCAATGCCCGACACATCTTGAGTATGCTGCGACCAGGTGCCATTATCATCTGCCACGACAGGAGAAGCTGGACTGTGCCGATGCTTGGGGAGGTCCTCCCGGAAATTAAGAGGCGAGGATACGAAATAGTCACGATTACGGATCTTGTAAAAGAAGGAACTCCGTGAGAGGACACCACTGGCACTAGAAGTACTTAACAACAAGTGCTGCGCCCTCGACGATATGAGGGCCGCCTGACACTTGGCCGAGACACCAAAATTTCGATGAGACTGACGCTGAGCCCGTTGGCCACAAGCCGGTCCGGGCTGCTCAGTCGCGCAGAGCGCCTGCTTGCAACGCCGCATCCCGGTGCCGTCTTGTAGAGCCCGCATGAGGATCTACATGTGCGTCAGCCTCCTATCAGACTGCAGTCGCACAATCCACGAGGTTTCGGCAATAGACTCCCGCTAGGCGAGGCGCCTGACGCTTGGCCTGTGAAGGAGCGGCGGCACGCCGCATAATCGAGTGCAGGCAAGCGTGATCCTTGCCAGAAGCGTTCGATTGCGCCGACTTGTTATCTCCTAGGGCACAGTCTCAGCCCTCGCTTGATGGACAGATTCAGTAAATGCTGCAAGTCTCAAGCACAGACTCTAGGGCTATTTACGCTTGCGCAACCAGACATGGTGCGACGTAAGGGCAGCGAAGGCTTCAAGATGAGGAGACTACCCCGAACTACCTCAGCCCCAGGATGAACTTATGCTCGGCCAACTGGGCGCAGACAGGAGGTTAGCCTTGTCCGCCGTCGAAATCGATAGTTCGAATTAGAGTCCATCATGAAGTGGCGATAGAAGATGACGACAAAGTTTGAACCCCAAGATTTTGGCCCCTAGCCTAGTCTTTGTGTACTTGCTCTTTTTGATGTTGTCCTTGGCTACGTATCGTTTTGTGTAGTCATTTGTTTCCGATGCAGTACATGCCAAATTTGCGTACCGCTCGCCGGCCAGTGGCTACCCAACGGTCCGTTGCATGTCTCTTTACCGGGTAAAAGAGCAGCTCTGTCAGGCTCGCCAGACTTGTGGATGTTCTCCCACTATGAGCGGATAGGAAGTGAAAGTTTACCTCTTAAACCATTCTCAGCTTTTTGTCTACATTCCAATCAACCTCCTAGCTCCGACAAGACGTCCACTCACCTTCATGTTCGATGCCTACAGAAAGGGGCGTCATTAGGTTACTGTGAACCAGGTATACTTATTATTATCAGTCAGGGCATTTCATTCACCGGCTGGACTAATAACCGACTTTCAAAACCACGACTTGCTCCCGTTCAAACCTTTTTCTTCTTCGACAGCAACACAAGCCAGCTCTGGTCGTCTCACCGTCATTACTGCCACCCTTCGCTTCTCCATACCTTCCTTTGACTTGAATCTATATCTTCATATAGAGATCTCCTTGGGTTGCCATCGCCATCGCAATGCATACCGAGATTAACGGAGAGGCCATCGCCCGGGCCCTGCATGGCCGCACTCTCCATGTTCCCAGCATGAGAGGCACATTCGAGCACTGGCCTCAGACTGTACGAAACATACACTACCTGGCGCTGGTGGAGTTTGTTAATGAGCTCATCACCCGGTAGGTTCTGTGTACTTTTTTCTTTTTGGCAAGGACGGGTTGCTAAGATGTTACAGCATGCTGAGTATCCCGAGTCGAGTTGCCCAGCACAAGAGCCAAGATCTTGCATTGTTCTGTGCATTGTTCGTCCCCCTTTTGGAGTGATAGACCCTTTCTAGTCTTGCTAATCATTCTGCAAGATGGTACCCACACGTTGATTGGGAAACGTTGAAGACTCTTTCCTACTACACAATATGGCTTTTCTTGTGGGACGACACCATTGACACAGCGGAGTACGATCTCGCTGATGATCTGGAGCAGGCCAATCGTTACCGCCAAGAAACGATGGCCTCTTTCAATCAATACCTGCGCAGCCCAGCCTCATTCGCGGATTGTGCAATCGACAGTGTGAATGAGGCCATCAAGCTCTTTGGCCGCGCTGTAGCCTCTTTCTTTACCGAGGGTTCGTCCTTTGGTTCTAGGTTTTCCCCTGGAGGAGTGGTATGCTGACGAGTGATCAACACAGAGATAACCGAGCGCTTCCTGCATGAAGTCGACGTCTTCATCACATGCTCAGGGCTGGAACAGGAGCACCGGATTTCAGGCAAGATTCTGCAGTACGATGAGTACATTGATCTTCGCCTTGGAACAACGGCTGTCTACACCTTGACAGGTCTTGTCGAGTCGGTGCACCCCGAAGTCATCCATACGTATGCATGCTAACATGATCAGATTTATCATTGGTGAGCATCTGCCAGAGCACATTATGAACAGCCAGGCCCGCCGTGACGTCTGGAGGGAGGCCAACATTGCCATCATCATGTACGTCGTCGCAAAAGCCGCTTCGAGAGCCCCTCATCTCTATGTGGTGGAAGCTGACATTGCATGTAGTGTCAACGACATTCTCTCTCTGAAGAAGGAGCTTGTGAGTATCGCCATTGACACACAACTGAATGGTTTCTCACCGGTCCAGCGCACCATGTGCCTCATCAACGCCGTCAGCGCCCTGATGAAAGAAGGCATGGACCTCCAGGGTTCCGTAGATGAGCTGATGGTCCGTCTCGTCGACTCGGTAGCCCGGTTTGATACGGCGGCCTCGGTTCTCGAACGCGCCACAGAACAGGCGCCGATGCTCAACAGGACGGTCAAGAGATATTGCGATGCCTGCCGCACCATGGTTACTGCTACGTATGAGTTTAGGTACGTCCATCTGCATGTGTGTGTCCCCGCAATTGGGAATTACATGCTAACAACAAGCAGCCTTGTCTCCGCACGTTACATGCTGCCGGAGTTTGTGGCGCCAGATGGCTCAGTGCATATTCCTCTCTGATTTCCGCGGACAAGGCTGGGATGACTTGCGCTGCAATGTACGTCTTCATTTGCCTCGGTGTCTGCACAGACGGGAAATACTAGGTAGAATCACACGTGGGTGCAAGTCTAGGCATAGGGAAGCAAAATTCGAGTTTCAACTTGACAAACCATTCACTTGAAGGCAGACAGCTCGCGACTGTTGATATGTCTGTCTTGCCATTAATGCACGCCGTCTACCACGCCGAGAGCATCTAGATGACGAGAGACCCCGTCAAATCATCCAGAGGCGTCTCATCCTCCTTGATCAGAGCCGCGAACCCCTCCACAAGATCGTCCCGCAGGTCCTCCCACCCCTCGACACCAATGCTTACGCGCATCAGCCTCTCGTCGCAACCGCCGTCGCTGACCCTTCGCCACTCGATGATGCTCTCGACGCCGCCGAGGCTCGTCGCGTGGTGGAACAGTCCCAGCTTGCTCGGCAGCCGGCGCGCGTGCCTCTTGTCCTTCATGTAAAAGGCAAAGACGGGGCCGAAGCCGCCGGGCATCTGCTTGCGCAGCCAGCTGTCCGGATCGCGCGCCTCGGGCTGCAGGCTCGCGTGGCTGACGCGCAGCACGAGGCGCGAGCGGGGCTGCCGTCGCGGCGCGCCTCGGCGTCGAGCCAGGCCACGAGCTGCTCGGCCGACTGCGACTGGCGCAGGACGCGGAGCTCGAGGGTGCGCAGCGACCGCAGGCCGAGCCAGCCCTCGAGGCTGCCCATGACGCTGCCGAGGAAGATGCGGTCGAAGCGCAGCAGCGTCGCCATGTCCTCCTTCTCCTCGGTCGCCTTGCCGGCGGCAGAGGCGGCGGCAGCGGCAGCGGCGGTGGCGGCGGCGCGCGCCGGGTTGACGGTGAGCACGCCGCACAGCATGTCCGAGTGGCCGCCAAAGTACTTTGTGCCCGAGTGCAGCACGACGTCGGCACCGAGGGCGAGCGGGTCCTGCAGGGGCGGCGGCGCAAAGGTGGCGTCGACGGTGAGGTAGGCGCCGGCGGCACGGGCGCGCTCGGCGTAGGCGACGAGGTCGAGGGCCTCGCCCGTGGGATTCAGGGGCGTCTCGACGTGGATGACGTCGCCGGGCCGCAGCTGGGCCCAGACGTCCGAGTCGGCGTGCGGGTCGAGCGGCAGATCAAAGGCCTCGAGGCCCGTGAGGCGGTTCATGAGGCGCACGATGCCGAGGCAGCCGTGGTAGCAGGGCCCGATGGCGATGCGGCGCGGGTTGAGGCGCACGAGCAGGGCGTGGAAGGCGGCGAGACCTGAGGCGTAGGTCACCGAGGGCCCGTTGAGGGCTGACGAGAGGATGGCCTCGAGGCGCGTCGTGTTGGGGGCCGTGGCGCGGGAGTAGATGTGCGAGTCGAGGGGAGCCGAGGGCTGCTCTCATCAGCATTCTGCATCTCACTTCTCTTCGCCTGCCGCTAAGGCCAAAGGGTAGGGAAGAACGAAACGCACATCGGTATTGTCCCAGTGCTTGAGATCATCTGGGTTGCGACTGTACTCAAACGTCGTCGAGACGTGCATGGCCGGCGCGATGGCGCGGTGAGCGCTGATGTGGTCATCGCTGTGAATGGCGCGCGTGGCTAGCGAGAGCTGTTTCGGCTGGGCACCAGAAGCGTGCCCAGAGGCGGTAGGCTGAGGGTTGGTGTTCGACATGGTGTGTCGCAGAGTGTGTGTGCGGTGACGATGGCGATAGCAGCCGTGGTCGTGGTGTTGGTGATGTTGTGGCGATGACTCGACTTTATTCTCTCAGACACTCACTCACTCTCTGATGCCCATGAATGATGGAGGCTTTTTCGCTGGCGTCGAATCCCGCCATGTGGGGGGCGTCCATGGTGACAAATGCCGAACAGATGGGTCCTGGTGCCATGAGTGCATGTGTGCATCATGCGATCCAGCAGCTAGTCGATCACGTCAAGTGAATGTTTTCAGTCCTCCTCTCTGACCTCCCACCGCCGCCGCCCCTTTTCGCGCCCTGGCGATGCTGGGCATTGCGCTTCGAGAGGGGCACAAAGACCCCGGGGCCGCGGGGCAGATCCCGATCTCGGAACCCCGCCAAGGCCCATGAAGGCTACGACACGGAAGGGCGCCAGACGATCGTCTTGAAAGTTGACATGTCTCATTACCATTAAAAAAAGCCCAATCGCAACCTCTTGTGCATCGTCTTTTCCCTGCCAGTTTCTTGCCGTCTCTGTGTTCTCTGCATCCCCTGTCGTCGAGGCAGTCGGCCCTCGTCGAGGCAGTCGGCCCTCGTCGAGGCAGTCAGCCCTCGTAACTTGCCGCATCCTGCTTTCTCCCATGAACCGTAGCGAATGCGTTTCCTTGCCGACCCGCACTTGATGTCCCATGGAACCCCGTCCTGAACGCCTTCCCAAGCAAATAAACGAAAGTCTATAACCGATACAACAAAGGCCAGCATGACTCTCAAACTGGCCTCACGCGCCATCAGTGCACCTCCTGCGCCTCGACCGGCGTCGCCGTCGCCGGCCTTTCCATGCTGCCGAGCTCGGCGCCCTGGCCGCTCTGGCTCTGTCCTCGCTTGCGTCCGAGGAACCGCGACATGGCATTGTTGTTGGGCTGGCTCGACGGGGTCTCCTTGTGCAGATCCGTGTTCGAGTCGCCAAACCGCGCAAAGAGGCCGCGTTTGCGCTGTGGTTGTCCGTGCTTGTGGTCGTCGTTAAGGCCGACGTCCTCAAAGTGAGATTCCTCCACCGTCGGCGGTTCGTGGGCGGCCTTGCGATCAAAGGCCGACCGTGGCAGACGGGGAAATCGGTGCGAGTCGAGAGATTGGCGCGCCGGGAGGTCATGCGACGGCATCGGCGACCGGGCCGAGATGTCCTGGAGCAGATATACAATTAGCCATATGTTCCGGAGGTTCCGGTTGCGAGCAGACTCAGATGCCGGTGGGGCGGCGCATCGGGCGCGGCAAGGGGGAGAAGACATACAAATGATCGCCTATAGGAATCGAAAGACTCGCGAGAAATTGAAAAGTGCTCAATGTCGCCGACGCTGCCGTTGCGCGTGTCTGTCGAGTTGCGGGCTGAGGAGAGATACTTCTTGGGCCAAGCGGCCTTCTCTTCTGTAGGTGACGGCTGTGCACAGCATCAGTAACGCCCAGACGGTTCACAGCCCAGGAACGGCGACTGCACTCACCGGCAGGTAGACTCCGCTGTCATTGACAACTGGTGGGCGGTGCTCATGTCAGTCAAGGGTCTCGTGACGAATGCAAGGCGGGTGGGCTGGTGGGTGGCGCGTTGCGACTTGGCACAGCGCACAGGTGAGGAGAGAGAGAGGTGGGCAGGTCGACTCAAGGGAGGGTCGGGAGGCATGAGGGGAAAGAGCAGAGGGAACAGCAACGCGTACCGCTCATCTTGTATTCGCCATTGTCCGGTCCGCTGTTGATGCTGAGAGCAGAAGAGGCCTTGGAGCCGACAGTGTCGACCTTTTCGAATCCGGGGTGCGAGGGGTTGAGACGGTCATCGATAGGCCGGGCGTTCTCATCCTGAACGCCGATGGCAGCGCCGGGTCTGCGGGCGAAGGGGTTGCGGATGGGCATTGCTGTGATCTGTGCGATAGTAGAAGGATGTGTAAAGACGGCGAGAAGTCTTGGTCAAGCAGACGGCAGAGCAGGAAATTGCGAAAAGTTGTCGTAAGGGAAGAAGGGGATCCGTTCGGGTGGTGCGCCGTTGAAAGTCAAGAAGGCTATTGCTGAGAGGTCAGACAGTGTCAGAACAGAGGCCGGCCGGTGTTGGAGCAAGGTCGAGGAATCAGATGTGATCGGATCGATTGTACGGTGGACCTGACATGGGGGCGTGGATCAGGTTCAGGTTGAAAAGAGCTTAGTCGTGGAGACGGAAGGGGGGGGGGGGACCAGTAGAGGTCCCCAAGTCCCCCAAGACCAAGACGGCAGCAGCACCATCAGGACCAGCGAGGGCCGCCAGGGTCGTCTGCTGAACCTTGATCAGCGTTCCTTGAGGGGGGTGTTGACTAGGTAGTGATGAGCGCTTGAATCTGGCATGGCGGCGAGTCGGGGCGCCAGTAACGTCCGAAAGAGCGGAGGTTTGGGCGACGATCAGGGCAGGCGCTGCGCGTTGTACCTTGAGCCAAGTCTCCGTCAGACTGTCCTGCCAGTCTCGTCAGCAGTGCCATCAGCACGGAAAGTCAGCCTGTAGGCATTGCAGCCTCTCAGCATGGGCAACACGGGACGGCTGCGAGATGCGCATTCTCTGGATCTGACGCCAGCCGTCAGGTTCGTTCGCTCCCCTTCTTTTGCCTGATGTCCCTTGCTGATCTCAAGGCAAAGGCATGAACGATGGGCATTGGCCATGTTTTGAGGCGTGAGATGGCCGACTTGCAGTGTCGTTCGCTTGGTTGATGGATAGTTGACTCGCTCTCGCCCAGTTTTCAGTGACCCGCTCCTTCGCAGTCCTGGCTCCGTGAATGTTCGCTATTGCCGTGAACCCCACGTCTTCAGCGCTCGGGGTTTCTTCTGCCACGGCTTGTCTTCAATGCTGCCCCGTCGGCGATAGAGGGACAAAAGCATGGGTGCCTCGACTGGCTGGCCCCTAGACGACGCTTGTCGTCATTAAAGCCTCCCGCCTAGCCGTAGTGGTGCCTCGCCCTTGTCTGCCATGCGCGCGAGGGCTGTAGCGGCCCAAAGCAAGGCTGGCTAAATGGAAGCCGGCGCCATACGCGGACCCAGACGATGCCGACGTACAATGGCGTAACTGGCCAGTATAGTTGCTGCTGGCAGTGTTTCTGAGACCTGGCGGTGGGGGGGGGGGGGCCAGGGAGTTGGGCGGTGGGCGGCGGCAGGATTGATTGACACTGATTCACAGGCTGACAGGGTCACTGACTTGGCAGGCAAGAAGGACCTGACCACCGGAGTGGCCAGAACTGGGAAGTGGGGTACGACTCGCGACTTCCTTGGCTGACGCTAACTGACTTGACCTGTTCTGCACACACAGTGCTCGGCGTCTAGGCTAGTTAACGACACTGTATCGGCGAGTCCGTCTTCGCTGCCTACCTTACCCAATTGCCCAACTGACTAAGGTAGGTAGGTACCTCAGGTACCTGGATAAGGCAAGGTAGGCACAGTATTCTCCCCCAAGTTTCTATACAGAATGACGATTATGTCATCAAAATGGTCCGTCCATTGCTCCTTCCTGAGGAGATGTCCTCCTCTCCTGACAAGTCCAGGTCCAGGCAACGATATCGAATCACACATCACAACGGGCATCTGCATGAACCTGAACTGTATGCATTCATTCATTCATCTATCAGTGTTGAACAACTTGAAACACCACCAACCCAAAATCAAACACAGTGGATATCATGCTTCGCTCTACTCAGCCATCATCTTGCCCTCCGTACCCTCGGCTCCAAAAATCTCAGCCTTGGCCGAGCCAAACTTCCTGGTCGGCGTGAGGTGGGCGAACAGGTAGTCCAGCTCCTCGTATGTGCGGCCCTTGGACTCGGGAAGACGGAAGAACGCCCACACAAACACAGCGAACGCGGTGCTCCCCCAGATGAATCCCGTGTACCCACGCAGGTTCAGCTCGCCCGGGTTCATGAAGTACGGCTGCAAGACCTGCGAGATGACCGAAATGACATAGTACGAGTTACGCGCCAGGCAGATCGTCTTCTGCCTCAGTCGCGTCGAGCCAATCTCGGCCGGGATGGCCCAGCCTAGTTGACCCGCTGACAGCTGGAAGACAAAGGTCCACACGAGCGTCAAGACTGCCTGCACCATGCCCACCGAGTTGCGATCCGTCCAGACATTGAGGATGCCAATAATGTACAGCACTGTTGCCATGGTGGCCATGCCGCAGAGGTAGATGCGCCGGCGTCCAAAATAAGGCATGAGACAGAACCAGTTGACTAGCGTACCGACGAGCGCCATGGCTGTGCCGCCCGTGTTGAGGTAATACGTCTGGTCCGTGTCGAGTCCGACCTGCTGGAAGAAGTAGGTCGAGTTGTAGGCGAATGAAGAGCCGGCGAGCACCTGTCCGGCAAAGGCCACGCACGCAATCTCCGTGCGGCGCAGTTCGGTACCTCGGAAGCAGTCCCAGTAGCTCGTGCCGGCTGTGAGCTCGATCTCGACATTGTTGGTATGCACAATCTCAGCCAGTGTCGCCTTGACGCTGAACTTGGACGACCCGTCCGTCACGTCGTCGCGCTGCAGGCGGCGCAGCGACTTCTCGGCATCCTCGAGGCGACCCATGCGAACCAGGTGCCAGGGCGACTCGGGCGCAAAGCTGAGGATGGGGATCAGGAAGGCGGGCCACGTCCACTGCAGAGCAAAGGGAATACGGTACGCCCACTCGTCGGGCCGGTCGACGAGGCCTGCGAGCACGCCCGCAGCAATAAGCTGGCCGATAATGAAGCACATGTTGGTCCAGCTCGTGAGATAGACGCGGAGGCTCATGGGCAGAACCTCGGAAGCGTAGGCTGGCGCCGACGTGGCGAAGACGCCCCAGGGGAGGCCGCAGAAGAACTGACCGATCATGAGGATGACGATGCTGTGGGCGAAGAAGGTCATAAAGATAAAGGCCGACAGCACAAACAGCGAGATGATGAGGATCCTCTTCTGACCAAATTTGGCGACGAGGTAACCGTTGAGAAGGACGCCAATGAAGCAGCCGACACCGCTGGCGTTACTGAGACCAGCTTGCCACGGAGCTGACAGTTGATGCTTGCCGTTATCATCGATATACTGGCCGTACTTCTTGGCAAATTGGGGGTAGGCGTAAAAGTTGCCTATCAGGATTGTGTCGTAACCTATAGGCCGACTCTGTCAGTACTCTCTCTTCAGATCCAACAGGGGACCACAGAAAGGGGACGGATGAGACGCACCTTCCATAATGACACACATGGACACCATCAAACTCCAGAAGATAGCCATGGGATAGGCACGCAGAGCCTCCTTCAGGGTAATGGCATGCTGCGCTTCAACAGCCTCTTGGGCCCGGGCCGCCAGTACGGTGGGCTCGCTGAGGGTAGCATCCTCGATCTGGACATTGTCCATCTTCTCCGTGGTACCGGCCATCTTCAACACCGCCGCAGTTGGCTGGTGATGGTCGCAGTGGTGGTGGTGGTGCTCGTCCACTCGGTGCCTGGGGACAGACGAGAGAGAGAACCAAGTGGTTGTTGATGCCGTGAGTGGAGAGAATGGTATGATACTTCAAAGAGAAACCGTCGTCTCAGATGGCGAGGGCAGTCATTTCCTATATAGACATGACGATTGTGGGAGGCGAAGTATGAGAGAGACGATGGGCGACGAGGCGATGTTATTCATGGATGGTCAAACAAGTCTGGGCGTTGGCGCAAAATTCGCGGCATTCAGCCCGCCTCCAGACTAGCCTGAGTTGTCATTTGTCCCCAACCTTGGGGCTCGCCTGTCGATAAACATCACGCTAGAGGTATTTAGTCTGGGGCAGGAGGTCTGGGGATCAAATGCGATGCAGTGCGGGGGCTCCGCGTGAGTGCGACCATGAGAGGTTCCGGGAGGCAGAGATCATCGTCAGTCGCCCGTAGCGCAAACACAACGAGTCAAGTCTGCTATCCCGCACCAAGGTTTTCTTTTCGGCGGAAAACTCGTGCGGAAAACTCGACTCTAATGCCACGCGAACAAGTCTTCACAGCAAGTGATCGAGCATGGAATGCGACGTTGGTGACAAGAACCATTCAGTCGCATCCATGATTGGGCCGCTGAATCTCTCGCTCGCCAAAAAGCCCAGGGGCTCGAGCTGTCAACCAAGCACTCCAACGCAAGGAGTTGATCGATGGTCGAAGCTTTGCGGGGCAACACACAAATTCGCCGAAATGCCCCTCATTCTCCCCGTACCATTCGTATGCGGGTGTTTTCCGCAAGTAAACCGACGAGTTCCCCTGCCGTTCCCCGCCGCTTGCCGGCTTCGACGGCTTCAAGAGAACATTCTACGGAACAATGTCTATTAAGCTCGACGACCCGAGCACAGAGGTGCCGGTATACTCCCTTCGTCCTCAATCATGTTGCATAGCTTGATCTGAAGCCTGGGGCTCTGTTTTCCAGCCTTGTTCCGATCCTTGTCCTAAATTACTTGCCCAAGACTCAATCCTGAACCAGGGCATCCCTTGTCGGATACACGCACATATAGCTTCTCCGTCATTCATCGCAATCATGGCACCACTTGCCACAACGTCCACCATCGTGTCCCTAATAGGTATTGTCAGCGCCCTAAACAATGGCCTCGCAAGGACGCCGCAGATGGGATGGGTACGTGCGTCACTCTGTGCCGGTGACAAACATGCTCACCGTATCAGAACAACTGGAACGCGCTCGGGTGTGACGTCTCGGAGGCTCTGCTCCTAGACACATCCAGAAAGCTTGTCGACCTTGGCCTTCGCGACCTGGGCTACAACTATGTCGTTCTTGACGACTGCTGGTCCGGCGGCCGAGGTGAGGATGGCTTCCAGTACGAGGACCGCACCAAGTTTCCGAGTGGCATGAAGGCGGTCTCAGACGCCATCCATGACATGGGCATGCTCTTCGGCATGTACGGCACCGCTGGTGAGATGACCTGCGCCCGCTACCCGGGCTCTCTCGACTGGGAAGAGAATGATGCCAAGTCCTTCGCAGCCTGGGGCGTCGATTATCTGAAATACGACAACTGCTATTCCATGGGTCGCCACGGGTCCCCCAAGGTCTCCTTCGACCGTTTCGACACGATGCGCAAAGCCCTGAATGCCACCGGCAGGCCGATGGTCTACTCTCTGTGCAACTGGGGTGAGGACTACGTCTACTCTTGGGGCGTTTCCATTGCCAACTCGTGGCGCATGTCAGGCGACATCTATGACTCGTTTTCTCGGCCAGACGTGCTTTGTAGCTGCGAGGACCCGAGCAACCCGTTGTGCACATCGTGGGGCACGCACTGTTCCGTGTTGAACATTCTCAACAAGGTTGCCGCCTATGCTGACCGCGCGCAACCCGGCGGCTGGAACGACCTCGATATGCTCGAGGTCGGGCAGGGTGGCATGACAGATGACGAGTACAAGGCGCACTTCACCATGTGGGCGCTCGTCAAGAGCCCGCTGCTCATTGGCACCGACCTGAGGAAGCTCTCTGCCTCAGCGCTGACGATTCTGAACAACCCGGCCATCATCGCAGTGAGCCAGGACCCGGCGGCGAGGTCAGCTCTGCGCGTGGCCATTGACTACGACGTCAAGAAGGACAAGTACGGCGTCGGCGAGACGCAGGTCTGGAGTGGGTGGTTGGCAAACGGCGACCAGGTCGTTGCGTTTTTGAATGCGGCGGATGAGGACCGTAAGATGAAGATTGATCTCGAGGAGGTCTTCGTTAGGGATGGTCCGGGGGGCTCGGCAGAGCAGGTGCAACATGAGTGGCAGATCTACGATCTCTGGGCTAACCGCATGTCCGATGACTTTGCGGAGGGCCTTCTCGACGCCAGTGAGAAGAAGGATGGAGACAAGGCGGCGAAGCTGTTCGACAAAACTAAGTGGTATAACTCGACTGAGCTGCCGTACAAGGAGGGTCTGCTCAAGGACGATGAGCGGCTCTTCGGCAAGCATGTTGGTTCAGTCAAGGCAAGGGGCGTCATTGAGGCCAAGGTGCCGAGGCATGGTGTTGTTGCCTACAGATTGAGGACCAAGGCTCCAGGGTTGAAGAGGTACTCCATGACCAAGGAGGAGCTGTAGATGCTTCCATACGATGTTGCGCGGGACACCCGTGAAACGACCGAGACCCAGATTCATATCACCCAATAACACTTCGAGGAGTTGCTATAATACCGTTTGATTGCCTAAATGTGTAATTCTGAAGAAGAAGTCAAGAAAAACTTGGTGTTTGACAAATGAGTCTGGTAGAACCCTGGGTTTCCTGCTTTCAACCGTGAATGATGTGAGATCCGGACATTAAGAGTTTAACAGGCGAGAAGCACAGCCTTGGCACAGTATGTAAAAAGGCTCAATTATACCGACATAAGCGGATCCAGAAGTTAAGGTTCAGGTGAAGCGCAACTTCTCCAACTCAGAAAGAATGAATCTCAACCGCAAGGATAGCTGTCAGGGCAATGAGCAACGCCCCAGGTCATCCCTTTACTTTCAACTGGGCACACAGACTCCTAATACTATTCATATTCAAGACTATCAGTATTGAGCACCGTAATTAAGGGGCTAATGAAATGGCAAGGAGAGATATAGGTTTGGCCTCGTCCCTGAAGCTGCTAGCACTTCCAAGGTTGCTCAAAGTTGAAGAATGCCATTCAATCGTGGGGGCTTGTCGCAAGGCATTTCATCGAGACGAGGCCGTGGATGTATTACTACTAGATATAGAGGAGAAAAAGGGAGAATCTAGCTAAAGGGCTGCGTGCCCTTAGTTAAGAAGGAAATGATGTCGAGCACGAACGACACTCTCAGTGAACTGCCTGCTCAAGCGCAGCCTCAGCCTTGTAGCTTAGCTGGGTACCAATCGTAACATCAAGATATCATTCCTAAAGTCAAGGGCGCAGCAACACCTCATCACTCATGTGTCTCGTCTCTGCTCACTTATTCAGCCTCGGCGCCCTCTCAGGATCCCTCCAAAACAAGCACTGTTCCCTCCGCACGGCATCTTCCTCCACAGCCGGCCCATCAGGCTGCACAACAAGCTGCTTGGGCGGGGTCGACTCGACGCCATAGCCCGATGGCGTATAACCAGGCCACTCAGGCGTGCCGCTATCCCTGTACGTGTTCGGGTCGCCGGAGAGCACGAAACTGGCGAGATAAGCGTGGAACGCGCGGCCCTGCTCGGGGTACTGCGTGCCGGGCTCGTCCCAGGCATACGTGCGGTCGATGGCGTGCGGGATCCCCTGCCACGCGGGCGCGCCGTTGTTCGTGTTCCACCGGAGTTTCCACGTCGGCACGCCCGCCGCCGACGTCCTGTATGCCGTCTCTTGCACCGGGCAGCGGTAGGCAAAGTCCGTCCAGGCGGCGGCGAGGCGGTTGTACTGCGTGCTGTTCGGGGAGTTTGTGTACGGGGAGCTCGCGTCCGTCGCCGGGTCGGGATACAGCTTGACGAGGAGCGCGAGGTCGTTCTCCGTCAGATCGGGGGCCGACGTCTTCATGAAGTCGACGAATTCGGCTTCCGTCTCGAGGGTGCCGGGGATGAACCCCTTTCCCTCGTCCGTTGCGGACGTCGCCAGCGTGGGGACGTGGAAGAATGTCTCGTCATATCCAGACTGAGATCCGGCCTTCTCGAAGAGCGCCGCGTTCTTGACCGGCTGCCATGGCCAGGTGATGACGGGATTGTACTTGGCAAACACATCGTACCCGGCGTCTCGGATCCGGCCGACGTCGGCGCTGCGAAGGCACTTGAAGATGTCCTTGCTGCGTGCTTGACCATCGCAACCTACGGACGAGAGAAACTCGGCGTACTGAGTCTGGTAGAGGGGGTATGTGGCATTAGGAAAGGTCCTTGCTGTGACGGAACCGGATTCGTAAATTACGCGGGCGAAGAGCTTCTCTCCAGCTGTCGTGCCATAGTTATGAAAGTGGTGGATGCCTGTGAGACCAATTTGGTCAGTGTGCTGTCACAAACTTTCACCCCACTGCCAGACTTACCAACCGAATGCCCTCCAGCGCTGAGTCCGCCCAGCGTCACAGTTTTCGGATCGGCTCCAAATGACGCCGCATACCTCTGAACGAAGCGCAGGAGCAGCTGCTGGTCCAGCACACCAAGGTTTAGGAGGTCCGCATCCTGGAAAAGCTCCGAAGGCAGTGATCCCAGGGGGCCGAGACGATAGTTGAAAGTGATGACAACCAGGGGCTCCTTCGAGTTGGCGACAAAGGCAGCGCCGTCGAAACCCTGCTGATTGCCATTGTTGAATGCGCCACCGTGGACCCATACAAGCGTGGGGAGTTTCTTGTCCAGCGGAACACCTTTGGTTCTGAACACCTCAAACTGAAGGCATGCTTCCGACTGGCTTTCCAGGGGAACCGATGCCGTGGCTCGCTGGACGCATGACTTGCCGCTCTTCGTGGCAGCTTTGGTGCCTCGAAAGGCCTTTGGCCAGTCAGGCTTCTTAAAGCGCCTTTTGCCGATGGGCTGATTCGCGTAGTCAATGCCTAACCAAGCATCGACTGTCGAGGCCAGAGGTTTGCCGCTGACTGTTTCGTTGACGACGGTGCCGTAGAACGAACCGTAACCCTTCAGGGTGACTTGGTTGTAGACGGGGGCTGGCTTGGCTGAGACCAATTCAGCAGCCGTCGCAACGGCGAGACAGAAGAGTGCGGTAGCTTTCATCGCGTGTGTGAAGAACACAGTACCAGTCTAGCCGGGTCGTTCAGTTAGGTAGACGAGAACCCGCGATTGTCAGCCGAAGCTGGCGGGCAGGGAAGATCCTCATTCCGCTTTATACAACATCACACCCTCAAGTCAGTCGAAGTGGCCGAGTCATATCTCCGGGGATACTCCTCTGGCCCGCTATGCTGGGTGCCGGATGTCGCTCGCAGGTTTGCTACGCAATCAATCATTGGATTTTGATAGCCAGAAGTTCCCATAGGTTCTGATGGTGCCATTCAATGGGGCAAGCTTTGAATTGAGCCATGGCCGGCATTAAGCCAGGGGGTCCCGGGAATGACGTAGAAAAGAGATGCGAAGTTAATTGCCGACGCCCCCTCATTCTTTATTAGTGCCCCGGCACACTTATTTAGCACCCCTCTTTCGATCCGGGGTAGACTGATTGTCCCCGGTCACACTTTTGAAATCCGGCCGCACGTCGTACATGGCAGAGATCATGCCGAATGGGGGAAAATCATTCTCCCTAAGGGTAGCAAACATAGCCAAAGGCCCCTCACGTGGCCATGCTTCGGCTCGAACGGCCTGTCGGGCTGCCACGATATGACCGAGTTGTCAGGCTTATGGACAGCCATCTCACCACGCGACCTTGGACCACCTTCGCTGGCGATACCTTAGTGTTTTATTTCACACGAAAACGACCAATACTAGCTGTTATGCATTGTAGGCATTGTAGGCACAAGCCAATCTCCGTCAAGGCTGGAAAGAAACTCGTACAAGTCATCTGCCTCAATGTCCTCAGCAAAATGCGATCGTGTCGAGCTCGAGGGGCTGCCCTATTGGACGCGTCGTTGACGTTCGTGACGACGATAGGAATATCCATTACGTCCAAGATTTTCATGAAGAACTGCCAACTACACTAATCGTCCGCGAGGACTTTTCTTACAGAATCCATCAGCACACTTCCAATGACTTTCCTGCACTCCCGATCTTCGACCATCTGCTGCGAATCGACCCTGCACTCCTTGGCATCAAGCTCTCGGCGGGCCCGGTCAATATCCTCCAGCTCTAATATGCTGCGTGCTTTGAGAGCTGTGATGTTCTGTCCCAATGCCTTAGCCTTTTCTTCAACCTCGTAAATGAGCTCTGTCAGCACCGCCGAACGCGCAGTATCCCGCAACGCTTCGGCCAGACTCAACGCAGACGTGATAATGCGACTAGTATCCCCTGCGGTGATGGGCAATCGATGCACAGAGGTATGCCTCAGCTCGGTTAGTAGGGCAAAGATGCGCCGAAGCGTGTATTGTGGAACGCTCAATGCGTTGTCAGGAAGCTTGGGGAAGTTTTCCTTGAATACTTTGGGCCATGTTGTCAATTCAACGGCCACGGCACAGTCCCAGTCTTTGGCCCGCAGGATTTCGGGGAACCACTTCGTCGCAAAGTCAAAGCAGCACTCTTCGACTATGCGTTGCGTCGTTTCGAGTACAAGATGCTGTGCTTCATAAGGCAAACAAAACGAGTGCAAGGTTGAAGTCGATGGTGCGTCGTGTTCCATCGTAGAAGGAAACAAATCTGAAATATTAGCTGGCTCATCTGTGAAAGGGCGATATCTTAGGAACGAACCAGCAGTAGCTTGTGTAAAGCCATAGTTGTCAGTCCCAGAACGGGGCGACGCGGACTTTCCCCCCTTTACAGCCTGGTGATTTTCCCGAGACGCGTCGATGACCGTCAAGGGACTCTCCACAGGCTCTGCAGTGCTGGCTTTGGGCCACGGGAACTTCGGGACAGGATCATGTTGTGTGGGAGATAGATCAGCAAACTCGGCGTTGGCCCTGTCTTGGGACTCGAAAACTCCAACTGTGCACAAGTGTTGCGCGATCTCGAGTATTTTTTCGTAAGAGAATTTGAGCGAAACGGGGCGAAATTTAGCTTTATGGGAATTGAGTGCCTTCCGTATTGCCTTGGCTTTCTTGACTTTGGAAAGGCTGCCTTTGAAAATCGGCTGGCAGACGAGGTAGACGCGTTTTCGGTCAGAAAGTGAATATTTCATGTTCGCACCTGATTGCGTTTGGGGGTGAAAAATATCTAAAATCAAAGGAGGATTCGGTGACTGGGGTTCCTGGAAGAGAGCACACTGATAGATTGTGTGAAAATGTGTTGCGTTATGGGGCAGACCCGTTGACGTTGTATAGGCCTGGGGCCTATACCTCAATGAACGCAGCCCACTTGGATTTATTGGTGGTGGCATTCACCTGGTCAGTAGCATAGCATTCATCTGGTCCCGTAGTTTATTTCCAGGTATTCTCCAGCCTCATTGAATAGCTATGCAATACACACCTTTCTTCCGCACTTGACCCCCTCCAACAGAATCAACGTCCTTGATTCAGCACGCATCCTTCTAGCTCAATTGGATAGCTACCGCAACGCACTCACGACGGTGTGAGGGCTAACAGGAGCCCCTTTAGGACCAACCTTAGTACATTGGTAGGCCTCCCGCATATGGCTTGTTGGCCCCGTGGGTGGCGATCTCAGCTTGTGGCATCCCATAACCTAAGACATGAGGTAACGGAATAGTCATTATCATCATCAAGGCAATCACCGCTTTCATGAAACATAGTCGCGCTTACCATGAAGGGTATGCAGATCTTATGTGACACGGCGTCGACATATGTGTATGCCTGGGTCGGCACAGCCCATTGGGCGGAGGTCTTGATCAATCAGTCTGGAAAAGTCTCGGTGCCTGCCACTGGTAAACTTCAAGTCAAGTGGCAACCAAAACAAAGCTTCCCGAGCCAGGAAAGTTATTCAACAGAACTCGTCAAGTTAGTTGCGCAGAAGTTAAGCTCAAACGAGTGAACTTGATCGAACGCTAATGTGCAAAGCCTGGAAGCTTGATACCATTGGAGAGACGCAACATGTCATTCAATTTCTCTTCTTCTTCTTTGAATAAGTTGACTTTTATACAAGACTTTGACACAAACCACGATCCATAATCGGCAATTAATTTCAAGGTGCAAAGCGTTTTGCAGAACCAGAGAAGGCAGCTCTCTCAAGTTGATAGTCGTACAAATAGGAGTAGCCTCGAAGCTCGAAACAGAAGCGGAAGCAACACATTGCCTGATTTGTCAGACTGGTTATAGGTCAGCGATCCCCTTTAGTGGAGAGGGACGGCAATTTATTCTAGAGCCGTGAGCGTCTGCCCGACGTTGGCTTTAGTTGATCCAGGAGAAGCAGACTCATCGTCAGAAAGAAGTTCCTTGACAAAACCAGGCTCCGGAAACACGGGCTGACGATGCGAGCGAGTCGAGAAAAAGGGAATCGAGTCTTCAAACAAGTAATGAGACTCTCGCGGTTGATTGCCGGGCTCAAACCTGCCATCGCATCCAGAAGTTGAAGGTCGAACACCTGAGTGCTCAGGATTGGCAGGACCCCGGAACGCGTTGGAAGAGCGCGGGTGTTGGCTGGTTGAGCGCTGGGCACTCATGTTGGCGAAGTAATATGCACGTTCACGTGCTATCCGCTGTTTCTCTTGGTATGAGGTCCCTGAGCTATGAATGTACATCTCGTTTTGGGCGAACGAGTCGTGACCGTATTGTTGAGGTCGGTGACCATGCTGAGGTGTGTCACACTGCGCAGAACACTTGTCGTCTGGAGCCCGACCTTGAGACATGTACTCTACGAATGGATCGGAAGTTCCTGTAGAGTCTTGAGCAACCTTAACAGCATTTGCTTGTGAGTGTAGAGAAGCTCCTGAGCCTTGAGCCATCAGCGGTTCTGTTTTCTCGTACATCCGTTGACGGACGTGTTCAGTTTCGTGAAAAGTTTGAGGGAATCCGGGAGCAGGCTTTGTAAAGATCTCCCGAGGACGCCGAGTCTTCTGCCCCTGCCCATTGATGAGAGGCGAATGATACTGGGCAGTCTTCACAATAGCTGGCGCAGCTTTCATGCACCGTTCGACAGGCGGCGGCTGATCTTCTTCCACAACCGCGGCCGTTGCAGGCTTCGGTTCGAGGACGACATCAGTCGAAACTGTTGAAGCCTCACAATCGCTCTCGCTTGTGTCCAAGTCTGATTCTACAGTTGGTTGTCTGTAGATAGAACTTGGCGTCGATGGTGAAGCCTCCTTGACCAAACTCTGTCCGCGGCTACGACGCCGCCGGTGACGACCGAGTGGGAGGGAAATTGTGTGAGAAGTACTCGCGGTACTTCGCTTTGGTGTGTAAGGCCCCTGTGTCTTCGCAACTTCGGCAGAAGAACTTTTGGCCACGCTGGACCGCATCTTGGTGCTAGAAGGCTTCGAGGCGTCAGCAGGAAGGCAGTAATATCTTCATCTAGGACTCACATACCTTTTTGACAGGCTCTAATTTGAGCATTTCGCTCTTCCTACTTCTTTGAAGCCGGCAAAAGCTGCAGATGTTGGGCACAGGATTTCCTTCACCCACGGGGTGCTGTTTGTGGAAATGGGCAGAGCGGGCAAAGCCGCAACCCCAGCACAGATGACCGAAAGCATCCACTGCATATTTGTTGCCGTCGCAGTACTTCTTGAGGCACGGCTGGCAAAGATTTTTCCAGGCCGTATCGCTGGCACTCTGCGCTCTCTCTTCCTGGTGCCTCGTCGCCCGTCGAATGCCACATCCTGCGCAAAAGTGTCCGTCGAGCATCATACTCGACCGAGATCTGCCTATGAGAGTGTTCTCCCGAACGTGAAGGTCGGTGGCATCGACGACCGTCTCGTCGTCTGACAAGAAATCTTTGCCCCCCTGGTTGCCTACACTATTGGATGCACAAAGCGGGCGTCGTGTCGAATCAGCCATTTCCTTATCTGCCTGCTTGGATCCAACAATCTTGGAGCTCTCAAGCTTGTGAGTGTAGTCCTTCTCGAACTCTGCTATTGCTTTGCGGAATTCTTCCTTTGGAAGAAGGTTGTGTCTATGCTTGGAATTTGACTTCACGTCCTCAAATATAGAAAACGTAGACTCCGCCATGTCGGAAGGAACCAGTCGGTAGTTTCCCGGTGATGTTGACTCGGCACGGCAAGTTGAGCTGCTTGAAGATGACTCTTTCTGACCCAAAATTATTCTGCGGCGATGATTGGTGGCAAGAGAGTGTTTCTTAGGATGGCGTTCGTCAGTGTCGCTGGACGCGCCGCTGGTGTCGCTGTCTCCATCAGAGCTGACTGCACCGCGAATTTTAAGCTCAGAAGGATATGGTGACGAGACGTAACTTGACTTGCGACCGCCTTGGCCATTTCTACGTTGAGGATAGACCTCCACGTTGTAGAGATCTCGTGGTGCGGTATCGCGTAGGTGCTTGCGGCTCGAAGATCGCGCCACCCTCTGATACTTGTCTCCTTCGCGGCGGGACGAGATACCCAGTGCTTCCCCAAGGGTAGCAAGGATAGAGCCCTTATTATGCCGCCGACGCTCGTTCATACTGTGCTGCCGTCGTAACCCCTTTGTGTTATATGCTGCGTGCGATGCAGGGTCCGATGGGTAGGTGGTTGAGCTAGAAGATGAGGGCTGCGAGGAAAGATCAAGGTTGGCAATACTGGTCCAGCGTCTGTGGGAAATTATTGTCAGAGGACTGTGTTACGGGCGTGGGAAAAGGAGGATGTAGCAGAGGGAACGGCAGGAGCTTGGAGAGAAGTGCCGCTCTTGCAGTGCTTGACCTCCACAGGCCGCCCAAGGAAGGCGCGTGGTGATGTTTTGATTCTGGAGCCACTAGTCGGGAGACATAGATCAGGGTGGCAAATGCCATCAAATCCAACATACCGAAGACCTGTTTTGAGAAGTACGAATGACTTCCTTGTCTTTATTTCGGGACTCGACATTTTGTATTTGATAGCCAAAGCGCGAGAAGTCAACCAGTGTTGGTGTCTTGACAGTGCATCATTGGTGGTTGTAAGAGTGGGAGTGAAGATGGAGCTAGAAAAGCGTACTTCTTGGTTTGTGTTCAAAAGTGATTCATAGAGGATGATCTGCTTGGCCTGACAAATACGTTCGCGGCAGCAGTTGAGGCACCATCGTCCGCAACGATCTCCTTGGATGACGTCGCTTGGCCAACAGCAAGCGTTCAGGACACCCATCACACGTTAACATTGTCAAATAGTACAATTGGTATACAACTACCAGAGCCAAGTCTTCTGCTTTTGTGTCTAGGTACATGCCGGGCCTTCTGCCGATCGGCTGATGGTATTCCCCAAGCCCATGTCCTCCAAGCCAAAGTAAAGGAAATATCGAGGTAAGCTCCCGTGATGAGCTCTTGTCGTCAAGTCATCGCTACGCGGCGGCTGTTGGCTCGCTCGCCCGCCTGCCCTTCTAGTCCGATCGCAGAACGCGGGGTCCACGCTTCTTGATGGCCTTCTTCTTCTTTTGGCCCTTGTTGAAGGCGCTGACGGCCGCATGGTCACGGCCAATGTTGTCAAGGTCCTTGACCTTGTAAATGCGGATGATCCAGTTCTCGCTCGTGAATGCCTCCTCGACCGTGTCAAGAGTAGGACCTTCCGAGGGCAGACGTACTCCACGAACCCTGTCCTGTGCCTGGCCAGCAGGGAAGAGCGTGTGAAAGTTGTAGTAGGACATCTTGTACCTGGACTGTGCATTAGCAACTGCATAGTTTTGCAACTCAGGGCAAACTTACATCAAGCTGTTCTTCATAGTGTCAGTGGCGCCCTCATCGACACGGTACTCGCCACGGGGAGTAAAGAAGCTGCGCTCCTGAACCTCATCAGGCCAGATACCCTCGGCGATACGAACCATCCAGAGGAATTTGTTGATGTCGTCGCCGGAGTAGCCGAGGAGACCGCCAAATACGACAAGAACGTAGTCGACCTCATGCTGGCGCATGATGGGGTAGCTGACCTCCTCGCGAGAGGCCATAGCCTTACCAACAGTAGCAATGTGAGTGTTGTTCCACGTGTTGTTGTCCACGAGAGTGGGGCGGTCAGCCATGCCACCAATCTGGTAGCCGTAGTCCCACCAAGCCATGATCTTGGCGTCCTCCTTGGTGTTCTGGCGGATCCACTGGTACGCCTCGCGGTAGTCATCAATGATATGTTGGCTACCGTCGGGCATGCGACTGGCAAGAACGACGGAGGGTGAAGAGTAAGCGTTGGAGGTGACCCAGGTGCAATGAAGGACGAAAAGGAGCAAGTAGGCACCAATGGCACCGACGACAAGACTCTTGGACAACAGAGTGTAGATGCCGACGTACGGCTTGCTCGTAGACTTGAGTCCCTTGTTCGACTTCTTCGGGGCGGCTTCGGCAGTATCCTCGGCAGCTTCGTAGGCTTCGGCAGAGGGAGACCAGCGAGTCAGGAAGGTGTCAAGAAGCTGTGAGGCGGCCATGGCGGCGGCAACGCAGACACAGGGCGTCAGAGTGAGCATGAGACGAACCATGACACCGGCGAAGTAGCTGCCAAGCACAGCATACAGCACGAGGAAGATATGCTCGTCGCGAAGCTCCTGGAAGCAGAGGTAGATACCGGCGGGGAACAGCCAAATCATCATGTTCAGGTCGAAGAAGAATGCAGGCCAGGCAGTGGGCTGGTGCTCTGAAACGGACGCGATGATGGGGATGTGAATCTTGGCATAGCCAGTGTCCCAGAGAGAGTAAAAGCGGCCACCCCAGGGGGCAATGTATCCGAGCTGAGTCAAGGCAACGACGCCGGCGAGTCCGAGGCCGAAAGTCAGGGCAACCATGGTGTAGAGGAAGTTTTGGAACTGGCGGGCAGGAAGTGCGCTACGGACATAGTCGATGAAGGCCACCAATTGCAAGAATCCGAACATGCCTTTTCTTTGTAAGTTTGATTGTCGTCATCAATCTGAGCACCCAGCATTCAACTTACCGAGAGCGGGCATGTGCTCGCTGGTTTTGATGGGCAGGAAACCGACAAATGGAATGTTCATAGCGGCCACGGTGCCAAGGGCATACCAAGTCGTGTACGAGACGTATAGCCTGGTGCTGTACCTGCCAGTGGCGACCAGCACGAGGGCGTGGACGGGCAGCATGTTGGTGATGAAGGCGTAGCCACCCCACGAGGCAACCATGTATCCATAGAAGAGGGCGCACAAAGAGGCCCAGAGGATAGAACCGAGCTTGAGCGCTTTGATCCAGAGGAAGAAGGTGAAGACAAGCAGGAAGATGGCAATAGCCTCGTTATCGTAGCTGCCAGCCACGGAACGTGAGATGTAACCGGGGGTAATACCCATGAAGGCCGCGGCGAGAAGACCGGCGGAAGGCGAGGTGGTCATCTCGTTGGTAAGAAGGTACGCTGCGAAAGCCGTCAGGCCCGAGAAGGCCGGCGCCAGGAGGACGCAGATGTTGCGGATATCAACGGGAATCGTAAGGGCTCGGAGAGCATGGTAAATGGCACCGCTGGTGACCATGAGACCAGGGTAGAGAGTTCCTCCGGTAACCCGACCAAGAGGGTGCCAAGTGCGGTCATCAAACCAGTCCCAGAAGCTGTAGACTCCATTGGCAACGAGATATTTGGTGGCTCGGAAGTTGAACCACGGGTCGACTGGGTTCGGGGTCAGTACGGCATCCTAGAATTCGGGGAGAGAGCGGGGAATCGGCAGCGACGAACATTCGTGGATGATAGATTCAAAACCTATTGGCAATTAAAATTAGCGACGTTATCCTTAAGCTGCAGTCATGTGTGCGCGGTCGATTGAGGACACAATAGTGAGGTGAGAGTGGTCTTCGTGGCCAGCCTATTCGGACTTTTGGGGGGCAGCACTTACGAATGACAGAGAACAGACGACTTGCAACGCCAGCTGCCGCAATCAGGAGTAGGATAATCACACGTAAGAAGCTCCTTGTCTTCTGCGTGCTGCCTCCGAAGGAGGTTTCCACTGTTTGGGCCGACATTGTGGCCGTGAATGGTGGAAAGACAATGCTGAAGTTGGGAGACGACGTGGTGGGATTGATGTCGTCGATGAACGCTCCAGGCGTGCAGAAGGACAGCTTGAGCTTCTGCGACCCCGTATACACGCAATCTTGCAGGGGTGCAGAAGGGGGAAAGTCCGGCTACGTACATAGTGAGGTGGAACCGGGGTAGATTACGTTTTGCTACATAATAATCGGCCAATGTTCCGTTTTATTGCATTGATCATATTGACGAGGATAAAGAGTAATGATGATGGTCAGTGAATAGATGCTGGCTCCCGTGTTCTTGTTGACAATATGGAATGCTCTTGGGGGTGGCGTGGATTGGCCGTTTTGTTGTGGACGGTCACACCTTATACAAGTCTTCACAGGCGCTGTGTATACCGCGCGCAGACCAGCTCGGTGCAGCATCCAGAGAGCAGATCACGTCACCACATCACATCCTTGAATCCCATGACTGCATTATTTCAGTCATCTAGTCGAGCCTATTGTACACATGTACATCCAGTCAAGCGGAGGCAAATGGAAATGTCTATGCCATGGCGGTCGAGCGCAACGCCTTTCGGAGCTGCCCACCCGATGAAAGTCCCGCCACTCTATCCCTCAATGCTCATGGGAGAGCATGTCGTATCCCTGCGCAGAGCCCTCCTCGATTCTGGTTGCGTCTTGTCCGTTCGCATTCCTCCACATTCATCCTCACTCCCATTTCCATTACGGGTTCTCCTTCGCCAGGTTGGTGAGATAAGCCTCAAGATCGAACTTGGGGTCCAGCGGGTCCTGGTTGGCTATTGACAGGTTAGCTTTGATAGACCACATGCACAAGGCAGCGAGAGGTCGTAGGAATTGAAGAGCAGCCGCGGTGGCTTCGCTCGGATGGAACCGTGTGCCAACTACGAGAGTCGTACCTGAGCTAGTCGTCGCGGCGGCGACGGGAGAGTTCTTCTTGGCGTATTCGGCCTTGGCCTGGTTGATGAGCTGCTGCTTGTGGTCGTACTGCTTCTGCGCCGCGGCGGCCTTTTGGCTGGCAGTGATGGATCGCTGGTGGGAGAAGCCGTAGAAGATACCCAGGCCGAGGGCAGTGTAGCGAAGGACCTGTAAACCGAGTAACGGGTTAGCGATCAAATCAGTGCTACCAAGAATCGATCGTCGACGCTTGTAGAATCGTTCTGATGGATGGATGGAGGAAAGTTGCAGTCGGCGCAGGGATTGAGGTTTTGAGCTGTGAGGCGGGAAGCCTGAACGGCGAGGAAGAGGCCGCAAGGCCAGGAGGCGTGGCTCGACGTACGTTGACTCCGGATGAGGCAGACATGGCGAAAGTTGTCTGGGGAAATGCGACTGGATTTCGAGTGATGTGGGAGGATGATCGGGCAGCGCGCGGGTCGACAATGGCAGTCAATTGGCCCGTGGGAGGGAGTGATGCTAGGACGTTGAAGTGCGAAGTTTTGGTAAAAAGCTCGGGAGAAACCGCAGATTTTCCGGTCCTTCCATTGACCTCGTTGCTTGTCACTCCAATCCGCCGGCCCGCTGGGAGCTTGGACGACAACCGCATCCGCGGCCAGCCAACAGCGCTTCGGGCTGGGTGCTTACGTGATGCTACATGATTTCCCCGGCCATTTGCCGTCTCCAGTCACGTGCCAAATCAGGCACGTCCCGCGCGCCTGAGCTTGTCGCAGATGAAATGCCCCGTGGTGGTTTAGTTCGTACCTTGAGTGGATACAGGGGGGCAGCTGTCCACCTCAGGGACAGACAGGGGTCGCTTCCTCCACTGACGCCGCTGGATCGCGACGACGTGGGCTTGATGAAAGTTCCCCGAGCAAACACGCCTCAACGCTTGTCACGAGCTCCACCCCTATCGCTCCAGAAACTCGCTGCTGGACGTGACTTCAGCACAACACACCATAACCGCTTGGCTCCCGACTGATTGCATCGACCAATCTGTGAGAGTCCACCGTCTCCCTAGTCATCGACGCTTAGAACCGGCAGCTCCCGTCATGGGAGTAGGGAGTCGGCAACATGCAACAACGTCGTGAAGAAATCCTGGCCAAGAAGGCAAAGCTCGCAGAACTCAAGCGGCAGAGGGAGCTCCGAGCAAACCAAGCAACAGCAACTCGCCAGAGCATAGGCAGCCCCAGCGAGGTTCGTGACTATTTTTTTCTCTACAGCGTGTGCCATCAACATCTACCTACGTACTGACACAACTTTATCTATTGTAGCTCATCGCACCACAACCGGGGCGTGGCGACAACCGCCGCGATATCGAAGCTCTGATCAATACCCTCGTTGGAGAAAGCCGCCCTGGATCCACGACCACAGGAGGCGCGGCATCGCCGGCGCATAGGGGCAGCCGGCCCAACAGTGTGCTGTCAGCTGGGGAGATTAGCAACGAAACATCGGAAGTCGCCATAGCATCTGCATTGCAGCCCGCGCCCCCGCCTCCTCCTCCTCCGCCACAGGTTCTCACGACTATACCTTTGACCACCGTCTTTGAATGCCCACCTTCACCTGTCAAGGAGATCTTCTCCTACAGCAAGGGGGTACAGACTACCGAAGAATGGACCTTACCGAGCCGTCCTCAGGTTGACGCTGTGTCGGACGACGAGGATATTCCCGGCACCACCTCCACGCCCAGCAAGCGGATGAGCAGGAAGGAGCGTGATCGGGAGGAGGAACTGCGCCAGAATATAAGGAGAGAAGTTGAGGAAGAATTGAAGGCGACGAGAGAGTCTCTTCAAGAGGGTGCACCGCAGCAGGACCTACCATCAACAAACTTTCCACTGCGGAAGCTGACCGAAGAAGAGCAGAATGCTGTGCTGGTTTCTCCTGAGTTTGCAGACTTCCTGGATAAGTCTAGCAAGGTAATTGAGAGGGCCATCGACGAAGAGTTTGACATTTTGGTGGATTACGCTCAACATGGGCAAGATGTGGACGACGATGACGACGAGAGTGGCAATACCGGAGGCAAGGGAAGGCACAGAGTCAAGGAGGTCGCCCAATTCTATGATGAGAGGTGGTCAAAGAAGCGAATGATCAGCAGCATCGACTTCTCACCACATTTTCCTGGTCTAGTACTGGCATCATACACGAAGAACCCTTCAGCGCCACACGATCCTGATGGCTTGGTGCAAGTTTGGAGCCATGCGATGCACGACAGGCCAGAATTCGTTTTTCATGCCCAATCCGACGTGCTGACCGCCAAATTCTCGCCATATCATCGGAACCTGATTGTTGGAGGATCCTACAGTGGTCAGGTCCTTCTTTGGGATACGAGAGCGAAATCGGCGCCTGTACAAAAGACGCCACTGACAGGCTACGGCCATACGCATCCCATTTATTCGGTCGATATAGTCGGCACTCAAAACGCCAATAATATCATTTCGTGCTCGACGGACGGCATCGTTTGTGGATGGAGCATGGATGTCTTTGCACAGCCACAAGAGACTCTCGAGCTCAAGGCACCACCATCGTACAAGATTGACGACGTCAGCCCGACCTGTTTGGCCTTCCCCCAGGCAGATCCCACGTTCTTCTTGGTGGGTAGCGAGGAAGGCTCCATCTTTCCTTGCCACAGGTACGATAGAGCCGGCGCCAAGGCTGGCATTGATGCCCGGTTCAGCTACAAGGGACACACGGCGCCGGTCATGTCGGTCGACTTCCACCCTGCCCGTGGCCCCGTCGATCTCGGCGACCTGGTCCTGTCGTCTTCTCTGGACTGGAGCGTGCGCCTGTGGAAGGTCCGTGCCCCTGCTGCGACATCAACAGCGGGAGGCGAGGGCACCGTGTCGCCGCTCATCGACTTTGTTCGTGAGGACGTGGTCTACGATGCGAAGTGGTCGCCCATCAAGCCTGGTGTCTTCTCACTCGTCGACGGCGCTGGTTGGCTTGAACTCTGGGACATCACAGTCGAGACGGAAGAGCCTGTTGCCAGGATATCGCCCAGCGCTCGCAAGGATGGAAGGACCATGCTTTCGAAGAGCTTGAACAAGGTAACATGGGAGCCTTCGGAGGGCAAGCGCCTGGCGACGGGTGGCATCGATGGAGCTTTGACTGTGTTTGAGGTCGCTTCTGGCCTCGGTGGTACGGACGATCTGAAAGCAGAAGAGTGGACAAATGTCAAGAAACTGGTGAACCGAGTGGAGGCCGTTGGCGCCAACGGTATCGTGTCAGCGTAGTTGAATAGTGTATATATTGGTGGACTTTGACTGGCCTGAGAGCTGCTGAAAGGCGCGGTCCTGTATACCCTTTGGTAGCGATTGGTCAGTAGGGTACGAAAAGGATTTAGTAGGTTGCGAGGAGTTAGTACTGGGCTATAGTGATGAGGTCCCTGTGGATGCCATGAAGCTCCAGGTAGGTAGCAGGATGAAGGAGGAAGGGGGGGCTTCTGCAGCTGAGTCAGCCACTTTCGAGCTACTTCGTCTAAGCTTCTGGTCCACCGCGAAACAGCTCGAGATTTTCTTCCTTTTCACCTCTCCAAGTGGGCTTCAATAGACTCAAAGCTGCAGTCAGCGATGCCAACGTGCTAACCTGACCATGGTAAGCTTCCTTTATCTTGCTACGACTCAATGACAAGCATATGATGCGCAACCAAGAATTCTGCAAATCTCAACGACCCCGTACTTTGTACAGGACGCATGTGGATTCATTCTTACACTACAACCTTCTGATTACTGCCGAAACACACATTCTATACGAAACAATTGAATTGACATTTCGCTAACCATTCCTCAAGATCTAGATCCCTCCCATTCTTCCCATGATTTAGGTGTTGACGGGGGCCCCGGGGTACCGTCCACCTGCGACTTCAAACTTGGCCAGCGTCGCGTCGATTTCCTCCATCTCATCGTCGCTCAAGTCCACTAGCTTGGCATTTTCCTTGACTCTCGCAGCCGTAGTCGTGCCAGGAATGGGAATTATAGTCGGCATGCCCGGGCGTCTCGACAGCGCACGGCACCAACCGAGCGCGAGCTGCGCAGGCGTGACGCCCTTCTTGGCGGCCATACGCTCAATCTGCGCGGTGAGCTCAAGGTTGATGCTAAAGTTCTCGGGCTGGAAGCGTGGGAAGTGGCGGCGCACGTCACCCTCGGGCAGGTCGTCGCGGGACTTGAACAGGCCCGTGAGCAAGCCACGGCCGACTGGCGAGTAGGCGATGAGGGGGATGTCGTGTTCGGCGCACGCAGCAGCAACGTCGTTTGTGAGGACGTCGGTAGAGAAGAGGCTGAGCTCGACCTCGACGCCGACGATTTTCGTAATCTTCACAGCTTCCTGAATGGTCGCAGCTGACACTTCGGAGAGGCTGATACCGCCAATCTTGCCAGTCTGAACGTACTCCTTGTCAATAACACCGAGTGTGACTTCGAGGGGCGTGTTAGGATCGCAACGGGCGCACTCGAAAATGTCGATTTTCTTGCGAGGGCCGAGTAGAGCGATGCTATTGTCGAGAGAGCGACGGACACCGTCAGGCGAGCCGTCGGGCCCGAACTTCATAGAGAAGGCACCTTTGATGCTGAGAACGACCTTGTCTGCGTCTTCGGGGTACTTTTCGAAGTATCGATTCAGGAGAGTTAGCGAGTTGGCTTCTTGTGTGCCGTAGAACTCGCCGCCGTTCCAAAATGTCAGGTTGTTCGCGATGGCCGCGCGCAGAGCTTCGAAGGCCTGTTCATCCCCAGTGGGTTCTTCACGCCAGGTGAAGCCCATGAGGCCGAAACCGTGGGGGCCGACTTCTTGTCCGACGAGTTGAGGCATGGTGTGACTACTAGGCGGGTGTTGTGATGGCTTGTGGAGGAAATAAATATTCAGCTGTTGAGTAGTGTGCAGGGAACAAGCTGTAGAAGACTGGTGATGTCGATTGCACAGCATACAATTCAAGAAGGTTCAGCATCTCTTATACTGATCCTGGGAGGTCCACCAAAATGCGACATCAAATTCGTGTTGCATCGTGCTGGAGCGTTTCTTCCATACAAAATATCGGTACCACTCTCATCACTACTTCTTAGTTCCGGCCTCCGTTCGAGCCTCAACACCATCGAGATGTTTTCATTGCTCATGTGCGTCATACGGCCGCCCAATATTTAATCGCCGGTAGCCGGCCGAGTAGGTCGGTCGGGTTTGTTTGACACTGCCCTAGATCCGCGCCGGAGGCCCGGACTTAAATGTCGTCGGTGTGGTAAACTCCATTTTGCACCGTCAACGAAACACCCCACTGGCCTGAAGAGAGGATGACAACGTGTCACAGCATGATCAGATTACAAACAAACCCCGTTGATTACTGACATATCGATTCGGTAGCCGCTAGGCCGGTTAAAAGGGCCATAAGGGATTAAGTTCTGGGGTGCGCCGGCTTGGAGATGTCGGCGGACATAAGCGGTGGCTGTAATACGACGAGGCTCAATGCCGTTCACAGCAAAATTGGAGCCAGTGGTCCGAAACGACAAGCTTTGCAGTGTAGTTCCTATCGGGCAGCATGGCTTGCGATTCTGAACATGTCCAAGATACTTGAGCCCCCTTCCCAGGCCCGTATGTGGCAGCTTCTAGTCCAAGTCAACCAGTCTCTGCTGAACCAGGCTCTGGTGCGCCGTTCCTGCGACGCTCGTAGCACAATAGCCGTTCGCCTCCTGCCTCAAACGCTCCAATTTTTCCATCTCCATTCTCTTCGTCTCCAGTGCCCCCTCTCCACCTCCCGATTCCCGCCTCTGGTCTGGTGCTCCGCCATGCTCTGTCCCTCCCATCTTCCTCTCTCATGCCCCTCCACTTTGTCAGCTTGCCTCTCGCGGTGGTAATGCATTCTGCCAGCACTTTGCAGGTTGACTAGTACAGCGCGGTACCAAGCCGGAAAGTTCTTGAGTCCAACCTCCGCCAGTCCCGAGGACGTGCTCGGCATAATGTGCTGGTAACGGCAGCGTGATCCCCACTTGCAGGTCCCATGGTGGCAGTAGTGACGACAGTAATGCCCGCGTCCTGTCTTGAGCTTCGCCGACTGGGCGTGACGGTGGTGGTGGTGCGCTGAAGTGGCGGCAGTGCCCGTTTCGAACGCGAGTAAAGGCGGCGAGGGCTTGCCACCTGAAGGGACGACTGGATTGGGTACGGTGCGAGGGATCTCCTCAGTTAGCACGAGATCCGGGCTGGCATTGGCACTCTGAACAGTCTCCTCTCTACTGAGCCCTTCGTCGGTGTCACTGGGCTGTCCTATGTCTAGCTCGTAGCAAGGCGTATTTTCTGCCTTTGCGTATGTGCCAACGCTGGACATGCGGCTCGTCTGGGCGGGAGACAAGTATCGTGGCAGGCCGGCAATGTTTATGTGCTGGGGCAGGAGATCAAGAGGGATCAGTGGCACGATGCATCGGGTATGGCCTGGCCCTGGGCGCATGAGAAAGTACGTGGGACGGAGCCTCGCATCGATATCGAGGCCCTCGTCCTCGTTGACAGCAGGTTTTATGCCGATGATTCCCGGCACGGGCTTTTTGCCAACGGCCGGTGTGGGCTGCCGAGCGGGCGGCTTCTGTATCACCGGGGCCTCAAGAGATGCCTTGCGATCTTGAGCCTGGTGACTTGAAGCATGTGTTGTTTTTTGTTTGTTGTGGGCTTCGTCTGTTCGAGTATCAGGTGTCGAGTCGATGACAGCCCCATTGGAGACAGCCACGTTTCGTGGGTTGTGCTTCGAGTGTTGGAGGCCAACCCTGGGTCGACGATGCCATGGAGCCCTACGAGGCTCTACGTTGGACATGATGTCCTTGTCGATTCTGCACGAAATGGCAGGAACAGGTCTAAAATATACAGCCCCAAGCGAACATGATCAAGAAAGTCCAAGCAAGTGAATCGCCCTTCTCTACGCCACGGATGAGCAGGCAGAAGCATTTTATAATCATCATTCAAGTTTGTCCCCGTGTGTGCCACCATGATGTTGTCCGCCATCATGTACGGTGAGCCGCTTCCAGCATCAGCAAGCCAAACAGACGCTCTATTGCCGGGTTTCCACCCGTATCCTTGCTGACAGCCCATCAACACAGAATCCCAACTGCCGGGGCCCGTCCGCAAGCTCCACCTCTCTCTTCACCCACCGGCCCCCCTTCCTCAGCTCAACATCCTCTCCAAACCCCTTGGCCGCCTCAATCTCCACCGTCAGGTCGGCCTCCAAGCCCTCGCCCTCCTCATCACTGCTATCGCCGAGCTCCTCGTCAAACCCGCCTACAGGATCCCACTCCCCCGTCTCCCACACAAGCCTGATCGCCAGCGGCGGCATTGCAAACATCCGGCCCGCAATCGCCTTGACAGCGTACACATCAAACGACTTGGGAATCTCCGTCTCCGTCTCCTGCGCCGCCACGCCAGCCCCGGGTACAAACTGCACGCGCACGAGCCTCGCCTCCAGGAAGGACGGGTCCACCTCATCGCGGCGCACAATGTCGGGCTCGCCGTAGGAGGCGCACAGCGCCGCATACAGCGGGTGCTGCTCCAGCACGCGCGCCTCGTCCTCCTCCGGCGCAGCGGCGAGCTGCTTCGCGATGCGGGAGAGGTAGAAGAGCTCCGCGTTCGTCCTGTCCTGAGGCGTGATGGTGGCGAAGTTGAGCGTCTTGAGCGAGGGAAGGCGGGCCGTGGTGATCATGTGCGCCTCGTCCGTTGTCCTGGCAGCGGCGTCTTGGTCGTCTCCTGCAGGGCGCGCGGCGCCGGGAACGGGGTTCGCCCAGAGGGGGTTGTTGGAGAGGCGGAGGGCTGTGAGACTCGGTGCGGATGTCGGCAGGGCGTCGATGAAGGACCAGGAGGAGATGGCGTTGTAAGAGACATCAATGTAGGTGAGGGACGGCGCGAAGATGGGCGGAGGCGCGTCCGGGTGCGATCGGATGGCGGAAATGCTGTTGCCCTTGAGATGTAGGATTCGGAGGGCTTTAAGGGAGGCGAGGGGAGCAATGTCTGCGAGGGATGTAAATTCATTGTATTCAAGGTCAACGGTCGTCAAAGTCGACGCCAAGGTAGAAAGATTGGCCTCGGGAATTGAAGTGAAATGGTTGAGGCTGCCACTGAGCCGGTCGAGGACTGGAAAATTCGATGCGATCTCGCAGATGCTCTCCCAGGAAAGCAGGGTTTCTTCAAGCTCGAGCTCCTTGACTTCCTTGAAGGCTTCGAGGGCACTCCTGGTCGTAGGTTCCGACTCTGGGTGGATGATCTGAAACCGGTTGCCGCTGCGAGTCGGAGTCAGTAATGGCCCTTGAAAGGCATCGCGAGCGAAAATGACAGTAGAAGCGTACTTGAGCCGCAGACTCTTCAGCCCCTCCAACTCTCGACAGATCCTGACGACCGTCCCAAAACTCTCAAACAAGTTCCTACTCAGATCCAGCTCGAAAATCAAAGGGCTGGTGTCTTTGACTCCGCGACCGCCATCCTCGAACATGACGTCCCACGCAATCCTCATGCCATCCAGGATGACGATCCTCAGGTCCTCAACCTTTGACAGCTGTCGCCGGATCTTGTCGAATCCCACCTCTTCAGCAACCTTTTTCCCGAAGAAGATGATATCGATCTCCGGGTTGCGCGATGGCGAAGTCACGTTGGATCCATCGCCGATGGGCACCGTGGCATACTTCTCGAGCAGCGCAGAGACGAAACTCTGTGGCTTGTCGGCGCGGCGGGAAGGCCGGACGAAGGAGGCGGCAGAGCGCGATCGTGAGAGGCCTAGATTTGTGAGTGATATTGGAACGGATGACAGGCAGAGCGTATGGAGGTGAATTACAGTCGAAGTAGCGGGCGCCCTTGTGGTGTCCGTCGTGCTTTCCGCGCGAGGGGTCGTCCCATTCTACACCGAGCCAGGTGCCAGTCGTACCGACAACCTCACCAATATAACGAACGGTGCACAGGGCGCCATCATAGGAAAGCCTCTGGCCGAGGTGGTGGGTTTCGGCCATGAGAGCACGGTGAGTTGTGAGATGGAATCGAGGGTCTGAAGTTCGGGCGAGTGGGTTTCGTTCACGAAGCGTTTCGCAGGTGTCACGCACGCTCGGGTGGCCCCACACGTCACGAACAGGCGGCATCACGGCCAAGTCAGTTCCGATTGCAGCACCACACCATTGCACAGGGTCAGCAACATGCTTCACAGTCATCATCCAGATTGCCTCGTGACATGCATACAATTAAAATCTCACAGCTACATTTTTACAGCTTCGACTTGCCGTCGCCGACGACCCTCAACAGCGCGCGACCGTTGCTGAGGCAAACCTTGCCGCCCTCAACCTTGGTCTCGAAGCGAATCTCTTCCCAGCCATCCTTGATGTCGCCAGTCCTCCAGACGTTCGTCGACAGCTTGTCGCCGGGCATGACGGGGCTTGCGAAGCGGGCCTGGTACTCCTTGATGTTCGCGGGGTCGCTGCCGCCGAGCGCCTTGAGCAGGTCGTGCGCTGTCGCGTTCCACGAGTACAGGCCGTGCATGATGGCGCCGCCAAAGCCCATCTTCTTGCCGGGCTCGGGCGTCGCATGCAGCGGGTTGTAGTCACCATTCAGGCGGTACAGAAGCGCCGACTGGGCATTGGTCTGGTGCGTCAGCACGGCGTCGGGCGCCTTGCCCTTGGGCGGCGGGAAGTTCTCCGTCGCGGGACCCTTGGGGCCGCCCCAGTTGCCCTGGCCGATGTAGAAGCCCGAGCCGACGACGCGCGAGTAGACCTCGTTCGAGTTGACGTCGACAATGTCTGTCTGCGTCTCAATGACAGTGCCGGGACGGCCCTTGTCGTAGACGCCGAGGACCTTGGAGCGGACCTCGAACTTGCGGCCGACCGAGGATGTGGGAAGGGGTTTGAAGAACTCAATCTTGCGCTGGCCGTCAACGACGCGACGGGCATCGAATTCGGGAACGCCAGGAATAGCGATGGCCTTTTGCGCAGCGTAGAAGTCGATCGTTTCCTGCGAATTGCCCTTGAAGGCTAAGAGGTCTTGTTAGAGTGTCATCTGGATGTTTCGGAGGTGTCGGAGCTTACGGAGGATCAGGGAGTAGGTAGGGAAGACGGCGAACTTAGGGTGAAGCTCCTACGAGGTGTTAGCTGCCGGCACGAAAGGGACAGTAAGGCTAGCTGTGGAAGGCACACGCACGTAAAGGAAGTGAAGCTCATCGACTGTGGCGCCAATGGTGTTGGCAAAGAGCAGCACATCGCGCTGCAGCCATGAGATCTCCTGTGGAGGATACTCGAATCCGACGCCGGGGCCGCTCATTGTGGACTGGTCTTCGGAGAGGTGGTGTGGTGGTGATTGGGAAAGGGAGGTATGTTCACACGCTCCGACAAACAGATAGACGTGGCGGCTGTGATAATATGTAGATGGCTGACGACAAGCCGAGGCAGACTTGAGAAAGAGGGGTGTATCACGTCTTTATTGCAGCTCCGAGTCGTGGTTCGGCATTCGCGTTGTCGGGGAAGACACCTGGGGGGGGGGGAGCTCCCGCCAAACAGTGCCGAGGTTCCAGGTGCTGGTAACCACTTGGTGGCCGGCCCCGCTTGCTGTTCTGTCTTAGCGTCTCGCTGCTTTTCTTCGGTTAGAACGCAATCGTTTTCGAGGGAAGGGGACACAAATCAGTGTTGAAACTTGACGATGCGATATCGATGAAGTATAAGGCTTATCTCAATGCAATTCGGAGGAACATGGCTGATGCCTTCGCTGAAATACATTTCATCTCAAGATCTCAGCGCAAAATGGGCCACATGGACACGCAATACCAGAGTAGGATCACCTGCTGATGAGCACTACAGTTAAAAGCGGCGACATCCTCCACCATATTATCAGATGCGGCTGCAGTGAAGGGGAGACAAGTGCGGGGGGGGACATTAGTCTCCTTTGCTTAGTCAGGTGCGCAACTCCATCTGCTCATCATATTCATAGCGGTGAAGATGGCGCCCCTGCATCACCGTCAAGGTCGAGATGCTTCGTCAAGCCTTCTGTCAGCATCGGTCATCATGCTGCCCTTCTGTGTCTTGACGAGCTTTCTCATTCAAATGTACAGATATCATGACGTTTCCTCAATCGTTGTTGTTATGCTCAGTCTTGAATGTGCAGAGAGGTGATCGTGGGATAGTTTGCCAAAGAAGCATGTCAAATAATGGCAGAGCAGAATTATCAGATACATCACTTCACGAATACTTTCTTCATCTGTAGGTACATTAAGGTACCTTAGGTAGATGGCCGGGGCAGGATGAGCTGGACAGCTCACTGGCCGAAATCTGGAACCAGTAGCTGTCTGACATCGGATATGTAGGAAATGGCGAGGAAGGAGCATGGTTGCCGGGGCGTTGAACCGTCACTTACTTGCCCGATTTTTAACGACACCATCCTATGGTAGCCTTCTATTGTTTTTCAACTTGCTTGTTGAGCAACAAGGCTCAAAGTTCTTTCAACCACGTCCTGCATCACCTTCAGCTCCCACAACAAACGCAACTCCCATACTCGCCTTCACTCTTCTCGTCTTCCACCTCGCATCCCCTCTTCTGCAAATCTCCGCCAGAATACTACCATCACTCTACACGTGCTACCACTGCCAGTCCCAAGTTTGTAAGAGCTTCTGCCTAGCCTTTTAATTCCTCGACCGGCTAATTTCCTTACAAGCTGGCGACTTCACGAGCTGTGTATCATCGGCCTGGATATCCTCCCTCACATTGCACGAACTCTCAAAGGCCCAAAGTAGCTAGGAATCAACTATGTCTCAGGTGACATCGTCTCAGGGCGTCAAACGCATGGCCCCTGATGCCAAGATGGCTGGCGATGCTAGCATTGGCCTGAACGACGACAAGACTCCAGCCAACGCCAAAAAGCTCAGGAAGGAGCGTCTGGCTCTCGCATATGATACTGAAACTCTTATCAACCGTCGCGATGACATGGATCATCAGATCTCCCGGGCAGCTCAGGATAAGAGCCAGAACGGCGGCGAGCCCCAGGTTGAACTCGTCCTTGCCGCCTCCAACCTCCAAGACGCGGAGCGTCACCACGTGCAAAGGCTCAACAACAGCATCACAGAGGCCGAGAAGCTATGGCTTGCTGAGCCCATTGAATCCCTTCACTACAACATGGTCTCTCTTTTTGAGCTTCGAGCGCGGTTCAAAAATCACCTTGGCCCTCGCATGGTTTCCACACTTGAGGATGATACCACGTCCTCGTCAGATCCGTGCTCCGATGACGAGGGAAGTATCAACAACGACACCGCTCTGAGCAAGGCGAATTCGTCGGTCAAGCGCCGTGCCCAAGACGAGTCGAACCGCAAGCACATCGGTGACGATGAACCGCCTTCAAAGAAGTTCAAGCAAGGCGAAAACAAAACTGTCGAGAGCCCTGTTCCTATTCCTGTTCCTATCCAGAAGGCGCAGGGGAGTCGTCTGTCCGAGTCCCGCCGCGACCAAGCATTCCACAATACTGACTTCCATGAATATGTCAGTGGTGGCAGGACTAAACACAGCAAGGACACAGCGCATCGCTTGAGCGACGTTGAGGAAGACTTCTCACGCAGACAACTTCAGAGCTCGAAGAAGCACGCCGAATCCACTGCCGAGAAGAAGGCCAGGAAGAAGCGGGAGAAGACGATGAAGAAGAAGGAGCGCAAGCGCACCAAGAATGCCACCTCGCAGCACAAGAGAGGTGAAAGTCGCCGTCGGTCTACTGAGAAGAAGGCTGATAACTCGGAGGACAGGCCTGCCCCTGAGGTGCGCCGGGTCACTGCTGTCCCCATTCCAGCTCATTACCCCCGACCTGACACTCCTCTCAAGTCCATCTCTTCCGTCCCGCTTCCAGGCCACTATAAACAGACATCTGCCCAAGCAACGCCTATGAGTGTTCGCCACGGAACCAAGATCCAGGCTCCTGTCGACCCTGGTGCTGTAAAGCATCACGAAGGCGGCCCTCGCCGCCCTGACCTCCCGATTTTTCACTCGGCAGACTACGCCACTGACGGCCGTGATGCCATCCCCAAAACTGCAACCCCCGACCCGAAAGCCAGCACAAAGACCTGGCGTCTAGAGAGCAGCGAACATCGCCGCTCCCATGGCGGATCCGATATCACCATGCGTATCGGACGTATCGGCTCCACCGACGATACCATGCGCCACCCTGACCCGGCTGACGAATCTCCCGTTGAGGTTGTCCGCAAGAACAAAGATGGCCGACCTAAAGGCAGCAAGACCCAGACCGCCACGACCAAAAGCCCCATCGCTCCATCCAACGCAAAGCCCGCTACGACTATTGCCACCAGCCCCATGGCTACGCTGCCTTCGACGGCTACGCCGCCTTTGACGGGCAGCCAACCCTCAGAGCTCGTCCGCGTGTTGGCACCCTCCAACCTCGTCCCCACCGCTTTCTACAGCCCAGCTTCGATTCGCGAGCAACAAGCCAGAGAGGCGAGATTCAAGGCCCAGTTGGAGAAGGATGCTGAGGTCTTCGTTCGGGAGAGAATTGAGTGGCGGCGCGCTATGAACCTTGACTAGAGATGCTCTGGCCAAGCCAGCGCGAGAACCTTGCTGCAGAACATTCCATGAAACGCATGGGCAATGCTTTTTCTTCCCCCGCGAACTCAGTTGCATTGATTCATGTCATTTCTTTCTGGACTGGACGTGGGTCAAGTAGGCTCACTGCAAAGGAACCTCGCTCCTCTGGTGTTTGACACCTAAGTTACGATACACAACTTGTCTTCTCGGCTGAATGGGGAGGCAAGGCCAGCTTCGTCTGCTTGTTAGGCTATGTACAATAGAATAGGAGTTGCCTGGAAGGTTCACAGTATAACCACAATTGTAGGGCACGCGTGCTTCTGGCTAGTTTTCCGGCCTTAGATGTCTCAAATTGTGCGGCAAGCCCTAGAGAGAAGACAGAATAACAAAACAATGACAAGACGTGGCTTAGCCAAATGTGCATACTCCATAGGGCCCTCTGAGATCAGCGAAGGATT